TAGTTATGGATAACCAAGCCCCTGGGTAAGAGATTTATTCTTGGACTTTTGTGACATGGCAATATAGCATATTTTGGGGATCTCTATCCTTGGTCTGACCTGACTTGCATCACCAGTCATAGTATACGTACCGGTGAGAAACTCCCTGCCCAAGTCGAAAGTATTTCTTACTTCTTCATTCTTATTCAAGAAAAAGTTCCCCTATTTCAAACCCAAGACTTATGCAGAAAGGGCGATTTTACTTTCCAGCTGAACATTTCACATCATCGACATATCACCAACTCATCAGCTCTGATACCGATACTCCACTCTCAAGCTCAAGCTCAAGCTCAAAACATTACAAGTTGACAAATGCTAGTGCCACGATTCTGCACCTCGATAACCAATAGATCCTTGGTCTCAAAGCCTACAGCCATTGGAACAGCCTTGAAGAAATACAATAGGGCGTATGATACAACTTACGAGGTACCGGTATTGCCCGGTTCCTCAGAATCATCACGTATTATTTAATCTGTTTTGATATCAAATTCTTCATTCAATGGTGCAGCACAGAATAAAACCTATTCATCAGACGATACAAGATGATAGAATTCTACCTAACCACCTCGAGACCATCTACTCAAGATATCATGGCTGACCTCCGAGATTTGTACACATATATCACCCCAAAGAATTGGAATTATTCGAGAACACATAAAGATTACACAGATCTCTTCTTTAGCCTATTGAACTTTGCATTTGTTACAGCTGAATATCTAAAATAAAATTTGGGTTTGGATTCTCTAACCTAGAGCACCTACATATCAAACCCGAACGTCCCCCTTTAGAAGCAATTATTGTTCGTCAAACGTCCCTTAAATTCTCAATCGGGTAATACATCAGAAAAACTAACCAATCTCGATATCAATATTCCATTCAATAACAAATATTACATTTCCATCATCCCTTACCTTTTCTTGATAAATCACCAAATACCAACATGCGTGTCATTCATTTCTTCATTCTCTTCTTCCAGCAACAACCAATCCCTCCAATCCAATCCAATCACCACAACCTTCATCTAAACTCCACCCGCGAACATGACCGACCACTAACCAGTAACCACCGACTACAGAATGTATAGCCGTCCATCGTATCGTATGAGTAAACAATATAGTGAGTGACTCATTCTGACTGACATCTTCGAGTATCCCGTACTAACTACCTAGTAACTACTAACAGATTATGAACAACATTCAGGCCAGACAGTCTAGCGACGAACCATCAACGGCGAACGGAAGTCTTGGAGTCATCTACAAATTCGCCGCATGAGATGATGAGATGGTGTGGAGGAAATACTAGGTATACCGTACACTAGGTACCTACCTACACACTGACCAGTTCTACATACTTATTACTTTCTTAGGTGCGTACTTATATTACATAACTGTATATTACATATCCGTTTCGTCTACTCCATCTATATCATGGGATGGAATTCCAGGCAATATTGCGCAAACTGCGTACTAGGCGTAAACCACGAAATACAAACTCAGACTCCTAGTTCGCAGTTCCACAATGGTATATGGTATTTACCTATAAGATGATATAATATAATATATACCTTTCCACATCTTTTATCTTAGATACTCAATCCCCGTCCCTAGAAATTTGATTTTCCTTCCTTATTCGAGCTCTTCTCCTCTGGATTGCGGTATTCGTTATAGGTAGGTACTAGGAGATAGATCTACCCATTTAGCCTCGCTATTTTAGACTCGCTAGGTAGATACTCTTCGAGAACCTTTTTATCTTTCCTTTTCTGTTCTGTTGCTGCATTTGTCATTATGACGCTTGGATCATTAGGGGGTACCTAGGTTGTGACTCTAAACTCGTAGTAAGAAGCTATGAATGGATGGATGGATGGATGGATAGTAGGAGTACGGTAGGTAGGTAATTTGTGTAACCAACCCCAACCCATCTGGAATGGGAAAAACAGAATAGCTTGGGACTAGATTTCGATTCGTGAGGTGCGTACCTAAGATTGATTGATACAAACGATCTTTTGCATGTGATTGTGATCGACCGTTTCGCTGCTTGGCAGAGGATCTGGAAGAGGATTTTTTGGTCGGTGTGTTACGGTTAGGTATGTAAATATAGGTAGACAGATGGATAGATGATTTACTGCAAAATACAATAAACTTCGATATCTGCATTGCACTCTTGCTTTACTGGGTACCATTTCGGAGGTGTATCGATTTCTGCATCTCCGCATTCGTGATCTCTATCTATGATGCATGTTTAGTTTGGTGTACTGGTGCAATGGTATGATATGATATGACATGATACCGGTATAATAGTTTATCTACACTCTATCCAACGAGCCAACCCAATCTACCCCGCCGCATCAATCAATCACACACTAGGTAGGTAGCTCCACTCCACCCAAGCTACCCAAATCTAATCCGTCATCGTCTATTAGTTAGGTTGGTATGGTGGGTGGGACGCACCAAAGGAAAATAAAATAAAAGTAAAGTTCATCCAAGATTTTCCTAGGCTCCTATCACTGGGTTGCTAGGAAACTTACTCATCATGGGATTTGGGGGGTTAGGTATGCTATTTTATTTTATCGTTGTAGCTAAGGAAGATAGGGGGTGCTAGGTAGTTCTGGAAATGGAAATGGATGTAGATCGAGGTTTGGGGTTTGGAATGGAATGGAGGGGAGAAAAGGAAAATAAGGGTTCTTGCCCTTATCTCGTGATTTTTGGGGAGGGGGGGGGTTGATTTGGTTTTGCTATGGTAAGGTGAAGTAAGGTATTGGTAAGTACACCATCAAATCATCCAATGGTGGAAGAGGAAGAGACTAGATATGTATGTACGTAGTAAGTGAGTTGTAGATTGGTGAGGTGGCATTTTTTGAGTGTGGGGAATGGAGGGGGGTAGGGAGAGGTTTGTTTTGAGAGGGAGAGGGAGAGAATATTTATGGTATGTATGGTTACTATGGTATGATTGTTAGGGAATCGGGATTGAGATCAGGGCTGGCAAAAGAAGAGGGGAAACTCGAGAAAATGGCGGGGGTAGGGTTGGAGCGGCCCGAATGTGGATGAGAGATGGGCGGTTGAGGATGCGGATAGGATTGGATAGGGATAGGGATTGGGACAGTTGGCTAAGTGGAGTAAGTGAGGATAAGGGCAAGTGCCCTAATTGGGATTTATTTTGTTGAGGGGTTGAATTAAATTGGATTTAATCGGGATTGGGATTGGGATCGGGATTGGGATTGGCTTGGGTTGGGTTGGGTATTGGCATGGAGGGGTTGATGTGGAGTTAAGTGGTGGGGTGGAAAATGAGATTACTCCCGGTGAGTATCTTGATGTGGTTGAAAATTTATTTTTGGTATGTGAGTTTGATGGGAGGTACGTAGGTTCGAAATTTTTATATCTTTGATATTTTCCATGATATTCGGATAGATGCTGGTTGAAGATTAGATGGGGAGTGAAGTGAAATAGGAAGTGTTTATATTGAGATCTTGAGTATAAAGTTATATTCATTTCGCTGTATGTAGTAAAGTGATGAAGTTTTAGTAGACTCCTGATATCATGAGAGTTCATGATCAATCCATTTATGAGTTTACTCCTACTCGTTTCTTCAAAGTTGTTTGTCTTCCGTGCTCTCTGTTTACAGTCTATCTCTCTTTCTGGCTGTCCAAAAAAGAATGATTCTTACATATTCATCCCCCCAAAAATCGTGTCACTATTACTCAACATCCACAAAATATTCAGAGAAGAATACTCCTGATTTGTATCTCGAGACTGGAACCAAATAGTACGGGATGGTGTAGTAGTCCTGATACATACATTCATAATGAATATCTGAACATCGCCTCTCATAGGATGTTGTGCTCAATATTTACTTTCTGTCAATTGACTCCTTTTCTAAGAAGACATTTCGTTGGTGACTATATCATGTAATATATGTATGGAACTCTGCCCGTTATGGAGACCATAAAAAGTTTAATATACAGAATTTTTCCCGTTCTTAGGACCGGCTTCATCGCTGAGTATTATTACATATCACATTAATAATTGAAAACTTCGGGCTCATTCACAAAAACAAAGTTGGTGATCATTGCAGAATCATCTAGTGATCTGTTCATCATCATTGCAGGTCGTGCTTCTGTGCGGAATTATTTTGAATAGGTTTAAAGGGCGAGGTAGGTTTCTTGATCTGAGGGGGGTTTGGTTGTTGCTTTGTAGCGTTGATATAATGACATTACTGCGGGATAGGGGATAGTTTGACATGGCTTCTGATATTTGGGCGTTATGAATAGGAACATAGGAAGGTTTGGTGGGCTGCCGAGGGATAGAGAAATGATTCGGAGACGCGAGTTCCACGAAAGAGAGTCATTACAGGACGATAAATAACTGAGTATTCTCTGAAAGTGACGAAGTTCGACCCCAGAAGAGCAATCATCCATCAACGAGTATATTCGATGTGAAGTTGAGGAAGAATGACGTGAATGGTTGTGTGGAGAATGGAAGAAGCAATACCCAAGTAGAGAGTATTGTGTGATGGGACTGTACATGCTTGTGGGAGGTACGTCCCTTGTTATATAGTCATGGAAGAATTGAGTGGTATATCACATCGATGATTTCCTCTTCTTGACCACTTCTGAGACCTCCCTATAGTATTTATAGGATAACTTGGGAGTTTCTTTGGTTTTCTCCTTTTTGCGACTGCAATGAGGGCACATGTTTGTTTCTACCTTCCAAACGTATTCTATTGATGACTGTAGAGTGATAATTCATAAATAGGATATAGTTGATTCATACGAGATTCTCTTTGGAGTCACTGGTATTTTGATAGGAATAGAAGGATCGAGATTCGCAGGTTTGAAAGGCTTTCCTTAATATTTTCTTCTCTCTTCTCTATCGTTAGCATCACACATCTGTTCAGGGAACTTCAGATTATTTGTGACTTCCTGAAGGAACACCTCTACTTACAGCCATCATTAACATTAAGCAGCCATGCAATCCCCAACTCGAAATTTCTGGAACCAACCTTGGGCCAGCTACAATACGGCATTGCAGGAGTGCAATCACTGTCAAGTAACATTTACACTCTACAACTGCGGCTGTGTCAGAATGACTCTTCCACATTTCGACAAAGATCCTCTCAGCACATCATGCAGAATTTATCCTCCTTCCGAATACCCCTCCAAGCCCAAGCCAACCACAAGACCCAAAATTTTCTACAAGAGAAGAAATTCCGGTTGTGGAAGAGGCAAGGAAAGTGAATGTAGATGGAATGCGAAAGAAGAAAAACAATGTCCATATGATCCCAAAACCCGTCAAGATTGCGAAAACTATGTTCATATCTATAAGAGATGCACTCATGTAAATATGGGCTTTGTACGAATGTGTCAGAATGAAGAGGATCGTTGTAATCGAGGAGGATCGCCGAAACATATGCCGCATATTGTTGGTGGTGTTGTGGATGATTTCTGCAGTCGACAATGTGCAGATGAACAAGCAGTTCTTGATGAGGAACAACGAATTTTGGAAGAAGAATATGCTCGGAGAAGAAGTGAGAATACGGCTCAGGAAAGAAATGAGACAGAAAGATATCTTAGGTTTGAAATGCAATACCAACGAAACCGGGGCACTCAAAGACCTCGCAGCGATATACCACCAACTTGTGCGAGTGCTTCGAAGTCGCCGGCTTACTCGGGATCGTCAAATGATCAGTATTACCAGTATACTGATGCTCAGCTTGATGAAATCTCGCGAAATACCACTCGGAAACGCAGATACAAATGAGGAGAATAGACGCTGGGTATAGTTGACTGGTCCAATATGAGGCTTTTCGATGTTTGTTACTTGGTAAGTTTGGCGAGTATAAGTCAGTCTTGTAGATGGCATGTCTTGTGGATCAGGATGGATGAATTGCTAATATTACCTGATTCTAGGATGTTTTGTGGTGGTACCAGGGAGTGGGGGGGTTTAATGGGGAGTTCAAGAAAGGTTGTTGGGAACTAGTCTTTACTTTTCATCTGGGGTTCTTGGAGAAAGGCTCGGTGTGGAACTCAGGGAGAAATTTTCGGGGGGTTCTTTAGTCATCTGCAGGAACTGGGTTATATGAGTTGAAGGATGACGTGACGCTTTATCTTCCAGTTGTATGAGTGTCTGTCAAGTGCAGACTCATATATATGATAGTAATTGAATCATTATGGAATCTGTATTTTATTATGTTAAGGAGTCACTGTGGTTAGGCGCAAAGCGATGTATTCAAAAGGATTTAAATACCCGTCTTGAAGAATTCTTTCTAATTATTCTATACATTACCAATACGAGAGTTTTCAAACCCGTTTACGTTATCTTTTGATCTCTTAAAATAAATTAACAACTACTATTCAGATACTTCTATTTGAAATGTCCCATTACTCCAAGAGCGCCCGTGATTCCCAATACGACAATCCGCAGCAACAACGACAACGTCAAGGCGCAGTTGACGAAAACCAAATAGAAGCTATCCGTAAAGAGGACGAGAAAAGAGAGCGCGAGAAATATGAGCAGCAGAAGAAACAGGAACGTCAATATGCAGAAGCTCGAGCCGAAGGAAGGGCTGGTGATGGAAAGGATCGTCCACGAAGTGAGGAAGCCAGTGGACGTCGTTATGGAAAGGATTATTCTGGAGAAATGGGCGGGAAGAAAAGTGTTCGTTGGAAATAGATACTTTGAAGGGTCTCAGGTGCGAGGAGGTTATCGCGGTATGTGGTGTTCGATGACGCAGTTTGGAGGTTTCTTTGGTTTCTTTAGTCATATGTTTTTCGGCTTTGGAAATGGAAGTTCTGGCCTGACTCTATCCTGAAAGGAATATCATATAAATGACTGCAAAGTAAAGATGTATAGATTGACTCGAAATAGGATAGGTTGTTAGATTCATATTCAAAAACAAGGGTCTCTCGAGTCTTAGTTGGGAATCATCCGGAAGGCTTCAAACAGATATACTTCAAAGGATTCAGATTCCTAAATGGGAGATTCTTTCTATTTTCTTATTTACATTACCAATACGAGATTTTCTTGAAAACACTCTACATCTTTTGATCTTTGATCTAAGTTAATAACAATCAACATACTTCCATCTACACATAATGGTCTACTATCCCCCACGCTCCACCTCCCAGAACGAACACTACAATGATTACCGACAGCAGACTACCCATGTATCTGGCTACTCTCCCTCATATCTACCCCCCTCCCCCCACCAAATTCCAATACTTTTACCCACAATCCCGAACACGATAGCCGTAGAGCCTACCCTCCCCAAACCCAGAAGCGAATCCAGCGCCCTTACTCGCCACTTCCAAGACCCCCTATAGGACCAATCCCAATCTCACGTGCACCTTCACCAATACCTCCAAGATCACCTCCTCGCGCCCAAACATATCCATCTGTTAATCTGTACGCTTATGACAATAGCACCCCTCGCCGTTCAGAAGGCGGAAAATCACAAAGAAACCCCGAACAGGAAAATCAGGAAAGATCTGCCAGAAGGAAAGTTCAAGATGAAGAGACAAAGAGAGATGAAGAGCGGAAGAAGAAGGCAGATAAACTATGGAGAAAAGAGGAGGCAAAGAATGAACGTGAATGCAGCTCCGAGAATTTTTTTTTTGATTATCAAAGACGAATGGAGCGAGATCGTCATCGCCCGGTTGATGGACCAGAGGTCAGACCTAGTGGTGTTGTTGATAGAGGCTTTCATATGGATGGGGAGCAAGAGGATTTAGGAAAGAGAGTCAGCTGGAAGGGACACACTTTTCGAGGAGAGCTGCGTGGTTGATTGGTTGTGGGAAATACATAGCTTGGTAAGTTTTTCTACACTTCGGGCGTTTGTTCGATATGCTAATTGAACGAGTTGCTAAAAGTCTACTTTCTCTAGGGACTTTCTTCAAGGGATATCACTGCAGAGTGCAAACTCATGTTTTGGGTGGTTGGCTCAATATTTGACACCTTTAAATTCATAGGCAGGGATTTAATAGCTCGGAGTCATTTCAGAACCTGAATAAATCCATAAGGATTGGGACTCGCTGGTTCGAGGAATTCTTTTTTTCCTTCTAGTTTGCTGTACAATGCAACTTTACTTCCGGTGCTTTGCAATATCATATCTTTCTGAGAACTTAGACACTTAAATCTCCAATCGCCTATCAATGTTAGGATTCTGTGGTGAATACTTAAGATGTCTTACACAGTAAATCTCCTACCAGGTGTCGCACATGTGCGATTACTTGCTGTGCCCGTAGCTCTGAGCATACTACAGTTGAATCATTAGAAAATCCCTATTATTACCCAATATACAAATATTAATGATGTGCAATCACTCTTGAAGTTTTGTTTAGAAAGGAGATGACTCCATCTTGCAGTTAAGTTCTTACTACACCATGACTGTCAAATGCAACGTCTTATTAGGCGTTGACTAATTTGTTCTGGAATATTCCTGTATCGGTGACATTTCATGTGATCATTATCGAATTTTTATTGTTATCCAGCAGTCATTTGTAGTCTGGCGCGGGCTATAAGGATTCAGGATCGCTGGTTTGGGGACTTTTCTTTCTTTCCTTTAGATCAAAAATTCAAGTCTTTAAAAATGTCACACAACCACCATCACCGGATTATGCGCCAGAAGCCTCAAGACTTCGCTCCTCAAGCGTTAGAGACCACTAAAAATTCCTATCATTCTCCTTCATATAAGCAGCATACAACCCAATACGTCACCCCAGCGCCGCAGAGTGACGCAATTTCCCAATGGTCTGACACAAATTCCATCACGAACTTGTCTGAAACAACATCTCTACCAAGATCAGAGAAATAGAGGCTGATTCACGAAGACACAGAGAGGGATCGCCGACATTGTGACAAATGGAAGCAATGGGCCCGTGAACAGGACGAAGAAGACAGATTAGCATCTGCAGTCGAGAATGCTCGTAGAGAGGAGCATAGATATAGACTCCAGGTACTGGATAGACAGACACGGGAATATGGGAAACTCAAAATGGAGACTGATAGGGATTGGAGGGTTTATTTACAGAAATTGGAAGCTGATGAGCAGTGGGAAGCTGATAGACAAAGAAAGGAAGCTGACAGACGGGAGGGATTACGCATAAACCCCCTAAGGTATAATCACCCAAGAAAGGAGCATACCACTAGATACGCGTTAGGAACATCAGGTCGACGACTTTCCTACACGCCTTTGTCGGATGAAGCCCTCGTCGGTATTGCAAAGGAAAGCGAGAAGAGGAGTAAGCGCAGATAATAAGTATTGCAGGTAGAATTTGAGTTGAGAAGGGTATATTGTTATTCACTCTTACCAAATGAATAGTGCTGACAGTGATCAGCATAATTCGGTCAGTCGGGGCTTTGGAAAGATGTTAGTTGGTTGGGGGGTGATGTTAATATTTTGTGGATTTGAGAGTAGATTTGACAATATTTTGGGAGGGGGTTCAGAGGAAGTTTGATGTGTATTTCAAAAATTCAACTACGTTCAGATGAAATGCGCCACGTTTCAATGAAGTGAATGAACATATATCATGCAATTGACCAACGATGACAATTCAATCAGCGGGCAGGCCAAGATCTTGACAGACAATGATTATGAAAAAAGAGACTTGCTGAAGATTGAACGATCATTTGCTCCTCTTGAAATTATCAATGTTACAAAAATTTGAGCTTATGCTTGTTGGACACCTTTCCTCGGTAAAAATAGGAGAGACCCTACATCTCATTTGACGCAACCATCAATTTTCAACACTACGTCGATTTCATTTCGAGCACGTTTCAATCATGAGTATAATATCACCAATGGTTGTGTAGTAGAGTCAGTCACTTATATAATAATTATGGAGTCATTATGGATTGTATTTTCGATTCATAAAGAGACTTTTGGCATTTCTTTGGAGTCAATATAGTGGATACTGAGTCCTGATAAAAGCTTCAGATTACCCTGGACTCTCTTTTTTCTTTTAAACTCTCTTCATACTGATAACACACTTCCGTCTATCAAACTTCGAATCGTTTACATTGCATATTTCTTGACAATACACCACCACTCAATAGCAAATAGTCATGTCTCTTAAGAACTGGCCCGACGAAACGTATCCTGGTTGCGATACGACTTTGCCAACATGCAAAGTATGTATAGTACAGTACTGGATCTATCTCTGTGGGTGTATCAAATTTACCTGCCCTGGTGTTCCTGACATTAGTGTGAGGGGTAGCTGCATGTCATGTTATCAGTACCTGCCCATTGACGGACAACCAGAGCCAACTACAATACCAAAGATCAAGTGTAATGAAATACTAACTACTTGTGGAAAAATGAAATGTGTCGAGACTTCCGGGCTTCCAATATGTCGAGAATGCACGACTGAGGTCATCATCTACAAATGTGCTCACTTGAAGGTCAATAAATTACACCACTGCGAAGGGTGCCGTCCTCGCAAGAGCAAATATCTCAGCAGCCGACCAGAGCTACGACTTGTGCCCCACAATGAAAACATGCGTGGCGGCATGGTCTGTGAGAATTACTTGGACCACGAAGAACGTCGAAAAAAACGAAAGGAGTTGATTTTACAGAAAAGAGTACAAGTTTTCCCTAACTCTCAATCCTTTCAGCCAGAAAGCCACAGCCAACTAGACCCTGATTATCCCAAAATTCCGGACGCTACTTTCAAGAGACCAAAGGTAACAATACAACAAGGGCAAACACTACCGCCATATCATGGCTATCAATATCCATATGCACGAGAACGTGAGCCGGAGACCCAATACGCTCATACACCGGTGATGACAACAACTCACGAGTCTGGACCATCAGCCTATGGAGGTTATGGATATGCTGGGGGATATCCGCATGGGCAGCCGAATCCCCAATACATACCTCTCCCTGCTTCTGCGATACCACCAGCTTGGGGACAGCCAATACAACCATTGATAATAGAGGAAAATCCGCAAAGATACGCGGATTGGGAAAACAAACGGGGACGAGAAGAAACCCGATTCAGTGAGGCGGCCGACAGAGAAAGTACCGAGAAAGCTGCCCGTTATGAATCAACTTTACGCCGAGAAAATGCACGTCCAAGGGAGCACAGAAAATCGAAGCGATGATCAAGCCGCCATAGCAAAAAGTCGTCGAGCGATAGAACGTACTTAGACGAGTGGACGTTTTCAGTGGAGTTCAAATTACTGCTTGTGGGATACATTTCTTAGTGAGTTCCTTGATGATTCCATGTGCGCTAGAAAAACATTACTAACTTCGAATCACTGTCAAAGTGTTGCTGAAGAGGAGATGACTCCACGTTGGGAGGACTTTTATCATAGTGTGAGTCTGCACTACACAGTCATGATAGGGTATCAACTGAATCGTTATCGAATGTGTTCCTTTTATTTGGGAGTCATTTTGGAGTCTAGAGAAAGGGCTATATGGGTTGAGGCCTGTTGGTTTAGGATTTTCTTCTTCTTCTGTTTTCTATCAACAATGCAACTTTACTTTCGTTGCTTTCAAATGTCACACACCTTCTGAATATTCTACCTATTTCAAATACTAACTTCTGCCACACTGCGTTATTGAAATCGGTATGCCTAACATAATCACCCGCAACTGTTCCTCGGTGGGACGCGATGTACGATTGCCAAAATGTCCAAACTGTAAGATAACCTACACACTCTACAACTGCGGATGCTACGATATGTCTCACCCTACTTGGGGAACTGGCTGCAGCACATGTGTTCAATGGCGACCCAAGGACCTAAAACCAGAGCCAACTAGCATACCAAGAATCATTGCCAATGTAAGAAAGGCCACTTGTGGGAACGAGGATTGTGTCAGAATTTCCAAGCTTCCAACTTGCACAGATAAACGCGGATTGTGCACAACACGGTTTTGTATCTACGCGTGTGGGGAGATAAAGATAGAAGAACATTTTTCCCGGAATTGCGAATTGTGTCGGCCTAAGGGACACTTGTACCCCGCAACTCGACCAGTACGTCGTCCTGATATATTCGCTTACCAGAGACGACCCAAGATCGAGGGTGTCTGTAAGGATTACGGCGAACATGAAAGACAACGAAAAGAACGACAGGACGCGGCTGAGATGGCCAGAAGAACCGCGAAGTATGAAGACAGCATGCGATATGAACGGGATCGGGAAGCTGCAGGGAACCAGCAATACGAGTAAGGCCGGCAAACGGGAAGCCCAGTATCGCAGAGAAATGTAGAAGCGTATGGTTTCCCCGCACCAACTTATTCTGGACAGCAATATGCTCCACCGAGATGGCCTGATCCACAAGCTCCCGGTCCTAGTCACCCTTGGTAATACTACCGTGGAACTCGCAGGACAGCGATCGACTTGTCGGGTTGTACGGTCGAGTCATATGAGTCCAATTGATATGACTCCATAACCACATCTCTACCAGTTCTCCTTGCAGACGAGATTCATCAAGTTCTGAATCAGAGCGGGCCTCTGATTCATATCAATAATATCTTGCTACTCATGTTCGTTTCTTTGGAAGGAGTCTTCTTACTATTTCGCTTCTCTTTGGTGAAATTTTTCTTTGCTATCTCTTTGGGAGGAGTTCCGATCATATTGTATTTTGAATGGAGGTTTCATCTCATTTGTCTTTGGCGTCATTCTCCGAAGGAGAGTTCAAATAGCAGGCTATTTTAGAATGGTGGTCAAATCATTTGTTCTTTTACTCTATCCATGAGTCTTTATATTTGTGCGTGATACGAATTGTGCAATTTCGAATAGTGAATTTCTTGTTGTAATGAAACACACAGGTGTGGAATTAATGTCTGAAGAATTGTTACCATCCTACCAACCAATTAATGAAATCCCATGATGTAAACCGATATGTATACAACCCCTAGCCCATCTCAACACCACTCAAAACCATCTTTGTGTATTGAACTTACTCTCCTTTCCCTCACCATGATACTTTTCATAAAGAAAATTCGCTCCCACAACCGTCAGATTTTCTCTTCCAGCCCATTCTCTAATCCCACTCCCCGGTTCATCGAAGCCCCAATGTTTCCTCTCCTCCGGTTCCTCTAAATCCAGATTATCACCCTCGAGTAACACAAATACATATCTATGTTTTCCCGTTCCTTTTGGTGGCGCTGGTGCTTTATCTATTTCTTCTAGTCAGCTTACTCTATCCTCCTTCACCGAGTTCCTTTTTCCCCTCACAATTCCCGCTCAGATAAAGAAAAGAAACTCACAATCCACAACTCCCACGTCCTCCAACTCACTCCCACTCCACTCTCCACTAACTCCTTCCCTCCCAACTACAGCCTCAGGAATCCTAGCAATCCAATGACACATCTCAGACATGCTATCATCATCCCTCGACGGTGCATCTGGATCTGTAAGAATGATTGTCAAACCGCCCCGAACATGATATTTTCCAGGACAGAAAACTTGGATCGAGGGCGCGGATTGAGTCTGCGAGGGGCGGAGTTTATTGCCTAGTTTTACTTTCTTTGAGGAAGACGAGGAAGAAGAGGGGGTATAAGAGGGAAGAATATAACAAGCGGGGATAAAGGGATCGAGGACATCAGGGATGATGGATGATTTTTTGAGACTGGCGATCAAAGTGTTGGTTAGCATGGTGGTTACCGTGCATCGGGCTGAGAACGACATATACGAACATTTTCTTGATTCCTTTCAAGGACTTAAGTTTCTCGGTATGTAGTCCATCAGATCCAGAAATATCATAGTTGTACGATTCTGGGGATAGAACAAGTGCGGAGCTGAGCTCAATGAAAGCTGGTAGAAGAAGCGTGAGGAACGTAAGTAATTGCATTTTAGCTATATGATATGGGTTGATTGGGATTGATTTTCTGCTTGCAATGTAAGATAGTTTTGATAAATGAACAGAAAGAAATTGACGTTGAAATCATACTTCTTTATATAAACATCCGACATTGTAACACCCGTTTGGCTGGGCAGACGTTGCCGATGACGTCGGCTGCTCAAAAACGAGGGGTAATCACGTGAAATTTTCACTAAATGCCGATCGCGACGGCGATGCAAGAACCATTCTCAATAGTAAGGAGCTCTTCAAGATGTATACGAAAAGAATACATGGATCTCTGAATTGAGGAGCGTCGGGGGGAGAATATAAAAAAATGGAATACATAGTACCTGCATTTCAGTTCTTGCTCGTGGTGGATCTTGTCCATGACCAGGAAAAACTCCAGATCCCACTTAAATCGCCGCTTTGAGTTTCCAACGTTGGCTGGCATATTGTCAGATGTGGAAATCATTTGAAATCAGTGTAACTGATTCTTCTTCTCACGTCAAAGATATGCAATGAAAGATAAGTCCCAAAAGGTGAGATAAATCATATGTGTGGAAGAATAAAATGGTCATGAATTATTTACTTGATCAAAGCCACTGTATAGAAACAGCTTCGATACCTCTAAGTTTTAAATGATCTTTCAAAGTCGATCCCCGCATTACGCCACTCATCCATGAATCATACATATCTCGAGGCTCATTACATGATCATCTATGAGATTTCCTTGACACGGCATTTCCATCCGGAGCCAGCCTCAAGTAACGGAAGACTATTAATTGTTAGATGTGGCATTGAAGGGGAAGAAAGGAGGAATAAAACATACCTAGCACCGAGACACCATCCAAGCTCATTACCCTTGAGCTTCTTTGCAATCTTGACCTCTCTGTCAATTGGCATTTCATAACCAGTATGCAACAGAGCCATCATGAAGTTCAAATCAAGACACCATTCGGGTCTATCTCTCAACTCCTTTATGGCATCAGGGATGCCAGTAAACATGTCCCAGTGAGATTCGCCGCCACAAACTTGGCTGGTAAGATCGTGCATCTCTCGTAGAGTGAAGGATTCTGGCATTCCGAGTGGATCGGTACGGTCGAAGAAGTATGAGAAAGTGTACACATCCTCATGTTGGAAGGTCTTTTCTAGAGAAGGTTGATGAACACCATTGAAGGAGCAAGGTGCAACTTTACATTCGGCTTCTTTATACAACATCTTTTCTGCGAGTTTGCGGCATTGAGCTGGTGATGGGGAAGAAGGACCCTTCATGACGAATTCATTCTTCTCACCCAACTTAGCACGAAGAGGATGCTTCTCATCAAATGCAATATCAACTGAACGATTCATGCCTGGTGCAATACAAGGATTGATGATTGGCGATGCGGTCCAGGAGAGGTCTGAAGGATTGGCTGCGTGAATATCATCGATGAGAGTCTTGTGAATTGTTTCACGGGCTGCCATTAGACCATATCCCAAATGAGAATGCTGATATAACTCGAAATCTCTTCCGCCAAATGTAAGTTTGTATTTATGGTCACCTTCAGCCATCTTCTCGGGTAGTTTGAACTTTGGTTCAAAGACAACTTGGGTCGAACCTCCACCAAGATCGAAAACTGCTGCAGTATCTCCAGGAGCTGGGCCTCCAATGTTACCGAGTAAGAAGTTGGTTGTGATCCAAGCGTAGACACCCTCATCAGTACCATCCATAACTTGGACTCCACCCTTTTCGTCGGATACAACCGCGAAAGGATAGACAGTCTCCAATCTGGTACGAACAGCCTTGAGAATATTGTTGCTCAATTCCGGACCAAGTTTTCTTAAACCAGCAGTAGCTTTGACAGCCACAGGAGTACAAGACTTAAGTGCATCAGGGACAGTTTTCACTGCAACATCCATAAGCATATCGAGACTCTTTGCAGCACCTTCAGCATCAGATCCATAAGAACTCAATCCGGAGCCGCCCTCTTTCTTTTCAGTCATTTTGAACTCCTCAAACTCCAACTCTGGTGTAGGGCCGCAGTTGTTAAATTTGTATATGTGAACTCGAGATCCGGTACTTCCAGCATCAATCATGATGGCATATTGAACAATCGGCTTCGACTTGCTGTAGGATTTCGAGCACTTCGTTGTCCCATAAGTCGAATCAGATGGAGATTGTCCATCATTACCACCACTCTTAACTGTATCGACAGCACCTTCGACAGCACCTCCAACTATTTATGTTAGAAAATGATATATTAGGATTTTTTATTGTGGCATACCAGTGCTTGATACCTGCGTACCGCTTGGGGACAGATAATAGAACAGGAAGACTACGAAGAGCAGGATTCCTCCTGTCTTCAAGTATCTGGACCGCTGACTTTGGGTCATTCTAGCGTTCTTTGATTTCTCCAGTTTGGAAGCGGCGCTTTCGTTTGCGCCCGAATTACTATATCTTGCAAGCTTCTCGTGAGGGTCGTGTGATGTGCTCTTCGATGGGAGAGAGACAGAAGTACGTCGCATCTGCGAAAGAGCGACTATGAATGATAAGTAGAACTAACCACCTAGACTAATTACCAACTCAAGCCAAGTAAATATAAACTAAAAAAAAGCGAGTGAAAAGTCTGGCAAGAGAAAGGATTGGTGAAGTTCCAGATCCTATTACTTAGGTATGCTTTTAGGGAATGAGAAAAGAACAAAGCTGTTCCCTATTTAATTTCATAAGAATAAATTTAAGTAAGGGCAGAAAATGGAAATGAGAAATAGGGGACGTTTTGCCTTCTATCCTTGCATTGGATTTGAGTGCTGTGGCTAAATCTGGGATTGCGGCGATGAGTGATTGGTTGATGTGTTGTTAATTAGAGTGAAGGGGCTTGTGGAGGTGTGGAGATATCAACGCCTCAATGATAAAGATTTTCATTTAAGTTTGAAGCTTATCGAGAAAGGCATGATGTAAAAAGTGCTTAGTCACAGTCGAGGTACTCGCTTCAACGGCGGGGTTCCTTTATCAACATGTTAATGACACCCTTCGACCGAGTTTCCGAAACATCGTCAGCTCGAAGTTGCCTGCGGTGATAAATCTTATGTCTTTCATTCATAGAATGATATAGAACAGATACTATACCCTACATGAAATCGTTCATGATGCTACCTCAATAAATACCCTAAGTTTGGTTTCTCTTATTTTGCTTTTCTTTTCCTACCACTTTCCTCTCCGTCTCTCTCTTCTACTAACCTGTGCATCTCCCCTTTCTACCCAACACGCTCAAAAAATCACAGCAACAGAATAATGAACGTTCAGCTATATGTCTATGATCTGTCAAAGGGCCTAGCGCGTAATCTGTCAGGAGCTTTATTGGGAGTCCAGATTGACGCTATCTACCACACCTCTATTGTTTTCGAGGGTATTGAATATACCTACGATGGAGGGATCAAAACTGTCAAGCCTGGCGAAACTCATCTGGGTAAACCATTGCAGATTATAGAGTTGGGGAAAACAGATCTACCTATGGATGTGATTCTGGAATATCTGGACTCTTTGAAAGAAATCTACACCTTTGAGGTAAATTCTCCTACGATTTCAAACCTCCTGTCATAAGCTAATTGCACGTAGGCGTATGATCTCTGGAAACATAATTGTAATAACTTTTCAAACGATTTTGCTACATTTCTGGTTGGCCAAGGAATCCCCGAGCATATTACGAACCTCCCGGAAACTGTTCTCAACACTCCCTTTGGCAGAATGATCCAACCGCATTTCGATGATTATGTTACTTTGAATAATATGAACAATGGCGGTCTGTTGGGTATCCAAAATACAGAGGATCCACAGCAGCAAGCATCGATGTCACAGGTTCGACATGCCCAAACTTCTGCTGAACTGAACAATCTCTTGAACTTAGCAAGGAAGAAATGCGCAATTATTTTCTTTACTTCCCATAGTTGCGCTCCATGCAAACCTCTATATCCTGTCTTTGAGCAACTCGCAAAGGATGCAGGACGCAAAGCCGTTTTCATAATAGTTGATATTGCCCGGTCATATGAGATTGCCACAAGATACAGTGTTACCGCGACGCCATCCTTTGCGACTTATTTACAAGGCGAGGAGGAAAAACGTTGGGCGGGAGCAGATGTAACGACTCTACAACAAAATGTAGGGCTTCTGGTACAAATGGCGTTCCCGCCACATGCACATGAGTCTTTACGTTTACCAGCACTTCGTGCACCAAATATGTTGCCAGTTGTTTATACTAAAGTTCCGCCACTTGAAAAACTCAAAGCAAAGATGGGACCTGCTGCGGATATTCCAGCAGTCAAAGGGGTTCTCCACTTTGTATCAGAGGGACAATCAAAGCCCGCAGCACAGACTCATCTCCCGGATCTGGATGCTTTCAGTTGGTTTTTACGAGAAGCTCCTTCTAAATTACCCACTGAAGTCTTGTTTACAATCGTTGATGTTCTTCGATGTGCTCTCGTGGACCCAAGACTTAGTGGCTACTATGCCGAGGAAAAGAACCATAAAACTATTGCTCCACTATTCTCACATATCAATAGTCTTAAAGACTGTCCCTATTCACTCCGTTTAGTCGCACTCCAAGCAGGTTGCAATCTATTCACAAGTCCCTTATACCCTCAACACATTCTCGGCTGTCCGGCCCTAACCAACCCACTCGTTCAACTAATCACAACCTCGCTGCTTGATGACGCACATCATAACGTTCGTGTCGCAGCCGCAAGTCTTGCCTTCAATATGGCATTTGCAAATTCTAGTCTCCGTATAGAAGATCACAAAGAAGTATTACCAGAAAGCGAACAAATAGAACTTGCTGCATCTTTACTAGAAGCTATACAAGAAGAGAAAGAATCCCCAGAAGCATTGAAGGGATTCTTATTGGCGTTTGGACATTTGGTGTTTGGAACCCGAAAGATGGAGAGTTGGTGGATTTATTGAAGAGTATGGACGCTCAAAGGACCATTCTGGGTAAAGCGAAGGCTTTCCCTAAGGAAAGTGTGATTAAGGAGATTGGACAGGAGTTACTTGGGAAAGGCTTGGAATAGGTGTGCTTTTGTAGATATCTGGTGTTAATGGGCAATAGATGAACAACATACCACTTTTCCTAAAATTGCAAGCCACCACTTCATGTGCTTATGCGTTTGTGGTAATCTGCTTCGACATTGGTAAGGAAGTAGACAACTTGGAAGTTTAGCTCGAGCATGGACACGATGTTCCGTAGACACAGGTCATAGCTTCATGTTGGCATGGATCATAATCTGCAGTGTACAATTTTGAACGCAAAAATCCGCAAAGATACCTACAAGATATTGATATTGATATGTCGGATTATCAGATAATATTCCAGCATGCTTACCATGAAAGCCTCCTCTGAAGATTATCCCCCCAATTGTGTATTCCCATTGTTTTCTTATTCTTATCCTAACTTCAAATTTACATTATTCCGTTTTAAATTTTTGACACGGATCTCTTGACCATTTATTCTTACCTACCTATTGGATAGTGTTATCTTTGACTTCCCTGTCCATTCTGTATTCTCGCATCACTTCTCATATTACTACTCACTTTATGTCACTCACCTTATGACATATCAGATATCAGATATCAGGCCATACTTACTTCATTACTTACTTTCTAGAACACAACATGCTGCCGCTCTCCTTCCATTCCTATCTTCACTCCACATTTCCACTCTCACTCTATATTCACACTATCCATAGGAGTAACATTAATCTCTATCTTTCACCTTGCGATACAAGAACTCATATTTCATATCTTAGTAAAATTAGTCTCAACTTTGAGCTATCCTCACTTTCATCGTGGGTATATTTCTGTTTGTTTACCTTTTCAGTTTACCAATTGGATTTGTTTACGTTACAGTAGGTTTTGCTTTGTGGAAGTGGGATTGGAAAATTCAGGTTCGATTGAGAGATATTGGAACTTGGACGAGGCTGAGGAGTTTGTGATGGGGGTTGGTTTTGGGGGGGAAGGAGTGAAGTGTGAGGTTGAGGGAGATGGAGTATGTAGTATGTGAGTGAAGAGAGAATGGAAGAGAGAAATGGATTGATTTCAATGTGGCGGATGGAGCGAAGTGCAAATATAATATGGTGGATAAGAGGCGAGGAATGGGTTTGTAACATTGCGCTTCGCATTGTGTGAAGCTTAAAAGACCAATTATTTTTCAAACTTTCCTTCATGTGATTTTTTCAGGAAATGTAGAGGTGGAATAAACCGCTCTCTGTCGAGATCGTATAGCACTCATATCGATCTTTAGAAATTAATCATTGACAGGTAGCTTCCTGTAGATACCACGAACCATTGAAGTATATAACATAATGAGCGAGATTAGTAATGTTTATCGCTTATGGTGGTAGAATTTCGCTTACAATTTTGGTGCACGGAGGGGTGGGGAGAAGAATTGTGCATTTGGAATGGGATTTGTGGTGAGTGAATAGCTGTATGAAATGACATTGCATTTAATGGTAGATTTGGAGGACAGGTTCTGTGGTGTATCGGAGTGTTTGGGAAATTTTGCACATCTAACATTATCAAATTGTAACTTCCAGCGACACTCCAGAGATTGGGTATGGAGCCCTGCATTTTGTTTATTTCTGGGGTATAATCTTGGTTGCTCGAGAGCTAAGGAAGCTTAGGCTCTGATGGATAGAAGTATTGAGCAGATTCTCATAGTCCTTTCCAATGTCCAATCTCGAGAGTTCTTCATGTTGCTGATCTAGTGTTTGCAGATAGTGCCAGAGAGAAAAAGGAAAAGAGCCGGCTGTATTGTAGATATATAGAGCGAAGGCACAATAGATGTCAACTTTAGGTGATGATGGTAGGCGTGTATATCTGTTTCGGGCTGCGGGGTCTAATGCGTGGTTTCCAAACAGAGGCTTTGCTTTACCACCACCTCATGCTAGCTGCAGAGCTGCAGAGCTACAGAGCTACAGAGCTACAAGGACGCCGATTACTGTCCCTCGTGTATCTGATTAAAACATCCCAAAAGGGTGATGGCTTCGATGCTCCCCAAGTACTCACCTCGCCCCGCCTTTATCCTCCAATTCCCCACACCTACCCCACACTTCATCCCCTTCCGAGACCGCACTTATTCTCCGTATCCGGAATACACAATACCAAGGGCTCAAGAAGCTATAAGAAGGGAGGCTTGTATCTCCGAATTCTCCCAAATACAACAAGCTCTCTGAGGCCGGGACAGCTCTACATGGCTTCCGTCTTCCTGATATGATCCCACACCCTTACTTTGCCATCTTATTATACTTTATAACGACGACTGATGGACGCTCTATCTACTATTTGCTATTTACTTTGAAGCCATTCTGCAGTCATCGGCATAGCATGGCTTGACAACAGGCTGCTGTCACTTCCAGGGAATGTCCAAGGGGCGCCGAGAGCGGAGCGGGCCTGATAAAGGGATTGGACTCTGCCAACTGTCAGAATGTAGCTCCAACAAGGAACAAGGTAGAAGCAGGCTAACAGCTTGCAAGAAGATACTCTTGCTTGAAGCTACAACTGGATACAAGATCTTGTATTGCAACCAGAGCAAGTTCTGATAAGGCTTGAGCCTCCTTCCGAACCTGGTTCAGACATCAACAAGCTGGGCTTTCTCTTCTCTATACCTTTGCTTGTACTCTCATTGTATTTGATCCAACCACACGTACCAAACTCTCAATATTTGTGGCCCGGATCACTTGCCTTTTCGTGGTACAATTTGGGATTCTTAAGCTGCACTGTATGATATGGTCAGTATATGAGAGCGAATGCCGTGAGAGTTTCTTGGGAGGCTTACTACAGCACCCTATTTTGAAGTGTATTACTTCATGCTTTAAAGACATGCGTCAAACGAGACTGACGGTGGTGCAGCTTTAAAGTTGCGGTAAGATCTGAAAGGCGCAAGCAGTTTTTGTATTGCAGTGTCTTTTTCAGACCTAGAATTCAGTTGGAGTCAAGTGGAATATCATGAAGTACTGAGGCACTCCAGACGCGGGAGTTGTAAGGTGTGTGGGGTTTGAAGTACTCGGCAATAGAGAAGTTCTAGAGTAACGCAGCTGACCATCACAGGCAGATTGAGAAATTTGTGAGAGTACCTAGGTAAGATATAGGCTCAAAGCTCGAAGAGGATAAGTGAATTGAAGAAGAAATCAGTTGGTGTGATGAGGTATAGTGGAAGATCCATAAAGCGCATTTTACTAATTTTTGGGTTATTCAAACCTCCAGTCTATACCATTCCTTGCTGCCACCACAAACATTATTACAACAAGGCACTTCCCATATCCTCATAACAAGCAGAACAAGGCTACAAGAAAACCTGACGTTGAAAGCCCTGACTTTCTCGAACAGCTATTCGCTCGGTTAAGGTTATGGTGGTCGGGCCTTGTTGCTGTCTAGCAACCTGGTTATGATATTTCAAGCTTATTGTTCTTTCGCACAATAACCACTTTCGACCACAATACCAACTTTTGAGAAGAATTTGCACAACACCCCTCCAGCAACGACAATACCAATCACACTCTTTTTTGATACTTGTCGCTTTGCGAGAAAATCAATCTGCTTTTGATTCTATTGTGAGTATTCCCAAGCCATGATATAAAGAAAAGCACTTGCATCCTCAATTTTCCTTGAAATCAAAATTACTCGATATCCCATTCCACCACAGAAAGCAAACTTCGATCTATCAAAACTCACGATTTTCACAGGCCTTTCAAACAGAAAATTCCAAGTGTCAATCGTCCAAAGTAAGTAATCCTCAGCATCTCCATAATTTTTTCATGGTCAATACCGCGACCTTTCCATCTTACCATTTCGGCGAAGAACCTGCTTTATCAACCTTGAGACCACCCTTGCTAACTTTCGTCGCAATAGGATTTTCTCATACACCATCCTTGTTGATCAAGATCGTGTGTTTACCATTGAGTGAGTCAACCCTTTGAACTGATATGAGGGGTTGTTGCTTCCACGTTCTGCACCACTCCCGTTCTACTCAACTTCCTTGTCCCCACCACCGTTTCACCCTCTCAAGACTCTCCACAGTCATACTTGGACCTCGAGTATTCCCTTCAGAAACAGATCTTCACGTTTGCTGCCACAATTTCTTGTACCATTCCCTCTCCGATATCGCGCAATTTTTCCGATTCTCTCATGTATTCTCCCTGCATGGTATCTTGCTACTCGCATTTCTCTCCTTCGTCTTTCTTCGGCTTGAAATAGATACCTCTATCACTTGTCATTTTCAACCGAGTCCTATCTTCCTCGTTCAACATTCATGTATAGCGTGCCAACATCAAAGGTCGCATAGCTAACTCTCAGAGTAGCTCTTTAATTTCAACTTACTTATTTTCCTCTAATAAATTCGATTTGTAAGTGCTATTGTTTCCTCTTTCATTCCGACTAGTTTTTGAAAGACTGAACACCTGCTTACACCACAACAGTTTGAAACCAACATTTTGTACTTTCTCTGTCGCTCTTTATTGATTAAAGATCGCTTCAGCGTTTGTATTTCGCCGACAACAAGCTTCTGCGGCCGTCCTCTATCACCAGGACCAATCTAACAAGTTTTATCGATCTACGATCAGTAAGTGTTTGCTCTTGCCTCTGCTTTCTCGAACGCCTCTTGAAATCGAATATTTACTTACATTGAAACAGTTTTTCGGCGTTCTTCGTCTCTGCGTCCTTTCCTTGGCACCAGAAGCAAACTTGCCAATATCTTCTGATTTTTGACCTGTAAGTAATCTCCATCCTCCACGCAGCGAGAATTTCTAAACCGGACAATTACTTACACAACAACAGTATATCAAATCTGAAGTCCCTTGGTCGTTCCTATCGGCCCTCAGAACCTAGCATAGTCAACTCTCAACAACAACTTCTAGTGTCCTTTCTATCGACACCGAAGATATAACATCAAATCCTCTTCCTCCAAATACCACCGTCCGAAACAATCATGTCTTCTACTCAGTAAGTACTTTCAATTCAAAGTGGCGTCGATATCGGCACTATATTTGATAGATTACGCTAACTTGCTGAGTAGCAATAACATGAGCTGGTTTGCCAGCATGCCACTCGCAAGTGTCGCCGATTTTGAAAACGCTGCGTGGCTTGATCTTGCGCTTACAAGAAAGTTCGTCGGTGAAAAGCCATTAATGCAACTTAATTGGCTCGATCTTGAAGTGAAGTCCGTTAGATATAAGCCATTGGGCCAAAATATCGCGGTAGTTCAAGCAGTAGCTCGCAAGCAAGTCGCCACAAGCTTTTCATTGTTTCCCGAACTTGCTACCGAATTGCAAAACAAAATTTGGGTTATGGCATCGCTTAGATGTTCTCGTTTTATCTCAATCGTCGAGGAAAATGTCGATGTTGCCACACACCCTGATGATGACCAGTACAGAGTCATCGGAGCCACGCGCCCAAGACTCTTATACACTTGTAAGGGTGCTGTATCTGCTATGGTTGGCATTTATAGACCCATGTTCCAGCTTGATGCGAGCAAGTACCACGGCACAAAGAAGGGCGTTATGGTGAATCCCGACATTGACATCATCGATTTTGTGTCTCTTCTCAACTTTCAGACCCCCCCACTTGATTTTGTTGGGGCTCTTTTGAATCCTGGAGAGCTATATATGGTTCGCCACATTTGCCTTCCTATGCAAGAGTTCCATGATAATTTCCAAGCTGTTGCTCGAATTATTCGCAACCTACCTTTACTTGAATCTGTGGTCGTTGAGACAGATCAAGTCGATCTAACGCTTTCCGACACTCTCCACATTAAATTTGTGTTCGCAGACATCTGTTATGCTAGACCTGGCCGATCACCACGCACTGAGATGACCATAATGGTCATGCATGGCGGTTTCCATTTCATCGGTGCACAGGCCATTAGTATACTATTCAATGACGTTACCAACTTAACTCATCAAGCTGGCATCCTTGAGTCATTGGCAAAGATGAATCTTATGATGCGTCAGGAGGCGAACTTCCCCGACAAGATCTTTGCCTCTTTCAATTATCGTAATTCCTGATGAAGTATCTTGAGTTCTTTCCGTTCTTTTCCAAGGTACATGATCCACTCTCTTGCCAAATATCTCGTGTCTTCACTAACATCTCGCAGATTTGAGATTTATTCGACAAATTTGTGCTTTCCCAAATACAATAGCTAGGGTCTTGCTTTGTTACTTTAATGACTAATGACTTGTATCACCGTTTGTGGTGGTAGAATGTATTGAAATTGGTGCGTTGGATGCGATCGGTTTTTGCATCTTCTCTAAGACTACTTTGGTCAATGAGCTAGCAATACTATTAGCTGAAGACCTAAAGAACCAATAGAATACTTGATTTCAAATATGCATTTTTTTACTATGACTGTGCTGTGATGACTGTATAATGACGATCCCATAAATCTGCAGCAAATACTTCCATACCTCCCCGAAGTCGTGGCAGATTTGGAAAGGAAAATTTGACAATATCTTACATGAAGGTAGGACGAGAGGTTGGATTTATCCTCGATCTCATTAAACCAAATCACAGTAAGCCCAGCGCCCTTTAGAGGAAGCATTTCAACTACTTCATCAGAATTAGATCAATTTTGACCGAGATGCTGGGCAAAATACATGCTATCATGCCAAGTTGTAATGAAAGATACATCCTCGAGGACCGTAATCCAACGAGGGTTCTGGGAAAGTCTCTAGAGCAATTGCGAAGGAAAGGCAACGAGTGCAATGATAAGGACTGAGGGAAACTCGTCAATAATGGCGGCCACTGGGCGTTTTTAGTGCTGCGACTTGAAACTTTGAAGAGTGGCATTGGCTAACTTGAACAAAAGATAGTTAGTTGAGAATTATCAAGGACGATAGATGTTCAGGGAGTGAAAGCTGTGCACCTCAATTGTGTGTCAATTCTGATGGATGGTAAGTTGGTATTCTCACAGTTGTGATGTCCAAACTTTCAGAGTTTCAGAAGTTTGCAAAAGGTCTGTAAGAATCTGACCTCAAGGTAGACTCACATTGTTGTTAAGGAAGTATTGTTGAGATAAAGTCATCAAAGATGATGTATTCGAGTTATACCTGATAGAAGGTCGGCTAGACGACCATGGACGGGGATGGCTAGCCAGCATTGGCCTTTGAATACTGGATCCCAAACAACAAGGAACAATAAAATACTACCTATCCTACGATTTTATCTTTGGTTATGATAGTCTATTATATTGAATCCTTTCTTGCTGTCAACTGTAAGGAAATAGGAAATTTGAAGTTACAGAGGGGCAACGTTAAGTCTTGATCCAACAAAATTGCACAGGTGTAGCAACCAATTTCGATCCTGTGCTCTGCTTTGTTGTTACCAGTATCTAGGTACATGTATCAAGACTGAAAAAAGTTGGCGATTGTAATGAGAAATTTGGTAGGAGATCATGAAGAGCAACCAGTCTACTCTCCTATTAGGAGTATTTCCTGAACTTGGCATCGCAATTACGCTTCTAGTCCCGGAAAACATCAGCCGTGGCCTGAGACTGAAAGAAGTGTAAATCGAGCGGGGAAGAAGAAAGAAAGGACAGCGTAATTGATTACGGATAGCAATCACAGTGTTTGGAGGGGTAGCGGCAGTTCGTTAGCTGATTTAGGAACGTGGCTCGATTTGTCGGAGAAGATATTAAGAAGCTACTTCATGAAATATATAGGTAGCCCTCGGAATCGTGGCATCAATGGCCCGATGTACTCATAGTTTCCCTCTTGCCATCGTCCTACCTAAACAGGTTCAATTTGATCATGGCATTCCTGATCACAAAGGGAGATCCTAAACGCTCGCGATAAAGACTAGAATGGCTCCGTACTATATATATATAGCTGTTGTAGTAGTACGTCTACTAGTGTGTCGGAGATTTGGTATCTGGTAGTATTCGATGATCACAATGAGAGGTTGAAGTCTGTTTGGTCTTATACCGCCTTTTTCTGCCAGCACTGTTCTGATTATGTAAGTCCGATGCATTCACAATCTCGAGCTGTTGACAAGTTGCAGACAAGACTAGATTTCACCGAAGGACAACGATGGTCTAAATCACGCACCGGCATGGATTTGATGGTATCTAAAAGGGTGATGAACTCCCCATTACGTCGAATCTTTTCAAGCCATCTCACTCAAAAATACATGAGGCCCAAGAACCATTCTAATCACCTCAACAATTCATGTCTATTGCAAGGTACATCAGTCTACAGTTCAATCCGTTATAGAATTCTGCCTTTGCTTATAAAGTCTGTATTACAATTCTGATTCGTTCGGCCGTTTACTCTGAAGAGCCTATTCTCTACTCATATGAAAGCAATCTTGGCGCCATTCATGCTCTCAACGCCCATCTTGATCAATTGCAAGAACTCTAAATCTGGATCTCGATTTTCGATCACCCCAAACTTCTGCGTTAGCCGCACCAAGACATAAGCAGCCTGAGCCATAGCTTGTTGTTGAGCAGGGCATATTCTTGGACCTCCATAGAATGGAAGGAATTTCCAATTCATCTTACGCCCAACAAATCGATCAGGCCTAAAACTCTCCACATCATCACCCCAAATATCGCTGTCGTGTCGTGGTTCATACACCATGTGCCAAGCACTACTGGTGATCCTTTGGGAACAAACATCGGTTGTGTTTGATCCTCGCTACCTCCTTTGGTAAAGTAGTGTCGCGCACTGCAGCTCGCCATATCCTAGCTGCTGAACCAACAGTTCTAACGGTCTCTTGCAACACGTACCTGAAGTCTGCTAATTGTTTTAGCTTTTCAATTGACAACGAAGCACCGCCTAGTTCAAGCGAAATGCGACGAAGCTTTTTCCATTCGTTCGGATGACGAGCAAGCTGGAAAAGAGCATTTGCTACTAGCCTGGATGTCACATCCCGTGCTGGCGCAAAGAAACCTAATACGTGATACCGAAGCGCAATGGGACCTCGGATCTGCTTAGCCATTTTGTGCAACAGGACGTAGCGCTTTCCATCAGAGGGTGCGCTATCAGAATCCGTTTTCGCAGTGTCTTTAAGAGCCAACTCTACTTGTTCATCTACAAATCGGTGGACTGTCTTGTATGACTTCTTCCAATTCGGATCCTCAATAAGTCGTTGGTAGTGGAACTGGAACCATGGTGCGTCGCGTCGAGCACTGATCCCTTTCAACCCCGCAGTGAACGCTTCAGTGAACTCAATACTCTCAGGCGAGCCTTGCAGTCCATTCAAAGAGCGTCCAAAGATAAAATCTATGGAGGTGTCTAGGAACTACGCCACGAAAATGTCAGCGCCTGATTACACACTATTTTTGCGAGCCACATACTAGCCTATGCAGCAATGGTTGAATATCAAATGTCTGTCCCTCTTCCGGAATCAAATCCAAAAACTTGTCTACACAAGAAGCAAAAAGTCCAGATCTGATAGTTCTGCCCTTGCAAAAATAGGTTTCGCTAAATCACTCGACAGGCTCCAAGCAGGTCCATCTGAGAAAATACTAGGTTCCAAAAGTGGCCATTGAGCTGCTTCTCTGCCTGCGTCCTTTCCAAAGTCTTCCGCAGCTAGTGCTGCTACATTTTAAACGTTCTTCAGATCACAAGTATTGAAGAGTATCGTACCACGCCAAACTTCCGAGAAAGTTTTCCCGTGAGTGACAAATTGCGACTTATATAATCTGAAAAGGTAGCCCTCTTGAACTGCCTGAGCTTGTAGACGGGCTAGATAAGTGTCTAGGACATTTTGATGAGGAAATTTATCTGGTTCTGCGCAGTTGTGTCGGCGCTTCAGATTCCGAATATTCCTCGATCTTTTCAATTTTGGCCATAACAAAACCAGGGCGGTGACTACTATCACGATTATGTATCGTAAAAGTGGTTGTTGCCCACCGTAAAATGACACATCCATAGCGCCCTATATGAACGGGGATTTGGAGGAACTTTCATTTCTCATGCAGACTTATCATCTCTATATATTGGAGAGCATTACCATCCTTGAATATGAGAATGTTCACAGACACAAAATGCATATCCAGGGCGGAAGCCGAAAATGGTGGCCCAATTAGGGACCATTTTGGCCCTCTACAATGTACAAGTTGGAATCAGCAGTGAGCATGGTGAGAGTCTCATAATTGGTGGAAACTTTATGCAATACATAATACCTACTGTGCATGGAATGAAGCGTCATTTAGGAAACCCACTTCCCCCGGGTTAAATATCGCGATAGTCTGTCTACCTTCACTTCTATGTAGATGAAAACTTGCTTCATGCCCGCTGTTACGTTCAATGCAGATCCGCTAGGGTAGTACAAGGGTCCAGAGATAAGCTCATGTTGGCCGAAGGCCGAATCATCAACGCTAAGTCTAATGTATCGCTAGCGCATTGCTTGTTTGTGGTAATCAGGCTTATTTGTTGATCTTATCCTTGAGATAGTGTTGTAATCTGCACGCTCGGATTCGTTTATTTTGTCACTTCCAGGGTGTTATATAGACCAGCACCAGCCGTTTATTCCAGTAGATCCTAGTCACTGCACATCCTTGAAATTTATCCGGGTCATTCCTCCTCCCCTTGTTTACTAGTGACTACGAGGCAAAAAGCTTCTTGTTCTGTTCTTCGTCTATCTACATGTGTAGAACTTGGCATAAAATCAGTGTTTCGTTCGTCTATATCATTTTCATGAGAACGTGAGAAAGTGGATGCCATTTTTATGTACGTGCGGTTTCATTGTATCATGTAGGTCACAAGTCAGCCCTTCGTTTCTACTGGCTCAATGTATTAATCCGGACCCTTCAGCTGCTACACCTATCTCATGTCCTCTCAGTGCCTCAGTAAATAGTGTTACCAATGCTAGGCGACGACAAGACTCGGTACGTCGGCGATTCTGCAGTCAATGCGTTTCCCGCAGGTGCAAACTACGAAGACGCAACATTAAAAGACGGCCATTCACCTCGATCATCCTCGGATAGCACCTCTGATAGTTCTATAAGTGACAGTGATAATGAGCAAGTCCAGCTCATCGAGTCTGATACTACTCATACCCGTGAAGGAGGGGTTGCCTCACATGAGACAGCAGAGGAGCCTCCTAAAAATGAAAAGGAGAAGCCTGCATCATGGTTTTCTCTACCCAGAAAAGATCAGCTCTTCATCTTAGCCCTCGCACGTATGGCCGAGCCTATAGTTCAATCCAGCATCAACTCATACATGTTCTTCATGCTGCGCTTTTTTGACCCATCACTCTCTGACTCGACTATTTCTTCACAGGCAGGTTACCTCGCTGGGGGTTTCACAGCCGCCCAGTGCCTCACAGCTATGGTATGGGGCCGCGTGGCTGACAATGCTTCCGTAGGCAGAAAGAATGTGCTTATTATTGGATTGTTAGGCACTTTTACATCCACCATTGGTGTTGGATTTTCTCGATCTTTTGCGCCTGCGTTATTTTTTCGTTGTCTTGGAGGAGCTTTGAACGGCAATGTTAGTATCATGCGAACGATGACTTCTGAAATTATCCGAGAAAAGAAGTACCAAACAAAGGCATTCTTGTTAATGCCAATTATGTTCAATGTTGGTATTTTCTTCGGCCCTTTAATTGGAGGTTGGCTGCAGGATCCAGTTCATACTTTTCCCAGTGCGTTTGGAGCTGGAAGCAAGCTTGGTGGCAAAGATGGTGTGAGATGGATGATAAAATACCCATACGCTTTACCAAATTTATTCAATGCTTTCCTGTTATTGCTTTCGCTGTTCCTTGTAATTCTAGGTCTTGAAGAGGTATTTGACCCACAATGTTTTGCTTGATTCCACTGACAAGCTTTCCAGACGCATATTGATCGTCAGCATCTCTCTGATCCAGGCCTTAAGTTCGGCCGTTTGATGGCTCGCATTGTTTGCTGCAAATCACGACAAGCTAAATATGCTCGCTTGGGAGTGGAAGAAAGCATGAATGATGTTGAGATGACAACACCTTCCGAACACAACACAGAACCCAAGAGTTCATACAAGCCACGTGAAAAGCTGCCTCTCCGACACCTACTTCGTCGCAATGTTATCGCTACCATGGTTGCTCATGGGCTTATACAATGCCACACAAGCGCTTTCCAAAATCTTTGGTTCTTATTCCTGTCTACGCCTCGCTTTGATCCTGCCAGTTCAGAACCACCTTTTACACCACACCCCCCTCTTTTCTTTACAGGAGGCTTGGGTCTTTCACCGGATACCATTGGAACTGCAATCGGTATTATTGGCGCAATGGGTTTGATGTTGCAATTTGGTGTCTACTCATGGGTAACGCACCGTTTGGGTGTATTGTATGCATACCGCTACTCTCTAGTACTATTTCCATTCGCGTACGCCCTTGCGCCATTCCTAGCACTTCTTCACACAAAATCAGAATCGCCACACGCAGCAGACGGACCATTGATTTGGATAGGAATATGCAGTCTGCTATTCGTTGTAGTCATAGGTCGTACATTTGCACTTCCTAGCTCGCTCATCCTTATCAATAACTGTACACCGCATCCGAGTATTCTCAGCACTATTCATGGTATTGCGCAGAGCGTGAGTGCTGGGTCTAGAACATTGGGCCCGCTTGTTTTTAGTGCGGTGTATGGACAAGGACTGAAAAAAGGGATGGTGGGGATGGCGTGGTGGATTTTGATGATTGAGGCTGGCGTTGCTTTTGGGGCAAGTTGGGTGGTTTATGAAGGTAGTGGTCATGAAGTGGAAATGGAAGGAGAATCTTGAGGATGATTTAGTTCGATATATATGGATGGTATCACGGGGTGTATAAGCTATACAAGAGACGATAGACAATCTTAGGTGTTGAAGTCAGAGTATTTATAGAATAACTTAGTGGTATGTTCAATCTTTCAATTCCATCACTACACACATAAAACTAGCAATGCTAACTCCATTTCCCATAAACCTCGTGAAAAAATCCCCTAAACGGAAGAAGAGACCCACAAGATAATACAAGTTCCAGACAAGCCTAAGCTTACCCTTCGTTTCCACGATTTTTATTTCACAAGGCTACAATGCCAGGGCACCCTCCATGAATCAAGCAAATTCTCCACTTTGCAGGGGGTGTCAGTCCACTACACGTGTTTTGACAACAGAACTTCGAGTCAATCTGTGATAGAAACATGACGGATTCATGATCTTGCTAGTTTTTGTATTTGTATAGAGGATTTTGATGGGTAAATTTGCTGCATACTACAAGATCTCTCTTGAAATGCCACATGCATAAAAAATTATGAAAAACTTGATCAAAATTTATAAATATTCAAGAGGTAGGAAAATACTCTTTTGATTTTTCTAGTGTTTGACACGTCTGAAAGCTCTAGTGACTTGAAAAGAATAGAAGTGTAGAACAATATAGATATCCAGAGTAGCTGACAAACTAATAACTAAAATTTATCAAAGAAAACTCTTCAATATCTGTACCGATAGACGAGACAATGCCAATTTCCACTCCCAGCTCCTATATTTCTCAAGAATTCGCATCATTTTGATCTGAAATTCAGCCTTTGAAAGCTTTCGATCTTCAAGAATTCGCCGTGGACAGATCTTCAACCTCATTTATATATCGTTTGGGCCAAAATGTTCGATTTAGATGTTGTACGATGCGCTGGACCCTTCCAAATGTGCCATATCAGCATTGGCACATTACGCGTCAGCAATGATAATCTCTCTATGTTTCTCGCTACGTGGCACGAGCTGGAACTTCAAATTGGCTGGGTAGCTGACTAGCCCATAAGTGAAGTCATTCTTGTCTGGGATATAAGGATTGCCATTAATAGTAACGGGAAGAACATCGTATGCCCAGATCAATCTGAGTTGATGAGTTAGTGTTAGGTTTTTGGGTAAAGATTGTGAGATTGATCGATCAATAAAAAGATATGAGGGTGCACTTACCGCGCAATAACGATATACATCGATTGAAGTTCGACGTGCATGCCGGGACACATTCTTCGGCCGAAGCCAAAACAACCAAAACGATAGTTGAGGATGACCCCAGTCTCCCAAAATCTTTCCGGTATGAATTTCTCGCCCTCAGGAAATACCGCTGGGTCTTTCATGATTTCGCTAATGCAAAGTATGTCAGCAGATGAACTGTCATTTTGTCATCTGTGAGGACTTACGCGGCGTTGGCATAAACAGAGGCGTCTTTGGGAATTAACATGCCCTTATAGGTATAGCCCTGGGTTGACGAGTAAGCAATACCTGCTAGTGTTACGAGTCGCCATCTGAATTAATGAAGTTAATAACTGATCCTACACATAATATTACAGATACCTACCTCAATGTTTCCCTAATAAAAGCACCCAAGTAGGGCAGTGATTGCTGGTCTTCAAAGATTGGCATGCGATCCTTTCCAACGACTGCATCTATTTCGGCTTTTACCCTCTGGAGACATTCTGGGTAATGTAGCATAGCCACTAAAGACACGAGATATCATTAGAATGTTACATGCTAATTTAGAAGGAAGAACGTACAAATCGCAATTTCTAACGCGGTGGTAGTCTGTGTCAAATTTAGCTTTTTGTCCTATGAGGGAATGAGTTGAACTTACCGTGCCGATACCTGCGGCCTATGAAGCAGAAAGAGCATATGCTAGCTCGACGTCATCATTCATGTCTAACTCCTTTTGTTTTGTAAGACCATAAGTGGATGTGCATGGGACGGCGGTGCCATCTTGCATCTTTCTTTTGACCTCGTTCATGGCTGTTGTATATAGCCTTGTATTGGTATCTTGATGCTTCTCAGGCTCATGTCGGAACCATTGTAAAGGATGCTTTGGAAAGTATTAGTGGCAATCCTTACACCGGAAAGCATAGCTAACTTACTGGGAGCCATAGCAACATGGGCCACTAATCAAGTTTTCAGTCAATTGTGTACCGACCTTACATTCTGGGAAGTTCACTTACGCTCTCAAGGGAAAATTGACCAGGTACTCTGTTAAAGATGAGTTAGCATAAAGAATTTGATTGGTCTTTCTAACATAGAGACTTACTTTGTACTAGGAAAGTATGGGTACTTGATCAACACACCCTTGGACGCCATGGTACGGATGTGACTAACCTTTCAATTTCTATAGAGAAGATTGGCAAATATTTCAAAGATAAAGAAAGGGCTTCTACTTAAATTCTTCTTCCTGATCATGTGCTACGCAAAGAGGGTCGTCAAGAGATGTAACGCGACGCCCATATCCCATGTAGAACATCAAAGATGCTGTATACCTATGGAACTCGAGTTATTTTCATGTATCTATTGTAGGAAGTTCAAACGTACCTTCGGAGAATTTTGTGTTGCTTAGAGGAGCCCTCCTTTGTCAAGTAATCGTGCATTAAGATTGCGGATTCATTGATTTGCATAGGTTTGACTTTAGGTGCTACCTGGGGACTGAAGTGCAAGTTTTGTAGCTTAGATGAAAACGTTGGTTTGATTCGGATTAGTAATAGTCTTGGAAATGGGAGTCGGACTGTTCGCCAGTTTCACCATTTGGGCCCGTAGGTCATTGAGAAGCCACGCAGTCTTGAGAAGAGAAATTCCCTGATATTGGTTAGCATCCCAATCCGCGTACTCTCCCGTTCACTGGGAAACTTACCCCATGATAAAGTGTGGACGACTCGAGAATGTTTCACCGGCTTTCTCGAGAATGTCTACAGCAGCCTCCATGATCCCGAGCATTGGCGAATGTTAGCACAATAGGAAGCGCTTTCTATAATTAAGATATATAGCATACCGATGTTGAGCTGTTGTCCAGTATAGAAGGTTACTACATTGCCTATAAACTGTTGTCAACAAGGCAATCTTCAAGTCAAGAAAAGAAAGAACGCCGGACCATATTGTTCGTTCCATGATTTGAACATGTTCCAGCGATCATTGTCTAAGAGATTCGCATGATCACGACCTGGAGGTCCAGGTGGTAGTTGACTTAAATCATACTTTCTGTTCTATTTTATTAACTGAATAAATTGAACAGCGGCTATAGCTAGAGCCAGAGGAACAACGAAAAGTAGTAAGTTTCCCATGATTTGTAGTAGGAACGATGTTGTTACTTGGATCAATAGAAACCATTCATATTGACAAAAGGAGTTTACAGTCTTCTTATACTATTTCAGATGGGTGTGAGAGTATGACATGACAGTGATGTTGATGCAATTTCTTGTTATCATGATAACCATAGTCTTCTTGAAGTTCCACCCGTGAATTGAAACTAGCGATACTGCATCACAGTACATCTGAGAAAAAGCTACACCTTTCGACTTCGCTGTCATAACATCTTGCACGTGCAAGCACTTCAACGCGGACCTCTATGGTATCAATAAAACGGAGATTGTCAGACGAAGTCTCCTGGTTGTCAAGATCTGCAACCGACGTATGTGATGATTATGGCAGAGAAAGCTGTAGTCGATTTAGACTACCTTGCGATGACTTCATGGACATGCTACAGTACAAGCTACTTTCCTTCTATGGATTTGAAGTCAAGGTAGAAAACCCTTTAGAAATATGCCTTGTCGTTGTATCACTCGGGACTCGGGTTCCGAATCTACTTGATCGATTCAGATCCACTTGACCCGCGTTCTGAGAAGGGCGGTAATCCAGGCGGACTGCCTCCGTTAATGACAAAAGATCTGTTGGACATGGACACAATTAAGCAATTGAGGGGGGCGAGGAGAGTCTGCACATGGTTGAATACACTGGGCTATCATTTCCTAGCATGGTTAGTGCTTATGGCATGTACCCCTGAACGAAACATCTCGCCAGGCCTATCCGTAATTGAGCGAGCATGGGTTAACCAGCGCGCGAGACTTAGCATGAGGACTTGAGAATTAATGGATAGATGGATGTGCCATGATCTACACAGCGGTTACAGTATTCCAAATTGCAATCAATGATAACAGTTCTTGATTTCTGTATCTATTTTCCCATGTTTGAAATTTTGAATCCACACGGATTTTTAAGCTGCATTCAAAGTTTCAAAATACTTTGAACATTGAAAACTTTCCGTTCTGATCTGTTAGTTCGGAGTGTCGAATTTTCTGCATCTCCCATATTTCACTATTTTTAGTTCAAGCCGCAATTAATCTTTAAAGCTATTAAAGTAAATTTTGCGTCTAAATTATTTATCCTGGACTCGCAGAGCAGAAAGCAACATTACAATGGAAGCGACATGGCGAGCTTACTCCCTTCCAAAAGAAACCTCTCTTATTGCCATAGACGTGTTCGCTAGAACGCAAGATGATCAAGGGCTCCACGGCTTTCAAAATAGCCAGATTGATGACTCTTCTATGGCATCAAAGTTCCTTGTTCAACATCTTCAAGGAAGCGATTGCGTTATCCGACTGCTGTTCCCAACGGTCGGTGGATACCTTGTCCAATCGGACTTTTTAGACAGGCGCCTGGTCGATTGTAGCGACGTTGACAAAATCCAGACTTTTACATCACTTGATCAACATTTTGAGGGTATTGATGTCAATGCCTGTAAGGCGCTCGGTATTGCCGACATCTCGAAAAAGGCTATTGGGGCCATAGTTATATCGCGTACAAGCAGAGCTTGGTCCGAGGCTAATACAGTAACGCTGGACGGAGAGCTAAAGCGAAGGTTTTCGTTCGCATGGCATTCTGCAAGACAGGCCCCAAAGCGATGCTTGGCAGTGATCCGTCCTGGTCCTCCTTCACACCTACTCAGTCTCTCAAAGCTTGAGGATCTTGCGATAGCGGCTACGTCCCTCAATATTGTACTCATATTCTTTGATGATCTGTGTCATGGGCTGGCAGGTGCTGAATGGGCACATTTGCGCGAAGACTTCGTCCCTCTGGATATGACCCTGGACGAAGACATGCCTCAGCGGATCGCTTCGGCAGTCTCTACCTACCCAAAACAAATCGATGGAATTATTGGCATGTACGAACCTCTCCTCACTATAGTTGCAGAGGCAGCTACTTTACTAGGATTCTCAACCTCATCACCAAAATCCGTGTCGATGGCACGTGATAAGTATCAAACCCGCCAATTCAACCAAAGTCTCTTCTGTTACCGAATACAGAACATTCAAGATCTTGATGACGTCATAGCTCGCTATAGGACTGTTGCACCTCTATCCCTCCCACTCATTGTAAAGCCAGCGAATGGGTGGGCTTCAGAGGGAGTTTGTAAAGTAACGTGTGAGGACGAACTGAGAGACGCAGTGCTTCGATTATGGCAACCTCCCTTCTCGGAAAAGTACGGCCGGGATACCCAAAGCTTAGTTTTAGTTGAGCCATACGTGGATGGTCCAGAAGTGGACGCTAATTTGGTTCTTGTCGATGGAGAAATTGTCTTCTTTGAAGTTAACGATGACTTCCCAAGCTCCGGTGATAGCGATGGACAAGGATTTGTTGAAACCTTAAATGCCATGCCATCTGCTTTGCCAGAGAGTGAGATTGATGCTCTTCGACTCAGGTCGCATGCTACTGTATTAGCCATGGGTTTCAAAACGGGTATATTCCACGTGGAAGCCCGAGTTCATAATTCCACGTTTGATTTTGCCACGAGGGACGATAATATCCTAGACCTCTCAGTGAAACCGGAAATCGCAGAGAGTAAGAATAGAACTCCTACAGTATTTATACTAGAGGTCAACCCGCGACCGCCGGGAATGCGTACACATACAGCCATTGCTCGAACGTACGGAGTGTCGTATCGAAGCATAGCGCTTCTCGCTGCTCTTGAAGACCATGAGCGGTTGCGGGCGCTGGCGATCCCTTTCGTTGGCGGCGCACAATATGACATGCAAGTCTTATTTATAGCGGCACAGAAAGGTGGAGTCTATCAGTCTGGGGATGTTTGCTCAACTGTCCTAGAGCGTGAGCCACACTTAAACGGTCACGTCAAGCAGTCCATGGGATTTCTTCACAATGGACAAGAAGTTCCTGACCCGAGGGGCCGAACAAGCGGAATTGCTTGCTTCTGGATTGCCTCTCAAGAGGGGAGACGAGAAGCTAGGCTGATTAGTGAGAAAATAAAACAGCTAGTTTGGGAACTTACAGATGGGTTTTAGAGTTACGGTTACTATATGGGCCTCGACTGATGAAATGAACCTAGTGTGCTTTGAATTGTGAAGGAGAAAACGGAGATCTCGCTGCCACTCTTCCTTGTAGAGCTTTGTTAGATATAGATATCACCATAGAACTAGTTCTTCTCAATATCGCCGGAACGAATATCCAAGTATTTCTCTCTCCTTCTTCCAACTCTTAGCGTTTAGCCAACTTTCCCATATCCAAATATGGTTTCTTATTCCATTTCAGTAAAATAATTGAATTTTCCATCACCGTCCTTTGTGTGTGTTGCAGGAATACTTAAATCAAAAGAATGAATTGTTACTCAATAGTGGTGTTCAATAAGTTAAGACCTTTCCACCTTCTTTGATGAATTGCTTTGTGGCCCTCAGAGCCTCAATGATCTTTTTTAAGTTCTTCCTCGAATCCCGACAACTCGGATTCCCTTTCGGCACTTTTAATGCAATTGTTCCCTACCTGAATAAGCTGTCGACATCGCTGCAATGGCTTATCTTTCAGAGTCAATCTATCTTTGTGCCTTGGCAGAAGTGCAAATCCTGCAAGGTCCGCACGTACCCGTTGTGCTCAACAAATCATGACTGGTTGATTGCCGCTATCTTTAAGACGGAGCTGAGTAGAAATATGGTCAGCACTCACATATATCAAGGAACTATGTAGTGTACAAATCAACATTCAATTTTATACGGCTGCAAGTGTGTATTGGAGTCGAAATTAACATTGAACTTACTATATCCCATACGATGATTTTTTATTCTTTTTGTCATCATTGTTGAGTCTTACTTATAGTCTCATATATCTCTCCCCACCTCCCCTTCTTCCCACCTTTCATTCTCACGGAAAAGCTACCAGTATATTCTTCTTTTGATGCAAAATTACGCATTCTTGAATACACAACCGTTGGAAGCAATTCTATGTTTGAGTTACCATTGATCCATTAATCTTGATTCCTTCAGTATAACTAAGATGAAAATTCCCAAGAATCTGCCTCTGGGGCAGATCCTGATCTTGTGTATGTTGCTCCAGTCCAGCTGAAAGCTAGGTACCAGCATGATTCATAACACAGCATTCATACAGCACTGTCCAGATTTGCACATCCATTTGCGTACTCGGCGTCTCTCCCTTACATCCCAATGATGATGAGATATGTCGGCGTTCCTCCAGAGACGCTAGGCTTTTGGGTTGGAGCAGCTATTTCCAGCTTTTCCATCTGTCAAGTAGGAACTGCTATACTATGGGGCCATATATCCGACCATATCGGTCGAAAACCCGTAATTATGATGTGTAGCATGATGATTATGGTTGGCGTTCTCATGTTCGGGTTCTCAACACAGTTATGGATGGTTTTGTTAAGTAGGGCAATTATGGGGTTCAGCAGTGGAGATTCTGGGGTTATCAAAACGAGTCTAGGAGAGACGATCAAAGATAAAGTTATTTTCCACGTTGCTCGTGTCTTTGGCTAAACGCTGATATTGTTTCAAGAAACTCCAAACAGTCGCCTTTTCCATCCTTCCACTCGGGCTTAATTCTGGGTGGGCAGTAGGTCCGATTCTGGGAGGTCTCGCAGCAAATCCATATCATGTTGAGCCTGGAAAGCCACATGGTGATAGATTCTTAGAGAGATACCCTTATGCTCTTCCTAACCTCATTGCCACAGGGTTCTTTTTCTTTAGTTTGTTTATTGTATTCTTCGGATTCAGGGAATCACTAGAAAGTAAAAGGGGGAAGTCGGATTATGGAATTATGTTAAGAGAAAGATTTGTTGCAGTAACTAGTAGGTTCTACAATAAAGTAATGAGCAAAAGTGATGAGGACGAAGACAAGGAAGAAGACGATTTGGAGACCTCTCCTCTTTTATCAGATGAGAACTCTTTACCACCGGCTATTCTCAACGTCGCGGAAGCCATCCCTCCAGTATCCGAAAATCCACCATTAGCAACATGGAAGCAAGTCTTGGATCGACAAACTGTCATGTGCATTATTTCGTATAGTTTCTTAACTATGCACTCATCATCATATGATTCGATCATCTCAGTGTTCATGCACCATGCCAAACAAGACCCTTCCTCCCCTCAAATGCATCTTCCCTTCAAATTTAATGGTGGATTTGGTTCGGGTACGTCTTCACCTCCCTGACAAAAAATGTTCTATTACTAAACCAACATACAGATACCACAGAAATCGGTCTCATGTTCACCATCTTCGGATTTTTCTGCATGTTCATTCCCCTCTTACTTGTCGGTATCCTCAACAGATATTTCCCCGTCCTGCGCGTCTTCCGTTACTCGTGCAGCATTGCGATTCTACCCATCTATCTCGCTACTCCTTTCACAACCCTTCTCCCCAATCCCGCAAACTTTATCGTGCTTAGTATTCTCTTTGCTCTGAAGGGATGTATATGTGATTTTGGATTTATCTCTGGTAGCATACTGGTTGCGAGATCATGCAAGATTGATAATGGAAGGGGGAGAATCAATGGTTTACAAAGTATGGTTAGCGCGATGGCAAGGATTGTAGGACCGCTCTGGGCGGGGAGTATGTTGGATCTCGGAGCGAGGATAGGATATATAGGAATGGGATTTTGGGCAGGTCCGGCGTTGGCTGTGGTGTTGGCTTTGTTGCCGCTTTCATTGATGACGGATGATTAGATTCAAAGGGGGGAGGTCAGGCTTGAAAGAGATATGAGAAAGATTAGAGAGAGATACTATGTAGAGACGTAGGTTTAGGAAGCAGTGTGTGAATTTCCTTAATCACACAAATTCGGATATATATCGACGGAAGAAACCCACAGAACGAAATACACGGGACCCCTCCACAAAGAACTTCGAATGGCTTCAAAATTCACAATTACATCCCGCAAAACAGCTCATCCATGTAACAAGCGCCTAAAAAGCTGCAATGGAAACCTCGAGAGATGAACAATTCAACCCGAATTTGTTGCGATATAGGTGATGAATTTTGTCTACTTTTTTTTACAGCTAAAAATAACTACAGGGAGCTGCATCTCCGGTTCAAGTTATTTCAACGTTTCAGCCACTCTTACTCGATTTATGAATCAATGTTCATCTTGCTGAAAATGACATCCCATCTAGTTATACCCACGTGCCCAAGTAATCCCTTCAATCATCAATATAAATGAGCTTCAATCTCCCATAAAATTAATCCGAACTCGTACTGAGGCGAAAGCGGGATATCTTTAACACGTGCTTGTTCTTTACTCCACCATCCCCTCACTACATACCCAATTTCGCTCGTTCCAAAACTCCAACTCCATCCACAGCCACTTCTTTAATCAGTTCTCCATTTTTTTGCAGCCTTACATTGAGTTAGACGGCTCGATTTGTGAGCTATGGAAGAGAGCGCTAAAACGCGTATTCTCGAACTCGCTCAAATGCGAATCTTGCGCAACCCGGTTTACCTTTAGTCGAGGTATTCTTGGATGACACTGTAGACAGCAATCAGGCTGCAAGATTTCTGTTGGAAGCATACTCCGAGAATGGGAATGATGTGGATTTCACGCAATTTTTGAGGGACTGGAAAGATTTGGTGAGATTGTGTAAGGTTTATATCTTGAGAATTAAAGAGGCACATTGCTAATGATGCGGAAGTCTATGTGGAGTCTTCTCACTCGAGAGATCTGAGTTGGTCGTTGAAGAGAACGACTGTGCTGCGAGATCAATGCCGATGTTGTTTGACCAGAGAGTGGTGCCGATTTTGGGGGATTTGGAATGTGTTTCCCATTATTCCTCCCACCGCACTCTGTATAAAAGATGTTAGCACAACTCCGATAATGTTTTCCCGGTAACTTCTGATTGTGTTTCTAGCAAAGACTATATGATATGCTTGGTGCATTTACTATATCTTTTCACCAAGACCTGCTCAAAGACAAAACTCTAGAGAATCAGATTCGTAATCATTGGATTTTGAGCGAGGATGCGGCAATGCCCCTTTCGAGAGGGGTGATAATGACTCAAAAAGCTGGGAGCAAAATTTCCTCATGCCTTCCCTTCCTTGAATCTATCCACGCTAACTTTACACAGTACAGCATCATGTATAACAATATTAGCGGCAATGTTCCGGCGATTTATATGTACAGCCAACAAGCCAAGTGGAAATGTGACCTAGTTGATCACTCAAACTCTGGAATTGAGAGTCCTGACCCCTATCTTATCGATATATAGTCTCGGCTCTCTAGAGTTCTAAAGTGGGCTGAAATTGATACGAAGATAAAAAGGCGCTCATCCTTACGCCGAAGTCAAAACACAAGCAGCAGTTCTTTCAGAGAATCGATCACTACTACTTTTCTCGTTATGTGGCCTAGGTTCCCTGAATTTATCCGATTCAAGACCTACCGAGTTTTGAGAGCTGTTGAATCATATCTCTATGGGTCTACCACGAGAGGAGTTCAGAGGCTAACATTCGGAATGTACCTCAAATATGGCCCTGAATACGACGCTGAATACCACACCGGAGAATCCAACGCTCTTAAAATTGTGCGAAGTCGGACTTCCATCCCTGTTCCGAATCCCATAGATCTCTTAGTCTCACCCACTGAGTCTTTCCTTGTGATGTCCCGCATCGAAGGCGTACCCGCCGGACACGCTATAGACGAATGCAGTGACGAGGAGGTGCATCAGATGGCTCAAGACCTGCGTTCCTACATCACGGAGTTACATACCATAGAACTGAACAAAGACTCCAAATACGCCATCACCAACGCAACCGGGGGTCCTTGTTTGGATTACCGTATCGACAGTGAGCCAGTAGGTCCTTTTCCCACTGAGAAAAAATTCAGTGAATCATTGCAGTTGGGAATACTTCCCGGATCGATGCATCGGACTGATCACAAGACATTCTTTACGCACGCGGATTTGAATATGAAACACATCTTGGTCAAGGATGGGAAGATCTCAGGAATTGTAGATTGGGAGAATTCGGGATGGTATCCTGAATATTGGGAATATATCAAGTGCCGATTTTCGGTCAAAATACACAAGCAATGGGTGAAGATGATAGATGAGACATTTGAGGATAAGTATGAGGAGGAGTTGGCGATTGATAGGCAATATTGGGATTACCAAAGCGCTTGGTAGATTGGATAAAGCTTGGAAATGTATTGTGTAGAGAATTCATGGAGATATAATCGAGTTGATGGGGAAGTAAAAGATCTGCTAGCGCTGTTTGACTAGGTACTGGTGGGTACCTAGATAGGTACCTAGTTACTGCATCAGGCTTCCACGTGATCTACCGACTTTCTACTGAGGAATTGGTTGATGAGCATCACCGAATCGGTTGTTAGTACTCAGTAGGCCTTACCATTTCGAAATCCAAGAGCAAGATCTACAAATCAGTCTTCCTCATGATGTTGAAGTGGTTCTATTGAAGGGGATACACGTGTTAATCTAATGTAATTCACCCCTACCTAACAAATGACCACCAGTGCCTCTGTATTGCGGACGATTCCTCAAGAAGATCAGGTCCGGGGAATTCATCCTTCCTTCTCTGTAATCCAAATCAAATCCTCCTCGAAAATCATAATTTCGTATGATTTCGTACCAGCTCGTATAAACCCCTGTCTCTCTGCTGACTCATCTCTAATCCATCCATCTAGTCTCCAAAAAATAAAGATGCACCCCGAAAATCCAAGCCTCCAAAAAATCAAGCAACGGGAAGAACGGGCTTGGCTCCTTGGCTTCAAACTGAGACAGAAAAATAAGCTTCAAGACTTTTACCCAAGGGATTTCCAAGCCGGGAGTTTCGCTTTATGACGTTTTTTCTTTCTATTTTTTGGTTCCTTTGGAGGACAGCCAAGATATACAAAATTGAGGATTTGATATCTGTAGTGCGCAGAGACTAATCGATTGATTGATGGGAATAACCTCACATACAAGAATACATTTGCCGGAATGCCACCAAGTATATTTATTACTATCGCTCGAACTAAAGTGGCTGAAGAGATGACACTGCACAAGAAAGACATTCAGGGTAAGCCTGTTACTCTCCCCTGTTCACAATGCCGAAACCCCGGAAACACCAAGCTCTACTCACACGAATCCCCTGTGAATTAAATGTGGAAAGTTACGTATCTCATTGATTTATACCGGGGCTTCTTGACTTTGAATCTCTCTACGCGTATTCCGTTTCTAGAAGTCTGATACGATTTCCCTTGATTTGTCCATACACAGTACGTGCGGGACTCCAGAGGGAGAAGCAAACACAGCCTTCTTTTACGAGCTGAGCAACACCGAGGTTTGATTGTGGCGGATGGATGGAGCAAGTGGCTACACCTGCAGTCATGAATAATGAAATTGGGTTCAAGATTGGGTCAACAAGGTATGTCAGGGGGTCATCCCATATGATAATCCAGCCCTGTACTTACTGAATGGGGAAATGGCACATTGATTCTCCTCCAGGTGGGCAATGTGCATGCATGGTGTGTAAAAATAAATCTATGAATAAAATGAAATTTGGTGAATGACCCAATGTGCTTGTTTTACCTTTTAAACCCCTTCTTTCCTTCTTTCTGATTCATATCTCTCTCTTCTTATCAACAATCTCTACCTTGGACATATAACTCCATATACAACTATCAAAGAACCAATTCACCTCGATCCACCTCAATCACCAATCTACAATCAATCAAAATGCCTTTCGAAGCTCAACAACCCCAAGCTCAACAAATGGAGATGTCCACTACCAATGGTCCCATCACCGAACAACCTGTTTGTCTCTCCCTTCTCAATCATACCCCGATCTCACGTTTTCAATCTCAATGTCTATCTTACAAATACAAGTCTCACTGAGATAAACTAAATCGAAATATAATCACAAAACACCAACTGACATCTTCACAGCGTCAAAATGAGGGAATGAGCGCCGATGTATCTATGCGTGGTGGTGGTGGATGCTGGTATGTGTTTTCTACTTTTCCTTTCCTCTCCCATATACTCTTCTTCCTTCTGTCAAAAAAATACAAAACTAACCAACCTCCTAAACAGCGAAGCATGTCTCGCCTGCTGTCTCCTCGAGGAAGTCTGCGCATGTTTGATTTGCGAGGAGTGCTGTTGTTAAACGCTTTCCGTAAGGATATACACGGAGAGATACATACATACATACATACATGTATATCTAAGATATAGACGGCACCCACGATGTGATGGAGAGGAGATAATTGATACCCGGTGGTTCGTGGGCGTGGATTGCGATGGAGATATAGATATAGATATGAATGTGAAAGTGGATGGGATGAGATGGGAAACTATGAATTTCGATGTCTTTACGCGGATGATGAATTTGGGTGGATGGATGGATGGATGCGATTGGTATGATGAAGGAAGGAAGGATTTTGCTACCTAGGTATGCGGGATGAGGAACAAGTGGAAATATATTTTGCGAATATCCAAATATTGTATCTGGTTTTTGATCTTTATGATTTTTGTGTTTTTACTCTTCATTTGATTTTGTGCATTGTTGCTTGCTCACTTACTTACATTTCCATCCTAATTTTCTTTGCAGCAATACACAATATGAGCGATTTCCACTCCATTCATTTATTTATTTTAGTCCCTCACCGCTCGTACCTCACTAAATACCTTCCTAATAAAAAATAAAGTTGCAAACAAGTCGAGGCATGAAAGAGCACAGACATCACACAACGTGTGTGCGTGCGTCAGCTTAGTCTAGGAGTGAGATTTAGGGTTTCGTGGATTACTGAGTGGGTGGGTGCGAGGTGTGGCTGGGGTCGGATGATGGATGGAATGAGGTTGGTAGGTTTGAGGTGGGATGATGATGATGAGTATTTTTGGGGGAGAGGGTGAGTTGGAGGTGGGTGAGTTGGTGACGAGTTTTTGTTGGATGCACTGGGTGCGGAGAAGTGAAAATCTGATGGTGATTTATTGAATTGGGTGATGATGTGACTTTGAGGTTTGGGTGTGTTTTTTTTTGCAGCGGGATTTTGAGATTGTAGGTTGGTAGTGTTTGAGGGGGTTGTGTTTGATGAGGAATGTTGTGTTTGTGTTCTTTCGAACTGAATTGAATTGTACCACATGTTTTCTTATGTACAGATAGATCTCACTGGCATTGCTTCGGTCATGTTTGGCTGTTTTGCTTGCTTGCTTTGCATGTGGATGTGGAGAGGTTTGGGCATTGATGACGATGTTTCTTTCTTTTTTTGAGAATGGAGGTGGGAATGAGAATGATATAGCGAGGGGTGTGGAAACGTGAAAAGATAGAGAGAAGAATCTTGGAGTTCGCTCGTAATTTAGGAGGGAGGAGAAGGTAGAGAGTAGCTACTGGGATGGAAGAAGATGAACTACATGGAGATCGAAATTTATCATATCGAGGCAGAGGGAAAGACTCGAGATTCGTGGAGATGTGGAATTCGTTGCTCTTCTCTTCGCTTTGTTGCTCTACGCAAAGTTGTTTGTACATGATTAGCTTGTCGATCATTGTAATTTTACTCTTAAAATTGTAGGTCAAGGGGTTTCGCTTCGTTGATTCTGGGTCTAGGGGAGTTGTTGCATAGTTGAGATACATGTCCGAAGGTGTATTTCCATGGTTGTTGTTTTTTTGCAGTATTCAGCTGGTGATTTGTGTAGGGAGTTTTTGATATCTCCATGGGCTTGGGAAGGAAGTAGGATCGAGAGGTGTGGGAGAATTGTGGGTAGATACTTGGTATCTGGATAGCTGTTGGTAAGGAAGCGTCGATTTGAGAAAGCGATGTATACGAGTCAAAGAATTGGGAACAGTGGGGATATTAAGTTGATAAATCATCTAGTCCACAGGGGTGATGATGTTTTATTGAATGACATGAGAATGTCATGTATTCCATTTGTGGTTGACGTCCTTTCTAGTGCTTGTCTTCTCTCTATTTTCGAGAATTAAGGCTTAAATGAAAACAGTTAGAATAGCTTCACAATCTTTCAATCTAGTGGGGAAAGCATGACGAGTTAGGGAATCGATTCCGCTCTCTTTGCTTATCAAAAGAGTAATGGATGTTCAAATATTCAATATCGTACTTCGAGTTGACAGTTGGCAGCCACTTCAGGCGATGGATGGAATTTGTCGAGATATGATGGATATTGACAGTGGCTTATGTATAAAGTTTGGGATGAGATTGGATTTACTGAAAAGGGTGTAGCTGGAAAGACAGTGGAGAGTATAGATAGATGATAGCGATGAAGGAGGTGAGTTATAATGTTGCTACGCGACTAGCTTGACGAAAGAGGTTTGAAAGTTTCGGGAAGCAATGTTCGTGGTGCTCAAAGATCAATCTTTTGCGGTTGCTTGACTTATTCTCTATTGCCAATATTCATTAAGGGTTCGAGTATGAAGAGTACTTGAGCTCATGGACTAATTGGCTGCTGATATGAAAGATTTCATCCGCGTGCTACCGACCGATAGTCGATATCATGGTAAAACATTTAAGTAGATGTTGAGAGACTGATGTGGATGTTTGCAATTAGAGACCACTACGTACTTTCAATGTCACTATTGCGTTTGACTAAACGCTGACGACACTTGCGAGCAAAGCCGCAATACAAGCTATTGCTGCTGTTGCTATTTGGCATTTCTTGATCTGCCCTTTCCACGCCTGCGATTCGGGGATATCTAATAGAACGCCGCATTTGGGAAAAGACGTGAGATGAGTCGTTGTGTCACCTAGCTATCAGTCCTCGAGCTTCTGGATACGTTTATCGGCTCGTGTGCGTGGGATCTAGTTAACGATCCGAGGGCTAGTATTGTGAGTTTGGTGTAAGATGAGGTTGATTGTACAGGCCACGAATGATCTCATTGTTGGAAATGATCGATACGCATATACCATAAAGAGAAATCTTAAGTCTTGAACAGATTGGCCCTGTAAATGCCCTGCCGTCTAGATGTCGATCGCTTCCATGCTCGTTGGATACTCTCCAGCTACATCCACCAGCCGCCCGAAGCTTTTCGTAGTTCAGCCGTAGCCGAATTTATTCTTATAGAGGTAACTTCGTAGGATACTTGACTAGTAAGTAATAGATACTCTTCTGATAAAGTTTTGTTGTTTCATCCTTCACTCTTCTTGCGTAAGCAGTGAAAATGCCTGTTCGCGTAGCTGTGGTGTTGCTATGTTGTGTTCCGTCCGTTCACGTACTCCTCTGTTGCTATTTGCTTGTATTGTAGGATCTAGATAGTGTTTCTTTGGACGATAAGCTTGCATTCCATGTTAAAAGCGCATCACTCCTACCACGCTTTTGAATTAACTTACGGATAAAGAAGTGTGTCAGTAGGGGTAAAACCCATGCTTCCATTGTGGACTGGAGATCAGAGTCTTTGATGTTTAGCCAGCTCTTCTAACACCAGATCACTGGCAATTAGTGTGAACATCAACGCTTGTATCAAAATAAATGCAAGATAGTGGTCTGCCTGGGAAGCAACACCAACAGGAGACATGCTATTTATGCACTGATATTTGATGGTGGTGTGATATCCAGATCGATTGATATCTTGTTCCCGCGTACATCAATAAATTAGACTAGTGGATCTTGTCCAAGATGCAGAGGTGTAGTAAAGTGCAAACTTGTGAATACCTAGAGCTACAATTTCTGCTGCAGAGCCATTATTGCCAACCTAAGAGCTGTGAATTCTCGAGATTTTAAAGCGCCATTCTTCTCTAATGCCTCACACCAGAAGTTATTCGAAGGCATGGCCAGTATTGGAAACTCGCCGTTGGGCGAACTGACTGTCGTCGGGAAGAACTTGTCTTTCCTTGGTGTATCTATTGACAGAGAATTTGGCGGGAAGACATCTGACAGCTCGTTTGTAACAACGTGGAGCATTCGTAAGATCTGCTGTGGTTGTGATAACTTGTGTTAAGTTTCAACAGCGTAACATTCAAATCGTAAACCTGCCTCGAAAAATCTGATCTTCGAACTATATGAGCCTGCTGCCATGGTAGATACCAGAATTCCGTTCGATATCCTTCAAATATCTACCAATACATCCAGTTCTCTGTTTATTCATTCTGTCGTCTGATAGAGCAGCAGAAGCCAGATGGGTTCTTCGATGGGTCACCAGGACAGTTGGTCGAGCTGCAGGTACGATAATTCCCTCTTCAAGGGTTTATGTCTTGCCGAGACCAAACGCTCACTGATCCGAGCGTCTCAAAGATCTCAAGTCTGAGTGACTATTGTTTCGAATCAACTATCTTTCAATGATTCGTCATATGAGGAGTAGCTGCGGAGTGGTTGTTTGGCATTCCAACGTCGGATGTTTCGATATTAAGAGATCTAAAATTTCGGAGATTGAGATTTAGATAAAGGGTTTCTATTATCAACGCGTAATGTTAGCTTTTATCCATTTTGCAGATACTTGGGAGATTATTGCCGCTGCGAAGAGAATCTCTGCGAATAGCACGGAGTGCGACTCACTGCTCATTTTATGGGATTGAATTCCTCGGCGCTCGTAGATTTCAAAATCAAGAAAATACCTTTTAATTGTGCTAGAAGAATGGTTAGTAGAAATTAACAAAGAACTATCGATAAACACCAAGAGAGATCTGCCCCAAGACCAATGGTTATCTTCAACAGTAATAAAGACAAATCTAGACAGTCAACAACAAGCCAGATTGAAGAGATGACAGTATTTAGAGCAATAAAAGAGAAGAGGAACGTCAGCCAACTAACAGAAGCAGGCTGCCAGAAACAATGTACATGCCATAAGGGAGTGAGGAGCAACTGTTGTAAAATAACGGTAGGAATGACTAGCTTATACCAAAGAAGTGTAGGTAAGGTGTTTGCAATGAATTTGGCTTTGCTGCAGAAGAGGCTAGACTCAAGCCAAAGGCGTTTTTTGGAATTCTATTGCAGGATGATTAAAAGGAAGTTGAGTCTTGTTGTGATAAGTCAATGACAGAATTAAGCTCTGTATATAAGGAGTACAGATAAGTGATATTAGCAATGACATAGCCATAAGATCTGTATATGCAGAATACAAAGAATCAAGGTAGCTGTTGAGATACATTAGTAGATTCAGGATTAGATAGAGTTAGATTTGCACAAAGACAAACCATCAAGTGCCTGATAAGTAATAGCAAGATAGTGATGTAATAAAGTAAAATGTGAGAGTTATGCCTACAAGTATCCTGGAGATCATATCCTTTTGGTGGTCATTGAGCTTGTGTACAGATACCAAAGCTGTCATTGAAGATTATCAAAATCAGACCAATATTCACTTGGTGACGCTGAACACTCCCAGAAGTTTGTAACTACTTTACTGCCTCACGCCACGTATAATTTACAAGTACCTAAGCTCGATTGATAATTGGTTAGCTACCTAACCCCAATCTTACTAGGGTCAGTTGAACGCAATAGCTGATTCTAGTACCCCTCATTTTTTGATCTCTACCTTTCCTTCTTCTTCCCACAACACTTTCCATCCTCTTCAACAACTCTACCACCACCTCAATCTTTCTACAAATCTTCAGTCTGTTCTACTTACTTGATTCTCTCCCTTCAATAACCAAATCACAAACAAATACTTTACAAAATGGTAAGTAAAAATTTATTCCACAACTTGATTCTTACCTAGAACTCAACTTGCGACCTTTCCTTATTACTGCGCACAATGCTAACGTATTTAACAAACAGTACCAAATTCTAGATCCAGGACCTCCCTCTCCACTAAGAATTAGGCTTCCAGTCTACGACACTCCTCATAAAGCTAGCTTGAGGTATGATGAACCTCAATACTTATACATACTGGCGCACCTTCTTACAATACTAGCATTAAGTCGCGTTCTTATGATGATGGCCTGATTATGTACGGCTATGAGGATAGGTATGTACTTTGAATCTTTCCAAAGCATCTTTCTTTTCTCAAAACAACTTCTTTTGAAGACAATAATTAGACATTGTTGGAAGTTCTTGTGGTTTCCTCAAACCCCTTTTGCCTTCAATTCCACCATTCAAACCATTGATTGGTCCATAGCCGAACTCGACGCGAGTTTTTTGATTAGTGTCAATTTTCCAACTCTTTCCTTTGTAGACCGCCTTGGTTTATTGTTCTGCCTTCTATTCGTCCCAACTTCATTTCATTCAACGTCAATTGTATTGGTTCTACTTTCATGACATATGGTACTCCAAGATTTTTGTTACACGGGAATAGCTTCCTTGATACGCTCATTGCGACGCCATCAATGAGGCCATTTCGAGCAACACTCGTCTCATCTCGTCAACAGCATTGATTGAGAAGGCTTCCACAAATATATAGCATCCATTTACATACATTGGAAACGAGTTTCAAATATTCCTGTTAAACACTTATGCTTCCATAGACATATAACACTTGTTCATATGAAAATAATATCCCAAGTGCCCAGTGAGCATTCCGAAATCATCGTAAAAATACCAGTACTTGATGAATACAAATTGAGCAAGACATAAAATTGCAGTCGCACGTTTTTGATTTGTTTGCTTTGTCATGGCGATGAATGTTCCCCCGCACTTCGTCTCCCGATATCGTTATTATTCGTTGTCGTAAATTCACTGGTTCCCTCGGAGACCAAGAGAATTCTCGCACTGGTAGAGTGGCTTCTCCCTCTTAAGTTCACTCCTGGATTCATGGTTCCGTTTCTCTTCACCTTCAAAATTCATATTATTTCTTCCACTTCAAAGAAAAACTTTTCAGCTAGTGGGACCTACAAACAATACCCCCACCAACCTCGATTACTTTTTTATCATCCTCCATTCCGTGGACCCAAGTTCTTCTTCCTTCCTTTTTACTACAGCAGCAGACACAAGTCAAATCTCTTTGTGCCTCACACTTCTTCAATCCTTTTGAGGCTCACGCTCTGTTCCTTTAAACTATACATTCAACAACTATTACTATTATTCATAATCGAAACTACTATCACTAATAATGTCGCTCGTACCTGCTAGATCGCGACCCTCTCGTAAGTCGGGTGAAGCAGACCTTCGAGCTTCTATGAACCGCTCCGAATCAATGGATCCCACTACTTCGCAATTTTTTCCTTCTCAGTCTACAGCGCACAATAAGAGAGGAAGTATCTCGGGCAGCTCAGTCTCCCTTACAAGCCCACCGCCACCCCGAGGTCATAGAGCAGAAGTCTTTGATAACCGTAATCGATCACAAAGCCTCCAGGACTGGATGGAAACCAGAATCACACAGATTATCCGAACCATTCGAGACACCACTTCGATCCCGCAACAAGTACAAGATAACATCGGTGCTGAACTTCAAAAGTTCCTCGTCGATTTTGCGGCCCAACAAGTCTTCGTCACTCAAAGCGTCGAATTTTACCAGACCAAGCTCCGAGACCTTGAATTCCAGCTTCAGGAAGCTTACAGTGAGTCCGGAGATGATTCTGGCGAGCCAAGTAAACGCGAATTACTTGCCATCATTGCCTCCCAACGCGAGGAGTTACAGTTGAAGGAAAATCAACTGAACGGAAAGAGAATTCTCTGGCTTGCCTCTCACCCACCTGCCTCTCAGCAGAGAGGTGACCCAAATCCACTCGGGCTCCCAAGTCTGAACGGTCGATCCCAATCGCAACTCCGATTGGAAGCCCCATCGTCCTACAACAACTCACGTTCCGGCTACCGTGGTAATGGTTCAACATCGATGGCACGCCTGTCAAGAGCTTCGCTGGCCGCAATGGAAAGCGCCGCTGTCGGCGGCCAAGCATCCACGACGCAAGAGGAATACAACCGTGTCAAGGCCTCTGTATCCGTAGCAGTTCCTGATAGTGCTTTGGAGAATGTCCAGTCCATCTCAAACTTGCGCAACAATCTTAACAGCGAGACCGAAACCGTTATCAATCATCATCGCTCACAACTTCCCCTTGTTCCGTACAAGGCGCCACCTGCGCATGTTCCGAGTGTTCAAGAGATCAGTGTCGCCTTTACAAAAGATTTCAGTGACATTTTTGCACTGGCCGAAGGATGGGCTCGCACATATTGTTGCATTCCTAACATTCAAGAAGATCGCGCAATTGCTAGCTCGAATCAAGCTCTTTGGAATTACATGACCAAGCTTACTTACAACGATCCTCAGAGTGCGCATAGCCATGTGATGGCTCTTTTGAGCAGCGAGACCACTCGATTCTGGTTTGTCATGAGAATGGCAATGAGTTACTGTTTTGACAATATCATGACTCTTAAGACCTTCGAGCAATACAATAATAGTGTTGCAGCACATCTTGCCAGCATTAGGGAGCAACTTACAGCTAGACCATGTGAGTACCATCTATTTCGTGCCGCAATGTTACAAATACTAATATGTTATTACCAGTGGCTTCTGCAGAGAAACGCCAAAAACTTGTCGCCGAGCAATCTGCTGTCGTCAGGTCCGTCGTTAACGCTCCTGATTTCGCGAAATTTCGAAATGATTTGCTCACAAATCACACAAAGCATCTTCGAGACATCCTCGGTCCTCTTATGAATGAGGGAACTTCCAAGTCAAAGGCCGGTACCGATCTTGGCGCAATTATCATTGCTTCCATGGATCTTTGTTGCAGAATGTGGACAGCAAAGTTGAGCTTCCAGGTCATCTTTCCCGAACTCTTGGGCAACAAGTTCACAGCTGGCACCATGATCGCCAAGGACCATCCAAGAGATAATCCATACCAGCTACAAACAAAGCAGAAGCGTCTCAAGCTTGTCATGACGCCATCCATTACAATGCGCGATGACAATTCTATTACCATCATCGCAAAGAGCTTGCACAAGGCGAGTGTTCTTCTCATGACTTAAATAGTCTTCGTACAGTACCACGCACAAATTTCTCGCAAATAGATCGTCATCATTTTCAACTTCCGTCATTTTGGTCCGAACTGATGAGCCACTGTCAACGTCATCTATTCAGAGTATTTCAATAGCGTACGATACTACCCTTCATCATCATCGACTTGTTCTTTCCTCCAGAAGTTTATTTTTCCTGCTTTTCTCTTGTCATCTCTTAGGATTTGCATGACTCTTGTGGGAAAGCCATTTTACTACTACACACAGGACTTCTCGCCTTCTCACCAAGGTATCTCAGGAGATCCTTCGGTTTACGATCATCTTACCTTTCCAGTTTTCGACCAAAAATATCCACTCACCTACACCCCTTACCAAAAAGTTCCATCCCGTCTTTATTTTCCTAGGACGCGCAATTATTCAACCTTCACTTCTTTCATCCGGCGTTCAACATATCTACCCCACCTATCATCGAAGCACCCGTGTCTTTTCTCCAATCCGACATACAATTCTCAGCAATCTTCGATTTGTACAATAGTTTCCTATCGACGCCTTCACTTTAACTTTTTCTCGCGCGCGCATTCTCGATTGGAATTCCAAACTTGGCGGCTCGATGATTCAATTTTCCTCTGGATCTGACGCTTTCTTCCTTCTCTCTTGATGGGAGTTTTGATTTTCATAAGATACAGAATTTGACACGATTTGTCTTTGCTCTCGACACTTCAAACCTCAAGATTCTATTCCAAGCAACGGCAAATAATATGGAAATAAGACGCACATCTGGATACGAACGACGATATTCATCTCCCCTTTTCGATCACCACATATTTCTCTCCTTGGGATGAAACACAAACCCTCCTCTTTCGAATTTTATGTCTTCCAATCTGATTTTCTCTCCTCGTACTCTACATACGCGGAAGGATTCCAGATGCGGTGATGAAAGACATAAATTCTCGAACTAGGTCATTTTCTTTCATTCCTATCTTGTAATCTACTTTGGTGTTTTACGGGAAGGAGTAGGAAATTTATCGATCGTTTAGTATTCCACGAAAATTCTTTCTTTTTTCATTTTTTTCTTTCTTTTCTCTAATGAATGAAGCAATCCAGGAAGATGAATGAATGATAGCGCGAATCATTCAGGCTACATATCTTAGTCTAGTTGCATGAAAAACCAAAAAGTTTCATGAAGTTTTCTTCTTCTGCTGTGGGTACTGCGAACTCTGGTGTTTTTTTGCATCGACTTGCTTCTGCGTCGACAAGTTTTGAGCTCGTTTGGATGCATTTCTGAATGGGCTTGGGTTAGAGGAGGGTGCAGAATTGGGCATGGCATGGTGTGAAATGACATGGCTTATTAGGTAGTAAGCAGATTTGCCGAGACTCAGTGAGAGAATAAATGAACTTTTTATTTTATCGATTTTGTGTGATGAATGTGATGTGATGTGATGTGATGTGCAGTGCATATACATATACTTGGAATGACTTGGTAGTGTGTATGTGACATTGAATGCGATACGAATTTTGCTCTGATGTTATGAAGCATCATCAAGCATAGCTAACATCCACACCGATGCATCTTTCTTTAAATCCGTCGTACTGATTCATTCATCTCTCTGCTTCTCTCGTCACTCTATCCCAGTTCCACCTTGAAACCACAATCACAACCACTATTACAAGTCCTCCACACCTCCTCCTCCTCCTCCCTCCTCATTCCCTCCACCCCCAAAATCAAATCCTGGCACACACACACTTCCCTCCCTTCTATCTTCACGCTCTTTCTATCCCCCTGCCATTCACTACAAACCAAAAGTACAAACCATCCACCGCGATCTCAGAATCTTAGATCCAGAATTAACCACTTACATCCCATGTCCCATGTCCCATGCACACGGCACAAGAGCTCACAAGTAATAATAACAAGTAATAATAACAAGTAAGTGAATAAATACGCAATGTCTACAAACATCCGAGCATCCGAGCATCATACGATCTCCGATCTCCAAGCCACCATGTAGCCTACGCCGAGGATTGGAAAGTTATGGCTTGGAGCGGCTTAGATATCTAGTAGATAGGTAGATAGGTAGATAGGTGTGTATTATTTATCAGTAACAGTAGCCTCATCTAATACCCCATAGCCGCAACTAGCACCTATTTCCAAACAAGCCACCCACCCAACCCCACACGATAGTTTGAAAATTCGAAGAGAAGAAAGATAAAAATAAAAATAAAAATGGGAAAGAAGAAGGAGGTGAATATTGCTAGACCCCCCTCCCCTCTCCCCCTATCACGTTCCCAATGTTAATCTTTGTTTCAAGATAAAATTTTGCTCTTTTCTTGAGATGTAATATCTCGCTTGACTCACATTTCGTGCTCTGTGCATAATACGTATACCTCTTATAAATATAATTTCATTAATACTAATATCGATATTGATATCAACGCATCAAACTATCACTCAACCACCAACCAGGCTATACATCATACAAATCATACAAATCATACAAATCATACAAATCATACAAATCATACAAATCATACAAATCATACAAATCATACAAATCATACAAATCATGTGCATACAACATACACACACATCCACATCCAAATGCATACACAAACGAATAGATACACAATACTAAACTTAAAGATTACTAATTACGGATTAAAAGATACCCCTATCGACCTCTCTAATAAGAAACCAGGTGAAAATTTCTTGACCTAAATGACGATGCAAACCAGCACGACATTCTCGAATGATCCCACGAGTTTTCTTTTACCATAACGCCCTCAAGTCCCGCCCAATATCATAAAGAACACACGTATGTGTGTTGAATCCATCCCATCGCGCAAAAAAGTGAAGCTATGTAACAGAAGAGATAAAATGTACAAAGAAGCGAGGAGATGAGTTGAATGCCATCGGGCTGCCAAGTTGACGAACCAAGCAAGAAAAAAGGAAAAAAGGAAAAACAAACCAAAACCATTAATTCCTAGGAATTTCTCCACTCGCAGGTTTATGATCAAGTCTCTTGATAATCGCACCCAACACCGCTTTTACGATTCCATCACCTGTCAATCCCGCTTCGGTATCCCTTCCATTCCACGTAACAGTATCGACCATATCTCTAATCTTATATCGATGCTCCAACGCATCATCCAAATCCTCCAGGGCTTGTTTGGCCTCTGCCACTCTTCCGACCTGGAAAAATTGAATGCCCACTTGCGTGAGTGGCGCATCAAGATCATCGAGCTCGCGGGCTACTTTGACAATTTCCGATTCCGGGTCGTCGGAAGCAGCGCCGTCGGTAATGACGATGAGATTTAATGGTTTGACTTCTCGTCCTGCTTTGAGTTCTTTCTTGGCTCGCTTCATGTAGGGAGAGAGAATGTCTCGGATGCGTTTGCCCGTGGGGTTATGCCTTGGGGTTTGTCTACTATAGACCATACTTCTTCTACCGATGCTGCGTTTTGGATGTTGTAGTATCCGGTGCCAGCAATGCCTTCATTTTCGTTACCCTTGTGTTTACTTTTGTGGTTCATGAAGTAAACGTCAATTCCATCAGCATCGTAGGTAGTAATGATTGGTGCTATAGTTTGGAGGGCGAAGAAAACTTGTTCCCAGGCTGTAGGGTGAGTATACCATCCCATACTAGTAGAATCATCGATGAGAAGAACGGTATCGAATGTAGATAGGAGAGCATAGGGTGACCCATCGAGGTCATGCTGTGGGAGAGTTCCCGCAGTATTTGGAACCGTAGAAGAGTGGCGTGATGCGAAAGTGTTGCTGCTATAGAATGTAGGAGAATTGTTCTGAGATGTAGAAGCATTTGTGTATGCTGTGGGAGCGTTACTGTAAGGCGCAGGAGCATGATTGTACGATGGAGATGCCTGGTTGTACGAAGTGGGAGATATTGGCGATGTGGAAGTATAGGCTGGGGAGGAGCACTATCTGGAATTCCTCGTGGGAAGGATAATGGACTCTTGGATGGTGCGGTACTCTTTGAACGACCCAGCTTATCGCGGATACTACCCAACAAACCACTCTTGCGTTTGAGGTCACTGCCGTGGTTTTGAGAATTAAAAGACATGATGAAGTTTTTGAACGTATCAAAGTTGTGTACCAGAATAGGAAGGTGGGGTGTAAGATGTCGTAGATAGGAAGATGGTAAGGCTGAAGATCTTTTAGATCATAAAACGCGTGTTTATGTGTAACGTGATGATGACTTGTAAGTAACTGCTCTCTCTGTACTACACTCTAGGTATGAATGTTTTCAATTGGTGCCCGGATTGACTTGACTCGTGAATGTTGTGAATGTTATGAATTTATGAAAATGATTGCAGAATTTCCAACTGGTCAGTAGGTACTTATTATATTCACAGTAACATTCCTTTCACATTAGCGCTGTGTGTCTAGGTAATATTAGGAATTGGACTTTGAATCTGCCCATGGCGAAGTAAAGCTCCTAATCAGTTCTAACACAATGAGATTAAATGTTTTGGTAATATTGTTAGTTACCCGACAGCCGGAAATCAATGTAATAGATTTGATGAAGTTTTTTGATATACATGTGAGGAGAAATAAGATTTGTTTGAAATGAAAATCGGAAGTATGTTTGAGCTTGGAGGGTTATCATTGGTTCAATTAGCATCTTAGCGTCTATGAGAAAGGCGCAGTTTGACTTCGCCCAACCACAAGATTTCAACTCTGGTCACCAATTCTCAATAAGGCAACGTTAGTACAAGGTTGTGTGCGATGTCCGCCCCTAAATACGACAAAGAATGTTTGTGCCGATGAACCGGTCCCAAGCACCCATCACTCACCTCCTTATATTTCCCAAGCCGCCGGGACATACCTCTTCGCACGTTTTCCCCACGATATTGAACCATGAAGCAAATCAACCCAAATGATAACTACCGGGGGGCTTGGCATCGTGACTTTGTGTGATAAAATGCAGGAACGTTGCAATATAATAAAGGCTGTAAGTTTTATTGCCACAATATAATGCACTGCGACATTCTTTAAATCCAAGGCATTTCTCTGGACAGAAAATGCATCATCCTTATGATCTTGTCTTGTGGATGGATTTTTAAGATGATACATTCCTTTAGGAAGGTCATAGTAAGATATTAGGCCCCGAAGGCTGCAAGCAAGATATTACACCAAGCCCCAATCTTTGATTTCAAGATGACAGCAAGGCGTTAATGGATAAATTGGTTTGTTACTGGGTAACTCGTCAATTTTTTTGGTCAAAATACAGAGAGACTGACCTGAGTTATAATAGAGGCTCATCAATGTCTTTCGGTAAGACTGTTCAAGTACATGTGGCTAGAGTGGCAGATGGCTCATAGATGTGGCACAAAATGTCAGACCAGTGTCAGATTTCGATGAGTCAAATTGATGAGGCTCAATTTCTTCTCTGAGTCGGTCCCGGTGACTGTTATGTCTTTGCAGGACAAATTTTCGCAGACCAGAAGATTCTATTACCAAGAAGTGATGTGGGATCGAAAACTTCCAGGCTGATGCCTTTTCCTGTAAAATATGGTGGCAAGGAAGTTTTCGAGTTTTCGCTTGGTTTCTTTGGGTGCCTATCTGTCGAAGCTTGGAAGACTCAATAGGAATCTTGCGTCTCCTGAATTGCAGCGAGTTAGATGAGTTATAAAAGAACGAGAGGGGTAGAGGGGTAGAGGGGTAACGATCCGGCGGCTATTGCAATATCAATTCTCAGGCGTTCTCCACTGTCCGGGGACTTTGCCGCCGAAGCAATGGATTGGGGGTGGCAAAATGCTGGCGGCAATTTTGTGATACATTTTTAAGTTGGTGTGGGTGATCAGATCAGAGAATGGCCTTGATGCATTGGATAATGCAGGTAAGTCAGGTAGGGGTCGGAAGTTTTTTTGTTTGTTTCCAATTCTGCAATGTACCTTGATGAATGGTGCGGTTTCAAGGTAAGGAAGGACACCTACAAATATAGTAAATATGTTTTGGTATTTTCAGACCAATGGTATCGTGCTATGTTTAGGGTATAGGAAGGTTGTCCACACACACGTTAACATATCCAACCTACGGTGATTTTAGAGGCTGAAAAGGTCAATGTCAATGTATGGAGTTTTCCCCGAGATTTTGGTGAACTGCTAGATATTGTACATCTTTTCCCTCATATTTCTACTAGTATCGAGCAATCACAGAATGTTTACAGGTTCAAAGCTATCTTAATCTTAGGAAGGACATCTAGGGATGGAACGGTGTATTGGACGAACTGAGATGGTATATTGTAAGGAAGCGACACATCGATAAGAGGTAGTACATTGAACGGAAAAGGCACGATGACAGAAGATGATATATTGAACAGGAGTAGGAAGGATGTTGACAGGGCGTGTTATATTGAACAGAAATAGGACATCAGAAGTAGGGAGGGCAATGAACTTAACCCTAAGAACAGAAATGCTACATTGACAGAATGTGATAGATATATGGAAGTAGCACATTGAAAAGAGAATGCATTGGACAGAATGGTGCGTTGACAAGATGTGATGTATTGAATGGAAATGATACATCGAATGAGCATTCAACTTCTCGAACACTGCATGCAGCGAACACCTAAATTCCATATCCTCTTCAAGAAGTTCTCCAGAGTCCAAACTCACCTCGTTCACTTTGGTTGCCCTTCACAACCAAACAATGACACCACTTTTCATCATCATTATTGACTTGCCGATATCAAAAAAGCTATCACCAATCTTGCTTCTGCATAGAGTGGAGCAATCATGAACACGAACGATATGATGTACCCATCAAGTGTACCATGTAGAGTTATGAAGTTTTCGTTTCTTGAACTTTCTTTCTGTCAAATTTTAGTGGAGATGCTTTAATCAATAAATCTGGGCAAAGTCAAAACCTTAGACTGGGCGACGTCATTGGGTGGGAAGGCGGTAGAAGACGGTAGAAAAAGAGTGAGGGCAGAAAAAGAGTGAGGACAGAAAAAAAAGGTTGGTTAGTGGGTGGTTGGTTGGAGCTCTGAGGCTGTGAGGCTATGAGGCCATGGGCCATGATGTGACATAATCGACCGACCTTACCTAATAAATCCATCGAGGGGCAATGGGCAATGGGCAATGGGGCAAAAAAAAAGACAGAATCCTCAAAGAAATGGAATATCAACAAAACATCTGCAAATATCAAACGCTCCGAGGTACATCCACAACATCATGTCAAATACACTCAAATGATCTCATCCCTTTCCATCGATAACCATGTCCATGTGTAATTGAGAATGAAAAATGAAAAATGAAAATTAAACATGGCAATCTAGAGGATTCTTTCCATCTCCATTACGAAGTAGAAGGTGATGGTGAATTCTAGAGCTTCCCACCGCCTTCTCTTTTCGACCATATCCACCGGTTTAAGGCAAAGAAGATTCCAGAATCGAAGCTGCTGGAATCGAACTTTTCGCTTTAAAAGTCTCACAGTCAACCCAACTTTTTCATTCTGCATATTTCTCAAACAAACCTTTTTAAGATACCACTTTTGCAACGACTCTTCTTCTCCATTTTCACACAGAAGCGATCATAGAAGTTACGATACTTCGACTATTAAATCCATATAAAACACACAACTAGATTAATACAAGATGGCTCCAGCGTAAGTTACTCCATCCCATCAACCCCTCCTTCAGCCTTACACATCTAGTTGGAAGCTTGAAGGTCACCAACATCAACCACAGCAGTCACATTGACTAACATGTCTCACAGTATTGGTATCGATTTGGGAACTACCTACTCTTGTGTAGGTATCTTCCGTGATGACAGAATCGAAATTATCGCCAACGACCAAGGAAACCGTACCACTCCTTCCTTCGTTGCTTTCACAGATACCGAGCGTCTGATCGGAGATGCCGCCAAGAACCAAGTCGCCATGAACCCAATCAACACTGTCTTTGACGCTAAGCGTTTGATTGGTCGTAAGTTCGCAGACTCTGAGGTTCAAGCCGACATGAAGCACTTCCCATTCAAGGTCATTGACCGTGCCGGAAAGCCAGTTATCGAGGTTGAGTTCAAGGGAGAGAACAAGCAATTCACACCAGAAGAAATCTCTTCGATGATCTTGGTCAAGATGAGAGAGACTGCTGAGGCTTACCTCGGAGGAACTGTCAACAACGCTGTCGTTACTGTTCCAGCTTACTTCACCGATTCTCAACGTCAAGCCACCAAGGACGCTGGTCTCATTGCTGGTCTTAACGTTCTCCGTATCATCAACGAACCTACCGCTGCTGCCATTGCTTACGGTTTGGACAAGAAGATTGAGGGTGAACGTAACGTTCTCATCTTCGATCTTGGTGGAGGAACCTTCGATGTTTCTCTTTTGACTATTGAGGAAGGTATCTTCGAGGTCAAGTCCACCGCTGGTGACACTCACTTGGGTGGTGAGGACTTCGACAACCGTCTTGTTAACCACTTTGTTAACGAATTCAAACGTAAACACAAGAGTATGTTTCCCCTTTCCTTTTTTTTGTGGCTATTTCCATCCACTTTCCGGCAACGATCACATCGCAATGCTTTCAATTGTCAAGATTATTCGAGACATTGAAATACTGGATATCACCAAGTCACCTTCTTTCACATTCTTCATTTACAATATGCTAACATACTGTTCTACAGAGGATCTTTCTTCCAACGCTCGTGCTCTTCGTCGTCTCCGCACTGCTTGCGAGCGTGCTAAGCGTACTCTCTCTTCATCCGCACAAACCTCCATCGAAATTGACTCTCTCTTCGAGGGTATCGATTTCTACACCTCCATCACCCGTGCTCGTTTCGAGGAACTTTGCCAGGACCTCTTCCGTTCCACCACCACCCCAGTCGACCGTGTCCTCGCTGATGCTAAGATCGACAAATCCAGAGTCCACGAGATCGTCCTTGTCGGTGGTTCTACCCGTATCCCACGTATCCAAAAGCTCATTACCGATTACTTCAACGGTAAGGAGCCAAACAAGTCCATCAACCCTGATGAGGCTGTTGCATACGGTGCTGCTGTTCAAGCTGCCATTCTCTCTGGTGACACCTCCTCCAAGTCCACCAACGAGATCCTTCTTCTCGATGTCGCGCCATTGTCTCTCGGTATTGAGACTGCTGGTGGACAAATGACCAAGCTCATTCCAAGAAACACCACCATCCCAACCAAGAAGTCTGAGGTCTTCTCTACCTTCTCTGACAACCAACCTGGTGTCCTCATTCAAGTTTTCGAGGGTGAGCGTCAACGCACCAAGGACAACAACCTTTTGGGTAAATTCGAGCTCACTGGTATCCCACCTGCACCACGTGGTGTTCCACAAATTGAGGTCACATTCGATCTTGATGCCAACGGAATCATGAACGTCTCTGCTCTCGAGAAGGGAACTGGAAAGTCCAACAAGATTGTCATCACCAACGACAAGGGTCGCTTGTCCAAGGAGGATATCGAGCGTATGTTGGCTGAGGCTGAGAAGTACAAGGCTGAGGATGAGGCTGAAGCTGAACGTGTTGCTGCCAAGAACGCTCTTGAGGGCAAGGCTTACCAAATCAGAAGCTCTTTGTCTGAGGCTGACCACGAGCTCTCCAAATCTATCTCAGACCCAGCTGCCAAGGCTGAGTTGCAAGCCAGCGTTGACAAGATCGTTGCCTGGGTTGATGAGAACCAACAAGCTACCAAGGAGGAGTACGCACAACAAGAGGCTGATCTTGAGGCTGCCATCAAGAAGGCTACTGCTGGTGGAGCTGGTGGAGCTGGTGGAGAACCAGCTCAAGATGCTGAGATCGAGGAGGTCGACTAAATGTTTTCTTTTTTTATCCTGACGAATTTCCTTTACTCTGCATATGATAATACCTCCACACACGATGGTTATTGGGTGTTTACTGGTTTTTTTCTATTGTGGTTAGATTTGCGGTTGTTTTCTACATCGGAAAAGCCGGTGTTCTCAATGTATTAAAGCTTTAAATAGGAGCATAAAATATAAGATGTTTAAATAATATTTGATTTGTTCCAAAATGAATTTGATGTGATGTGAGGACCTGAAGTTATCTTGAAGAGTATTGCCTGGGCCTTTGTCTGTACTCAGTGAAATAGACTGGTGATTGTCGCATAGCCTATCAGACAATGATTTGTCCGTTTCTGGGTCCTTTTGTACCTATTTCTTTCGAGTCTTTTCCACTGGTCTTGTTTGTAGTCAACATCCACCTTTCAATTGTCACAAAGCTTTTCCAACAATGAATTGATTGTTTGTAGCTTCTTGCGTATATCTACCAACCTTATCTGTTTTCTTTCCTCTTCTTTTTGAGCTGTTTACACTAGAGGTCTCTTTTATCTGAAGTCAAAGATTTGATCTGTGATTGTCTTGTTAGTTCTTAGAGAATAGATTGTTTATCTTTTTGCGGGGAGGTGAGGGGGCGGAGGGGAGTAATGTCTTTTTGAGATCTCGTTTTTTGGGGGGGGGGAAGAGAGAGGATGTTCTTTGACTTGGATTTGGACTTCTGGTGATGGATGGATGGATGGATGAATGGATTGAGAAAAGGAGTTTTTTTATATAAATAAAATGGGAGTAGAGTAGGTGGGTGTATCGTGTTTAAATGGATGGAGCTTTTCCGAGCTGGAAAATTGGGTTTTGTACTTTCTCTCCTTTTCTCTTTACTGCTTCTCTTCTTACTGTCCCTCAATTCCCCTCCTTTTACCCCTCATAGCCCCCCTCCCTCTCGATTATCCCTCTTTTTGTATTATCCCTCTTCTACCCCTTCCTTCCTTCTTCCCCTCTTGTTCCTCTCCTCTCCTCCAATTCTCTCCTCTTTCCTCTTCTCTCCTTCCCTTCTATTACATTCCCCCTCATCCCCTCCCTCATCCCTCCTACCTCTCATATTCTCTCCCACGTCTTCTCTCGCTACTCCTCTTTTCATTTTCCCTTTCTTTTCTTATCTCTTCTTCTCCTCTCACTTCCCCCCTTTCACTTGACCTCCTTTTTACCCCTCTTTCCCCTCCTCTCGCTTCTCCTATCTTCTCCCCTCCTACCTCCCCCTTCTTATATCCCCTCATCTTCTAACCCTTTTTCCTACCCCTCCTCCACATGCAACCTTTCTCTTTCCAATACCCATCTCTCAACTCACTCTTTCCCCTCAGCCTCGCATTTCCAATTCTTCTACCTGAATCTCGAGTCTAGCTTGCATCTTCCATCTTAGTTTCTACCTCCTCACTATCTCACCCACCCCCCTTCTTCCTCCTTATACCCAACCCAAAAACCCGTCCTTTAAACCCCCCACAATCTTTATCCAACAAACCCTAAAATTCTACCTCTTCTCGAATCTCCGCCCTTCACACATCTATTTTCCCATCTTTTCATTCCTCTCCCCTTGAACTCCCTTTACTAAAGCAGTAAAACTCATTCCCCTACCCCCGCCCCTTTCTATTCCCACCTTTTATATCTTTCCTTTCTTTTCACTTTTTTTACGAATTCACTTTTGTTTCCTTTTTTCCTTATCTCTTCTTTCCTTTCCTACCTCTTACCCCCTCCCCTCATTACCCCTCCTTATCCATTCCTTTTCTCTTCTCTCCCCCTTTCCTTATTCCCTCTCTTCTATATACAACCTTCCTCTTTCAAATGCCTATCCTTTGATTAATTATTTCCCCCTATCTTCCTCTATCCACACCCTTCTCCAGCCATCCCTAACCCCATCTTTAATCGTCCCCTTGCCTTTCCTTTTCGAACACTCATTCCTCATTTTTTATTTCCCCCCAACCCAGCAATTCCAACCCTTCTATCTCTCATCTCCCATATCTCTTTCATCCTACTCCCTACCTCCTCACACTCTCGCCCACTTATCCAACCAACCCCAAATTACACCTCTTCTCGAATCTCCACTCTTTCACGCACCCTATCCTTCTATTCCTCTTCTTTTAAGCTTCTCTCACTAAAGCTCGTATCTTATCCCTTTCCTCTCTTATCAGCACCCTCACCCTCTTCACCGCTATTAAATTCTGATTTTGAATCTTCTATTTCTCATCCCCCTATTCTCTAGTCTTTTGAACAGTAGAATAGATCAAATCTTGCCATCTCTATTCCTCATCACCAATCCCTCATCTTCCCTTCACACCCCTCAGAAATTCATTGCTCGCGTCCTCACCATCCCCACCCCCAATCTTCTCAACTCAATATCCTGGCTTCCTTTCTGCTACTCACATCACGAACATATCTCCACACCACTCATGCAAACCAGATCTTGAATATCTCCAAAAGTTACATACATACATACATACATACATACATGCAGCCACACTAATCTACCCTCTCTTACCCCCTCCCGCCGCGCCCCCACCTGTTTCCTCATGTCTTATACTAGTATATTATATATAGCTAGAAATATACACATAAACTCCCCAACCAACCAACCCACCCACAGAGTAATCCCTAGAAATCCTAGAGATGTTGTACAGTATACAAAAAATCAGATAAGTTGCATCTAACATCTAACATCTAACATCTAACATCTACACAACCATAGCAATACAAACAAATCAATATATAAATAAATATATCCATCTCATCGCATTTCATATTGACCTACCTATTTTCTCCTTCCCTCCTTCAATCTCTCTTTTCTCCCTCTCTCCTCCCCCTTTCTTCTCCATCTTTTCTCTCCATCTTCCCATCTTCCCATCTACTACCCCTTCCCCACACATCAATCCAATAAAGTTACAACAGAGTATAAGCTACACTTTACAATAACAAAAACCGCCAGCAACAACCAAGTGTATCCCTCCCTCCCTTACCCACAGAAAGAAGCAAACATAGGCATGTCGAGAAGCAGGCTTACAGCAAGCCTCTCTGAATGCTACACCTGGGTCAGAAGCACATGACGATACATACTCATCTAGCGAAAACTTTCTATTGAACTTGCCATCTTCAAGTCTCGAGCTCGCGAGGCAGTGCTCAGGAATCCAATCTAGTATCCCCAGGAAACAAACATATCAACCAGTCTGGGTATTGACATTGCGATGACTGCAGGGGTTTCTGTCCGGGGAGGGGGAGAAGGGAGGAGGTGTGGACAATCAATGTATTGGGTATTTTCATAATTCGATGTGATACTCATTACAGATAGATAGATAGATAGATTAGTCCTTTCTAGTACCTACCCTAGTGTCTCTTCCTTCTTCCTCCTTTGAACTTTCCGAGTTCGGTATGCATCATTGGCGGATTGTTATATATGTATCTCTCTCTCCCCTCACAAATCTGCGATATCTACTACCACCCCAGAGCATCTATCTGCCCCACATCTGAATACTCTACAAGTGTTCATCTGTTTTCTTTTTAGCCCCATGTTTTTAGTAGATGGAGAAGTTGAGGGAGGGGATCAGGTTTATTGTGTGATTTAGGATTGGGGTTGGGTTGGATGCGTGGCTGTATATGCATATAAATTTGAATGTGATGTTGGTATTAAACCGACCAAAAGTACATTTCAATGGGAAGGAAGACTCATACAAATTTTGAGGTATTGGGGTTAAGATTAGGTGCGGGATAGATGAAGGGCATGGAAGGAATGAGTAATAGGAATGGTAGGAAAGAGATGGGATATTGTATGAAATGGATAACGAAGATGGGAGGGAATTGATATTGTTAGTAGGTATGTAAGATGATCTAATTGTTCGGTGTCTTAATGTTTTAGGGACAGTTGCTTGGATTGAATTTTGGTGGATGTGATACTTATCGCTTTTTTGTTGTTGTAGGGGAAGGGAAGAGAAGAAGGAGGGGAAGGAGAAGGGAAAGGAGGAGGGGAAGGAGGAGGTATCTAGAGAAGTGAGGAGTAGTGGGGGGGAGAGAGGGGATCTGTGAAGTGATAACTAACATTGTAATTTCATTTCTTGAGATAAAATGGAATATTGGAAAGTAATAAAGGAAAGTTTTGTTTAAATAAGAAACGTTATTGCGATATATTATATACTCATCACCAAGGAGAGTCTTAGCTCCTGAGATCTGACATAAGTATCTCATTCTTCTCAGTCCAAGTGGACATTGGAAAATCGTAAATGAAACATTTTTTACCTGCTCTCCGCCGTTTATATTGGGAAAAATAAAGATTGATATCATCATTTCATTCTCCTAATAGGATGAGTAGTCGAAATCGAAAGAAAGGATGTACATGTATGTTCTTAATGATTAGAAAGATTAAGGGATGTTGATATGCTTCCTAGCAACCCTTTGATGGAACCACGTGTGAAATAGATGAATTTCTTTTGAATAAAATGAGGCACTCGGAAACTTTTCATTTCTTGATAAATTTGGCTGCTGAAACTGAAAGAAACATGACTGGACTGTTGATGAAGCACGCTAGACATGCTTTCTGACAAACTATACGATGTAATAGAGGGAAAGGTGTGAAGAAGGTAGTGGAGGAGATGTGCAAATCATGCACCTCACGCAGAGCTGGCGACAGCAGTATGAAAGGAGACGCTAAGACAAGTAAGAAGATCTATTCAGAAACCCCTACACTGAAAGATGGCTTTTCTCAAAAGAAAATAAATCGATGTTGATTGGGGGCTTGTGTGTTTTGTTTTTTTCTGGATGAAATTGAGGTTGCAACTTGGGTGGTGGGACTTTCGTGAATGACGACATGATTTCTATGTACTTGTTGATAAGGAAATCAATAGTTTGATATCTTTTGGGGGGTAAGGGGAGGGTAGGATGGGATGGGATATCTGAAAGCCTTTGGCTTTTTTGGTAGATCAGGACATGAATGATTTGAGTTCAAGAGAGATGATAAGATTAATGTGCTCTCCCTCACCACCTGTCCAATGGCATAAGAGAAGAACATTTTATCCATGTTTCAATCTTGGGTATAGATTGGGATATGGATATTATAGATTAGTATTTGAAAATCCCTCAGGTGGTTTGGGCTTCACCGGCTTCAGTAGTTGAATTCGATTTTCGACGAGGGAAAAGTGGACGATGTTGATATGTCACTCTTGTGTCGAGCCCACGTGCTCTGAGTTGGAAAGGAAAATAACGGATGACACTGACATTTCATTCTTTGGGGATAGAATTGGATCTTTGAAAGCCCTACGCATTGCATTGAATAAGGTATCGCAGGCTTTGTATCCATTAGAGAAAAGGATGGTTAATACTGCTCGTTCTTTCGCCCAGTCGAATTTTGGATGTTGGGATAGGATAGATGAGAAAACGTGATTTGGATTTCATCAGCTCTCAGCTCCAAAGTAAAATCCACTTCTGTGCGTTGGACGGTATGAATCGCACATCATAGCAAAGAAATGCGAAGGATCAAAGCCTCTGAGACCACAATCACATTCGACTTGGGAATTCCTCGAATAAGGTGTTTCCTTGGGTACATAAATATTACCTAATAATACTCTTGATATGCATTGAGACTAGGTGGTTTGGTTGGTGGTAGATAATGGATGGCAGATAGTAGATTGTCCGTTGTTTGTACTACCTGTGCAGACGGTCTTGCATTGATGTTGCATCGCTCGGTACGGAGTAGTAGGTACAAGTGAGTACCTAGGTAGGTGTAGCGATGACATGGTTTTGTCTGCAAGAGATTGAAAGACATGGGATTGGGAGAAAAGCTTGTATCCGACTGGTCTGGTGTGGAGGATATACCTCCGTAATGTGTTTAAGGGTAAAGAGAGAACCGAGGAGAGGGTTATGATTGTATTATTAGCTGCAATGTACTCGGATTGATGTGTACAAGTAGGGAGACGTGTTGATTGGTAGAGAGAGGTAGAAAAGGTAGAGAAAGGTAGAAAAGGTAGAAAAGGTAGAAAAGGGAGACGAAAATGAGTGAAACCCCTAATTTGATGTATATTATGTCGATTGGTGGTTGGTGTTGTTGGTGTTGTCGTTGTTGGTGTTGTTTGTTATTTGACCATGAAGTTATTGATCCCAAATTATGCCTAATTTGGATGATCAGGTTGGGCAGGTTGGTGAGGATGGAGGATGGAGGATGGTCAAGTGGTCAAGTTGGTTCTTAAAGTTTCCTGTAGTGAGGGTGAAGTAAGACATAGAAAAAGCTTATTAATACAACCGATTGGGTTGTGATTACTAATACTACCACCAATACTCATGTTCACCATGCCTACTTGGTAAATATATAGTAGACGGTACCGAATGATTGGATTCTCGTATCCTCCCTTCCTCCCTACACCTAAAAACGTCTAGAAGACCAGCACAACCGACGACAAGGTGACAAGGTGACAAGATGACAAGGTTGTGATTCTAGAACTTATTAAACCTTTCATCTTCCAACAATCATATCTCTCGTAAAAGGAAACAGGCAAAATCGACAACAACAGCCTAAGGTTGGAATGAAGAAAGCCCTTCCCAACACGCACGCCATTATTCTTACCAATTGAATTCTCTTTTAAACCCCCCAGCCAGCGAGCCAGCCCAAAGGAAAATCCCCCAAAAAACAACAACAAAAGTTCTCTCTAACTTCCAACGCCCGCCAGATCATCCATTCATTTTCCTAATCACCAAAATTTCTCAAAATCATCCAAGCTAAAGCATTGCATGCGCTCTTCCACCAATCATTCATTCAATTGAATTGGAGATCCAATCCCCTCTTCCATAGAGCCAAGGTATCTGCCCCCGCTATCAGAACCTAGCTTGTCATTATAGGAAAAAGCGTGGAAGGGTCCAACTCCATTTTTCCCACTCCTCTTACCGTTCCGTGGCGATTACTGCGACTGTGGTCTCAGGCTTGTAGCACTTCTATCCATTCACATACTGATATCCATTTCCCCTGCTTCTTACACAAATAACTTCTCCGTACCAGTCAACTACCTACCGGTTGCATTCAAACTTCTGCTGCTTTCCGACCCACACCTTCTGAAAGACCCTATCATACCAAAAGCGGATACAAGATCTCTTCCGGTAGGCAGTTCGACAATAATGTCAATCAAGTAAGTAAATAGTCGTCCCTTATGGTTTCTGTAGTATAGTATTTCATTGCCGTCACTTTCTTCTTTCCTCTCTTCATCCTCAATTCCATCTTCTCTTTCTTTTTCTTGTCTGTTTTGCCTTCATTTTCTCAATCATGTATGCTTTTCACCAAGAACAGCATCTTTATGCCTTGCATATGGCACAAGAAGAAATGCTAAAATCTACCCGCGAAAAAAGTTGGGTAATGACCTCTAACGAGGCTGGATTCGTCAAACTTCCCAATGAACGAATTCTTTACACTTCACCCCCTCGAACAAGTTTACAAATTTCTACGACGACTACACCTCCTGGCGCAGAGCCATATTCAGCCAAAAGTGACGCTGGGGTTGTTTATATCAGTAACCAACGAGTAGGTGCATCTATTCTGCTTGTCGCATGTTTAGGGCTATTTACTGATTCACATGAAGATAATTTATCTTCCAAGTACACCTACTCCCGAACTTCAATCATTTTCTTCGCCCATTCTCAACTTGCAAGATAGCTATGTGCGTGCGCCATTCTTTGGCGCCAATTACTGGACTGCTCTCTGCAAGCCGGTTTCGGGAGGTGGAATTCCTCCAGACTATCCATCGGTTGAGCTTAAGATGACATTCAGAGAAGGCGGGGCTTTCGATTTTCATTCTTGTTTGGAGCAAATAAAGGAGCGCCTATACCAAGTTTATAGTGTCGCACGCGAACATGGGGGAAGGGGAACGAGTGGAGTAGATTTGGCGAACATGGACTTAGAGCAATTACCTGCTTATGAAGCTGCGACAGAGGTTACAGATGAAGCACCTGAGGTAGCTCGAGATAGCGGGGTAGCAAGCACAACTGGAAGTTCACGGCCCGAGACCTTCACCGCGCCAGCTGAGCCCCCTCCAGATTATGAAGAAGCACAAGCACAAGCCGTTTCGGTGGACCTGGATCAGCGATTACGAGAGCAGGCCGAGAGACAATGAGAGGGGGTAAGCGACATATATAGAATGCTGTGTTACACATGTTTTGTTACATCGGGTATTACGAAGTCATGAATAAATGAATACTGGAAAGGTAGGACATCTATGGAGGGGGGAAAGGCGTTCTTCTATCACAAATTTGCACATAAGATTTGGCACGGTCTATGATCAGAAATGGGGCTATAAAGCAGCACTGCAATGGCGTTTTGAGAGGTTGATGATAAATTGCTTCAAGATGGAATTGATGTCTGAAATAGTCTGAAATAGCTAGTATGTCATGAGAGATGAATAAAAAATTAAAAAATGATACCAATTAGGAATTATGTTGTATGTTTTGTAACTTATTCATCTACTTATGTACTTCACACAATTCATCAATCAATGATATGAGATTTTGCACTGATGATAAATTTCGAGTTGATGTCGGAAAAACCAGGAACCAAATTTCATCGACCAATCAAATCCGACCAATTGCAACTGAGGCTTCAATTTTGGCGAGGACCATTTCTCATCCGACACGCTGGATTTTGACCCGTATCAGATAGTATCCTTCCACCAAGACCACAACACACTCAACGTTCTACAATTGGTTTGAATCCCCGAAATCGATTGTAAAGATGGGTTTCTTCGACAGCTGGAGCGATCTTGTATCGGCTGCTACACCATGGAGTCAGGCAGAGGCTGAGGCCGTTTCTGGAGGTTCGAGTACGGAGAAGACTCCTGCGCAAAAGGATGACGGCGGAGAGGGTGAGGCAAAGGTACGTTTGGCTTTGGCCTTTGATTATGAGTCTGCCGGAGAATTTGAATGAGATTTGGATGTGGAGTTGGAAATGAGGCGAGATAGAGGAAAAAGCAAATGGAAGGAGGGGGATAAGATACTTTTTCGATGTGTGCGGGGGTTTCGGATTTTGCTTGTTTGATGGGGAAGGCCTGGAAATCGTCATTCATACTCAGACGGGACATGTGCTGACTCAAGATTGTGTACAGGATCCATCTGGAGCCACTCCAGACAAGAGAGCAGCCAAGGACGCTGAAGAGGAAGAGTCGAAGGATGAGGAGCCTGTAGAGGAAGAGGAAGAGGAAGAAGAGGAAGAAGAAGAGGAGATGGTTGATCCAAAAGATAAGATTGAAGAGGGTAGGTTGCTATATTTATATGCTGGGATGGATTTCGGGCAGAGAAGGGAAATTTCAACAACTGCAATTCATGCGGAGAGCTTGGGATTTCCTGAAACTGCTTCAGGTCTACCTACAGTCACTTTATTGTGGAAATAGAGACTAATTTTCGACAGAATGTAAGGAATCAGCAGCTTGTGCTCCTTCTAAGCACCACTACGACGAGTGTGTTGAGCGAGTTACAAGTGGCAAGGAACAAACTCCAGGCGAGGACTGTGTTGAAGAGTGTATGTACCCTATACTCCCATCCATCCCTAGCTACTAACACACAGATTACAGTCTTCCATCTTGCACACTGCGCCACTGCCTGCGCTGCCCCTAAGCTCTGGAACACCCTCAAGTAAATCCAAGCTCGACTACCTAGTACATCACGGAATTACGCACAAAACATGAATCAGCTTTTTAGATGAATGGAGAGGGAAGGAGGGAAGAAGTTAGAGGATAGCGGAATTGTACAAATATGAAACCAAAATCCGTTCTTGAGCACTGCATTGCATATCAGATCAGAACTCCATTTTTCACCGAACGCATTGCATGTAGTATAGAAAGGAATCGTTATAGAACTGACTTTGGTTCTCTTTATGTTTTATCTTTGGATTCTGGAATGTGTGCTTGATTTTATACCCCCAAATCATGTTTGGATTTGGAACTCTTATCATTTCGGATCTTTTTCTTTGGTGACAAAAGTAATCTTACAATCACAAGCAAAATTCAGCGACAAAAATACCTGTATACATACTCAAATGCCTAGGTACTCTCGTCAAAAACTCTATCTCTCACACGGGATTTTTCTCAATTCGGAAAACAGATAGATATCTATACTTCGGGGCTTTGTATATATTCGGATAATGGGTAATTGCATCCTGGTCTCGTCCCTGTTTTTGAATGTACCGTACCACGAGACCTTATCTTTTGGTCCATTCAGAGGGAGTGGAATGTTATGAGTACACTGTTTCTTACGTGCGAGCATGTGAGCTTGGATTGTATAGCCAATGATAATTGGATGTGACATGATGTATCAATATGGGTGATATGGATGTACACCATATACGAGACGAGACGAGATACCTGGGTGAGGAGTGAGGAAATGGAGGGGATGGAGGATTGCATCCCCTCTTTAGCTATCTCGTTTGTGGGATAAGTAGATAGGATACCGGGATATCCAATCTTTCTTGATATGAAGATTGTATACCGTTGCACGACATACTTGTACCTGTTACTTCTTGTTCACGAAGTAGAATTGAAGAGGGAAATACTTCATTCATCGACCTTGTTGATCGGCATCCCCTCTGTCTTAAAGTCCTACTCGTGCACCTGATACATCTCCACACCAGCGGAAGTCAAACATTCGGAAGATTGACTTAGATAACCGAATTCTAGCGGGCCCCGCCAAGCTTGTCGTTGCGCGTAAGCTGGGTTGATTGGAAGGAAGGATGATCGAGGTTTCGACACAATTGAATTCGAATGGATTGGAAAAAGGTGTAGATGAGAAAACGGAGAGGATTAGCAATAGCGATACGGACAGAAACGAGAAAATCCACAGCGACGAGGAAAAAGATCGGAAGATTGGATTTCAAGAAAATAGAGGAGATAGCGCGGATAGTATCGAGGTGGAATATACAGAGGATTTCGAGAAGGGGATAGAGAAAGAGGAAAATAGAGCACCGGGAGAGAATAAAGAGGAGGATCTGGGGATTGGAGAAATTGGAATAATTGAGAAGGGGGATAAGGAGAGGAATATCGTGAAGGAAACGCATCTTTACCACGGTATGCCGAAAGGCTGGACGGCAATGAAAGACCTACGCGGGAAGCCGAAACAGAAGTCTAAATGTAAGGCGGGGGAGAGAACGAATGGGACGAGCACGCAGACGGGTATGTCGAATACGGAGATAGCGAAAGGGAAGGAGAATGGGGGGGAGGGGAGAGGAGCAGAAGAAGAAGTTGAGGATATAGATGATTTGGATTTGACGGAATTGAATAGCGGGGATGATTTATTGCCGGATGAGGAGGAAGGGGGTGTAAGGAGGGGCGGAACCGGTGTAGATGGAGCTGCGGATGAGGGACTGCGGAGAAGAAGTTCGGAGCGTAATGTTGCGGGTTCGAACGCGGGGAACTTTAGGGTGTATAAGAGGAGGTGGTTTGGATTGGTACAATTGGTTCTTTTGAACATTATTGTTAGTTGGGATGTAAGTGATACTAGAGAATTTCATATCGTTTCAACTATACTTCGACCACGTTCTGGGGAAATTCATGATTCTGTGTCTAGTCTTGTGGTTGAGGATGTGCTAATGTGGATTCGTACAGTGGTTAACCTTCTCTGCAAGTTCGACGACGGTTTCGCAGTATTACGATGTTTCCGAATCCGCGATTAACTGGCTCAGTACTGCTTTCCTCTTTGCATTTGTGCTGGCTAGTCCGTTTGTTATTTATGTGCTTCATCATGGAGGACCTAAACCGGCTATTGTTATTTCATCTGTCCTTTTGTTGCTGGGAAATTGGATACGTTATGGGGCTACAAGATCGGGTCCGCATGGAAATTTTGGAGGAGTTATGTTTGGACAAATTCTAACAGGAATTGCTCAACCATTTGTATTGGCAGCACCGACTCGATATTCGGATTTGTGGTTTACGAATCAAGGGAGAGTGGCTGCGACGGCGGTGATGAGTTTGGCCAATCCTTTTGGAGGCGCGTTGGCGCAATTAATTGATCCATTTTGGGCGGGAAGTGTGGGGAGTATACCGAATATGGTTCTTTATATTTCCATTATTGTAAGTTCGAATAATCACTTTTGCTTCTACGATGCTAATCATCACATAGTCCACCATAGCGACCATCCCATCCTTCTTCATCCCCAAAGGACCACCAACCCCCTGTTCCGCATCCTCAGAAGAACCAAAACATGCACTGGGCGCCTCTCTTCGCTTCCTCCTCCGCTCCCCCGAATTCTACATGATGATGTTCCCCTTCTGGTTCTACGTCGGCCTCTTCAACAGTATCTCCTCCCTCATAAACCAAATGCTCTCACCGTATTCCTTCTCCGAAACCGAAGCCGGCATTGCGGGCGCCCTTCTCATCGTCGTCGGTCTCGTCGCTGCCGCCATCACCTCGCCCCTCATCGACCGCACCAAATCCTATCTCCTCGCTATCAAGATCCAAATCCCCATTCTGGGAATCTGCTACCTGGCTTTTACGTGGGCGCCCCAGACTCGCAGTCTCGCGGCCATCTATACCATTTTGTCGCTTCTGGGCGCGGCAAGTTTTAGTTTGGTGCCTGTGGCCCTGGAATATTTAATCGAAATCACGCATCCGGTTTCGCCGGAAGTGACGAGCACGATTGGTTGGTCTGGGGGGCAGTTGTTGGGAGGGATCTTTATTATTGTGAGTGATAAGTTGAGGGCAGGGGGTGTTTCGGATGGGTCACAGGATGATGGGAGTGTGAGGCCGCCGGGGAATATGTATAATGCGTTGGTTTTGCAGGCGGTATTGGCGTTGGTGGTGGTGCCGTTGCCGTTGGCGCTGGGGTGTTGTGGGAGAGGAAGAGGGGTGAGAATGAGGAGGGTGGAGGCGGATAAGGTGGCTAGTGGAAGGAGGAGGGGGGATGCAGATGTAAATGCAAATACGGAGGCAGAGGGTGGGGAAGGTGTACTTACGTAGGGGTTTAGTGTGTGTGCTGGTTCATATTGTATTTTGTTTTCGGAAGAAAATAGAGGGGTTGGGAGCAATATTTGAATACCAGTTCCAAGTTCCCAGCTTTTTGTGTTTTTGGTCTCTGGATAGATGGAAATACATCCATCCTTGGATAGCGAAGCTAGTAGCTAGTAGCTAGTAGAGAGGAATGTGTGTATTTGGATATCCCAAATACAGTAATCGAAATGAGAACTTTGGATTTACATTTTTCATATTCATATTCAACCCTGAGTTTCTGGAAAATGAAAGTATATGTCTTGCGATGTTGATAGAAACATAAATCCATAATCCCCTTTTCTTATTCATAATACAGATCCTCAAGATATGTATGAGTGTACGAGTAGATCTTTTACCTTATCTTTTTTACATTTATTCAATTTCTATCTCGGAGTCTGAGGGAGAGGTTATTGTATTTACATATATATGTATGTGTATATGTACATCCATTTCGGATCTCGAACATAAAACGTCAAACCTCAAACCCAGCGATGGAGAAATCAAAACTCAAACCCCCTATCACCCCAAAACACAGTGAACTGCGCTCGCAAATGGATATCTACCCATGAGCTTCTAATTCTACTTCCACTTCCACATCTACTTACAACTCCGCAACTCCGCAACTCCATAGCACCGTAACACCATGAAACCATAAAACCACAACACTATGAAATTATGGAACCATTCAATCCCCGAAATCATAACTCCACACCTCCACACCTCCATCCAGCATGCGCTGAAACTCACAGGTGACTAATCGTCAAATTACGAATGCTGATGGAATGCTTACAGCACACCTATGGAGTCCCTAGGAAGTGGAACATCTTTGATACATCTAGCTATTTTGCTATACTCGTGAAGATATTTAAGTATTCGGTAGGTTGTGTAATCGCTCGCTCGCTCGCTGGTGAGAGGGGGATGTATGATTTGAGGGAGACAAAAAAAGAGAATGATTACTTTGCTCTACACTCAAGAAGGAGACAAAAGAAGAAGAGTGCTTTGGATATGTGGAGAGTGTTTAGGGGGGCAGAATAGGAGATTATGATGCAATGCAATCTATGTGACTTTAGCAGCTCGTCGCATGTACGGGTAGGTATCTATCTGGTTCCCAAGCGATGTTGAAACTATTAGGTATCGATCAATGGAATCCCAAACTGTTGAGAAGATTTAAAAGCGTAGGTATAGAAGAAATGGAAATCAATTAAAAGATGACGATAATTGCAGCAGGAAAAAAAGAGATACTCAAGATATCAAAAAGTAAACAAAAACATATTTTTAAACGGGTATCTAACTTGAATCTCTCAAATGAAGAGATAAGCTATATATGGAAATTTCCAACTCTCTTTTTTATCATTTCTTGCTACCAATATGCTCCTTGTGCAACATGATCGACGAACATCTCGTCTTTGTACTCCTATGAATAAATTATTTTCCTTAGCAAAAGCTCCCATCAACCTTTCATTCGCCTAACGCTTTGCTTCTTCCATTCCTCCCCTAAGCTTTAACCCTCTCTTGATATGCTTCCCAAGCCTTCCTCCTGTATCTCTCCGCCTCCCACTTTGGATCTCCAGCGCGAATAATACCTCTTCCCACAATGACAATATCACAACCTAATCCTATCAATTTTGCTGGAGTATTATACTGTTGCCCCTTTCCATCACCCTCCAATTCTGCATCCTCGTCATTCTCAGGCGGTAATTGACATCCTGGAGTCATACTAATAAAATCATCATCCGGATCCGTATTTAATGTTTCCTGAGAGATGAATCCCATGACATAATCTTTATGTTCCCTCGCACTGTCTACACATGCATTCGTATAATCCCTCGTCATGAAATTTCCTGCACTACTCATTTGTGCTAATATCAAAAGACCTCTTTCCAAAGGCGCCTCATCAATTCCCGGATATAATTCTTCCTCAATATCGAAATCGATGCGCGAGCGTGGCGAGTTGGCTGGTTCGAAATGTTGCGACACGGTGGTAATAGACACGATACTAGCTTTTCGTCCAATGTTCGCCTCATCGTGTGCTTCTAATCCATGCGAACCGTCTGTGACTTCATTGAAATTGTTATTCAGATTTATAGGAGTGGTGATTTGATCTTCATCGCTTTCAATGCTTTCGGGTCGGGGGGTTCCAACAGATATATTCGTCTTGACTTCATAACGTTTGCGCTCTCTCCATCGTGCTGCTGCTTCGGCCAAAGAATCCACGCTGGCTTTCCCAGGTATCATGTTAACATTTGTGATATGCGACCACTCGATGATCTTGGCAGTGCCTTCGGTATATTGTAATTGCACGGTATTTCCAATGTCGCCGAATTTTCGGTCTTCGAATATAAGGAATCCATGACGACGTGCGAGTCGGTTCAGGCGCGCTCCTGTGCCTGTTGTTGGGTTATAGTCCCAGTTGTTGATGAGATCATAATGGGTTTTCAAGACGACGATGGATGGACCAACGGAATCTGCTAGTCGGAGAAGTTCGCCGGCAGTAGAAACATCGGCACTGACACAGAGGTTTGATTGCTTGAGGGTCATGAGACGGAGGAGGTAGGCTGTTAAGGGGTGTTTTGTCTTCGAACCTCGATCCTCGAATGAGGTTTTTGCAATAGGATTGAGGGCGGCTGGAGACATAATGAAAAGATATTCTGTGAGATCTTTCTTTCTTGACTATTACTGCTTCATTCAAGGATTGAAAACAGAAAGGAGAATAAAGAAAGAGAGCGTGGGAGAGAGAGAAGGGGGAATGGAATTTATGTCGGTATTTTGTGGCCTGTACTTTTGTGTCGAAGTCTTAAAGATTTAAAATTAAATTTAGCGATAATTCATGTGCATCAAAAGTAAAGTACCTGAACATAGTACATAGGACCATTTTACCTGCAACTACCCAGTCAAAACGGTATTGACCCCTTGCCACAATGATTAAATGGAATAGATAGATAGATAAATAAACAAATAGTCATTCCTTAGTACTTGCATTCATCGACGAAAGGGGGAAAAAAGGAAAAGACATCAGGTTAAAGGGAGTTAGCAAAGAGTCTTCTCCTTCTTCTCCTTCTTCGAAAGCCTGCCGGGCTGAAGTCATTGAATCATGAGATACGTTAGTAGATGTTTACCTAGGTAGGATTAGATATCTATCTAGGTAGGATTAGATATCTATCTAGGTAGGATCAGATATAGTATAGTATAATATATGAATAGTCCCTATATAGATAGTACTCTGTATAATAATCTGCATGTGTATATCAAGCATCTATCTTTGAAGGCGTTTTGTTTCCTTGGTTCCTTTTATAGTAATCTTAACTGAGTTTGGAACATCCAAAGAATGTTTAATTATACAACTGATTGTAACAATTTTATCCAGAGTACTCGGGTAGGTGTATTATCTACCTCTAGACAGTACTATAACTTGTGTAATAGATCCTCCAAACCCTTCAGACCCTTCAGATCCTTCAAATCCTTCATATTCGTCCTACCTAGTCATACAATTATAGTTTAGTTCATATCTGTGTCATTCTTGTCTAGAATCCAAGAGCTACATAGATCTGAGACCTGTTAAACTTTGTGGTTACTATTTACCCGTTGTCAGTGCACAATCGAAAGGTTTTGTGAGAATAACTGGGGAAACTACTTTCGGAACCATAGGAATGGGTTCCTGTTGATGTTCCGTTTGGATAGTCTGACTTTGGGGGATTCTTGGCTGAAATTTTCTGGTGTGATGGGTGTGATGGTAGGAGGGGAATTTCATTTGCACTGACTTGGGTTCGGATCACAAGTACAAAAGTATTAGACATAGAGCGGCATTCGGAATATGTCTGAGCCGGAATAAGTTATCAAACACAACATTACATCTATCTTACTTGCAGATTATCATTTTGTGATTGTCTAGTCATTCAATCTGATCCTCATGTCTATCTACATCCACAGAAAATATTTCCAGTCAAAGATATTCTCTATCCCTTTTCCTCTTCGGAAACCTCTCTCTCCCTCTCTCTCTCCTATCATCAAATTGTCAATCAGTGCACCAACAATGTCGACTTCCAATCAAGAGATAGTCCTCAAAAAGCAAATTGAACTTCTTCAAAAGAAATACACCGCATGTGATATTGCAGATGCTCTTGTCAAGCTCAAAGTACCAGGTGCCGGTTTCCTTCCCGACCTCAAACCTGCCTTTACTTCACCATCTGAATCTTTCAACATAATTACTATTGCTCCTGTTTCAACTGTTATTTTTGCCGCAAAAAATAGCACAGATCTCTCCAAATACCCCACCGCAAATATTCCCACTGATAAGCATTGGGTCGATCTCACCGTGTCTGACTCGATCGTGATTATCAGTCAACCCGAGGGACAAAAGAATGCGGTGCTAGGTGGAATCATGGCGATGAGGGCCAAAGTTCTTGGCGCAAAAGGCGTGATTGTTAGTGGAAGGGTCAGAGATCTTCAAGAGTTAGAGGCTACCGGATTACCTGTTAGTTTTTGAGCCATTTTTCTCTCATCTAAGCTTTAAGGGTCCTCGTGGAACCCCGCATGCTCCCCTTTACTCTTCGCCAAGATGACCTAATCGCAACTATCAAGTTGTCAAAGATAATTCTCTCGATTTCCGAATTTTGCTAATGGATCCCGTAGGTATGGTCCCGTGGCACATCAATTGTTGGGGCTGGTGCTGAATCCAAGCCTCACGCTGTTCAAGTGGCGTTGAAAATTGACGGCACAGACATTCACCCTGGAGATTTAGCATTTTGCGATCCCGATAATGGCGTTGTTATCATTCCACAAGAAAAGATAGCCGATGTTATCTCCATTCTCCCAGATCTTGTTGCAGCGGATGAACGTGTAAAAGAAGAAGTCATGAAAGGAATGTCGGCCCAAGAAGCATTCAAGAAGCATCGAGGATGATAGTTTGTTGATTTTGCATGCTTAATTCACTGTCACTGTGGTTGCTATGTTTTTTTTAATACAGTGTTGTCTTTGGTTGCCATGATGCCACGCAAATAGAAAAGGAACTTGGGCTGCATTCTTAGACAACCTCGCGGCTTTTGATCTGGCTACTTTCACGATAGTATCTTAGAAGTATAGAACCCGTACAACGACCTCACTTGAAAATAGTATTTGAGGGAATATAGCTCGTAGTAGAAACTACAGTCGTTCTAACACGTGTACTGAGCAAGCTCCTATACAGAGTCGTCCCTGACCAAGTTGGTCATTTGCTCACTTTCGCTTCAAGCCTTCAATGTCCTTAGATCTCTATCATACCATTGAAATCTAAGTGTGAAAAGAAACGAGTATATTCCAAAGATCTTTGCTCGAGTAGTAGAACATCGAAATTCTTGAGCAGGGGAAAACCTTCGCGAATTTAAAGATCTGGCTGGAGGAAAATAGCTGATGTACTTGACTCGCTTCATCGGTAAACCGTCAGGACCCGGAGAGGCATACGAAGCAAGCAGACTACTCGACGTCCACCTGAATATTCATGAAGGTTAGAAGCTTTGGTAAATGAGAATTGAAGCCATTTACTATTCCTTCCGGTCAGTAGCGAACTGGCTATTACAGGTTTGCGTATATTTCCTACGGACTCATTATAATTTGCCAGCACGAGGCATGGATAAGGTATACCGAAAACGCAGGGGACTGGCCACAGGCTCTCCTTTTTGAGTGTACCGAAGACGCATGCTTGCATGATCCAGGCACTGGAACGGTACAAAGCAAGGACCAGGGAGAAAGGTTAAAGGGTCCCGCTGGTGATATCGTTGCAAATGTTGCAAGTGCAAGACAAGATACTGTTATTGGACACTTCAGGTGGGTTTTCTGATCACTGATTCATCTGTGAGATTCATCCCTAGACAGTCATCACTTTTTGTTAGTCACTATGTCTTACTGCCCCAAACTTGATCTACATCTCTCCAGAACTCTTTTAACTAGGCTTGCTGCCACTAGCAATATGCCCGTCTACCACTTGCAAAAGTGAACTTCTGTACCAAGAGCATGCTACAAGAAAAGCGACAAGCATCTCTTGCTCTTGGACGCAGGTGTCATAGGAGACATTCGAGATAAAGGTTCTGTTCTTGCCGAATCAGTCATAGCTGGTATTCTTCTTCCTGCCGTGGAGGAACCCGATTCCGCTAGCTAGGATGGATAATCGTTAACAATACTGATTGGAACTGTCATGATGTTGCTCCCGGAGTAAATTTGGTCTAGTTTGCCATTAGAAATATGGTGGTTACTGCCTTGGATTACCATCATCAGTGTGTGCCCCCAAACAACAAGACTTGCCTCAAGAAATCTTGTTTTTTGAGGCAATCTCTACATTGGATTTTTGCTCATTTGACTTTAAGTGGCCAGACTCAGGTCTGTGGATGAGATAATAGTTTGAAAATTTCCTATTCCTTAGCCATTTAATAGGATACACATTTGTAGCAGATTTTGTGTGGGTTGCAGAAGGCAAATCGAGTTCAATTCTCCGTAGTATCGGATTTCATTCCATCTCATCTCACCCATCCATCCCATTTCTCCAGATTTGGAGCATAAACACAGCAACAGGGGGTGTACAGTCAGCAACATATCGGACGTATAAAAACGAAGGAGAGCCTGCTAGTAGAAGAGATATCAGCTCACAGTCCCCAAACTGCCAGTCCAATATACCAATTTCAGACAACCAACCCAAGACAAAAGGGGTGGCAGAGGGATAACACTCACAAATAGCACAACTAGTAAAAAACCAATTTCCAAGCTTCCTGCTCCAGAACCGAGTCTGCTACATCGGGATGTTCGAGCTAGTTTTGCGGTTTGTTAGATTTCTCATCTCATTTTCTCTCCCCTTCCAAAATAGAATAAAATAGAATAAAATAGAATAAAATAGAATAAAATAGAATAAAATAGAATAAAATAGAATAAAATAGAATAAAATAAAATAAAATAATACACACACCTTCAACTCACTCCGCACCCTCCAAACCTTCGCCACGATCCCCCCAAATAATCTCTTCCCCTCTTCTATTTCTCTGCTCTTCTTCTTCTCTTCTTCTCTCGCTGCTTTCACATCTTTTTTCGCTTTCTTGCGGAGGGCGTGGATGAGGAATGGAGAGGGAGTTGTGGATTCTGCGTGGGGGGTTTGGAGGTTGGGGTTGGGGCTGTTTTTGAGGGTTTCTGGTTTGGCGGGTTGAATGGGGGTGTCGCGGGAGAAGGGGAGTTCGGGATGAGAGGCGGGGGATAAGGGGGATAGTTGGAGGGGCTGGGTGGACATTGTTGAGGTTGAAAGGGAGGAGAAAGATGGGTTTGTTAGGATGGTCGAAGTGTTGGTAGTGGTTATTTGGAAAATTCTAGTTGGTCTTCGGAGAATAGTGTGTGGTTGTTTGGATTTGGTGTGAAGGATGAGGATATTCGCAAGGTATGAGTGTAGGTGAGAGCTCGAAAATGAAGTTGTAATTGGATCGACCAAAGGTTTGGGATATCAGACATTGACGAGAGCTTGATATGCGAGATGTCACTTTCTAATTCAGACTTCACTTCAAGCAGAAATGTGTTCATGCTCATCATAAAAACGACAATGATTCTTGGGTATCTTGTGGCATTTCTCTATAATATATGATATACGTAATCTATCCAGCCGCGAGAGCCAACCCCTCCATTCTCCTTCTTAAAGTCGAACTCTCTTCTTCATCCTCTACATCTACCTCTATCTCCATTTTCGGACGATTCTTATTCAACCCCTCTAGTAAGACACATGCTTTGCATATCTCTTGACTGGACATATAACCACATTTCTTACACGTTCCCAGTGTTTGTTTTGTGAGTTTTCGACCATCCTTTTTGCCACCTTTTTGAATTTGAGGTTTGTCTATTCTATCATGACGTTGTCCGTTGGTAGTATTTAATGCGATGGATGTTACATCGATTTCTCTTCCCGAGGCTTCTTCGTCTGCTTGAAGTTTCTTTTCCATGTCCGCCATTTCCCCTCCACTTGATCGGCCATTAGTTCCGCAACCTCCATTGCCTTCCTCCTCCTCATTGGTAGTTGCTAATGAGACTTTTTGACTCTTGCAGTGACTTATTCCGGTAACTTCTGCTGGTACTAACTTCGCCATGTCTTCTCCGCTGCGCACAACATCCAAGATGGCACTAGGTCGTACTCTCTCTAGATTCTTGATCAAACTTCGCGCGCTACCTCTGAAAGCCTCGGGACTGTATAGACATTCCGTCGTGAAATAATCCAACTTCTTATGATGCGCATAGAGCACAATCTCCTTCTCATACGCATATTTCAGCGGTTTGCTTCTACGCACCTCGCTCGATTCGTCGCCAGTGACAATACTAGTACTTCTCGCCAGCCTGGGCAAATCTCCGCGCAGTAGATTCATCAAAATAGTCTCTGCGACATCATCTGCATTATGTCCCGTAACCACATGGTTAATGCCCAACATTTTTGCCCCTCGATCCAAAGCCTGTCTGCGAAAGACACCACAATATGTACAATTTCCCTTCTTGCCTATTGTTTCGACTACTTGATCCATGGTCCATCCATATAATTCATCGTATCCTACAATCTTAAGAGCCATGTCGTATTGGACCGCATTGCGCTTGACGGTTTCGAGGGAGTCATCGCGATAGCCTTTTATTCCTTCGTCGATACTTAGTAGAACGAGTTCGAGTCCGTAATTATATCTTTCATTAAGGGTCTTCAGAACTGAAGCCAGTACTGTTGAGTCTTTTCCTCCGGATGCTCCTATTGCGATTTTGTCGCCTGGTGAGAAAAGTGATGTAGAGGTAATTGTATGATGAATTTCTGCTTCAAAAATACCGATAAAACATGCTTTACATAGTTTTTGATGATTCTTTGGTCGAATAATTAAAGCCCTTGCAGTCTTGCAAATGGCACAAGGTGTTGGTGCCATCGTTATTCGAAAATAGTTGTCGAAGGCAAACAATATCGCAGAACTTCTTATCCACAAATCATCGCGGGGAATTAATAAAAATGTCGATAGTGAAGTTTATCGAACGGACAAACTGCCCGCTTCTCACGTGAGAAAAGGTCCAGAATCGTTTAGCGTGCCAAGATTTTCAAATCTCTAGCGCGCACATTGAATAATTCTCAAAATCGAGAAAACCTTTTCTTGTTGATATTATTCCTCTCGACGACAACTACGAATCGACAACTTCTCGCCGCTTCGAAATCGATCAATATGGTAAGCTATTAATGTTTTTGACTGTCCTTTTAATGAAATAATACGACTCGCCATCAGCTCTCGTACCTCTACGAGCAATCGCACGTCGAGATGCAATTTTCAATCAAATTACCTTTCGAGGTTTTTGATTTTGATTTGGCTTGAGCTATGTTCTGTGTAGAAATACCAGATGTAGTCTCTTTAGAGTTCAAAGAAGACACTTGGTGAACACTCGCTGATGTCTACTTTTCTCAATGACAGCCTCCAAAGTCCGGAAAGAAGGCGGCGCCAGCCCCATTCCCCCAGTCCAAAGCTGGTGCGGGATCAAAGAAGGCAGCCAAGGTACGTGAATTCCATCCTCATTTAGACGTCCATCCAAATACTAATGAGAATAAGAACCCTCTCATCGAGAAGCGTACCCGTAACTTCGGTATCGGTCAAGACATCCAGCCCAGAAGAAATCTTTCCCGTATGGTGAAGTGGCCCGAGTATGTCCGTCTTCAACGCCAAAAGAAGATCTTGAACATGAGATTGAAGGTCCCACCTGCGATCGCTCAATTCCAACACGTTCTCGACCGCAACACCGCCGCCCAAGCCCTCAAGCTCCTCAACAAGTACCGCCCAGAGACCAAGCCTGAGAAGAAGGAGCGTCTCTTGAAGGAGGCCACCGCCATCAAGGAGGGAAAGAAGAAGGAAGACGTTAGCAAGAAGCCATACGCCGTCAAGTACGGTCTTAACCACGTTGTTGGTTTGATCGAAGCTAAGAAGGCCTCTTTGGTCCTCATCCCTAACGATGTTGACCCAATTGAGTTGGTTATCTTCCTTCCAGCTTTGTGCAAGAAGATGGGTGTCCCATACGCCATCATCAAGGGTAAGGCCAGACTCGGCACGGTCGTCCACAAGAAGACCGCTGCTGTTCTCGCCCTTACTGAGGTTCGCTCCGAGGACAAGTCCGAGTTGTCGAAATTGGTTCAAGCCATTAAGGAAGGACATGATGAGTCCGCTACCAGACATTGGGGAGGTGGAATCATGGGTGCCAAGGCCAACGCCCGCACTGAGAAGAAGCGCAAGGCCCTTGAGAGCGCTATCAAGATCTAAATATGATCATATAGTGACTTTTACTTCCGGCGTTTTTTTATGATATTATGGCATGGCAGGGACACTTAGCTAGGCAAGCAGCTTAAGAATTCAAAATATGAAGGCTGTATGATACCATAATTTATTTGACTTTTTGATTTTGTTCAAACAGTACGTGCGTGCCCTTTGCAAATCTTTGTGATCTCTTTTCCATTTCCTTGTGTTACATCGGAATCTCTTCCTTTTCTCCGTCCCCCCAGAAAATCTTGTCAATTCTATCAAATTTTGATTCATCAAACTTCCAATACCAATCCCTCAACGCAACTGGGATAATCCCATAAGGGTTAGGTCATGTTACAATACATTGAAATTATGCCCAACTTACAGCCAAGTCTATGTTTATGAAAAGAGAATTAGGAAAAAAGACGGAAGAATTTTTAGATTTTTCTTGGAAAGGGCTTGGGGAAACACAACCAAGAGTTGATAGCCACGGCAAAACATGGGAAACCAAGGTAAGCTCCGGCACTCGGACGGACTGTCGGGATAATCGGGATTTTGTAGGTGTGGAATGAATCTTGGTATACCTTCATGTATGAAATGGATGGATCATGGTTACGATGGATGAACTGGATCCGATGAATTATGGGTATAGAAATCGAGAAGTTCTCAGGGGAAGCTATTCACAATGAAGATATGTGGTTTGGTATGTAGAGGTCGAATCTGGACCTGAGTAAATGGTACCAATGGCATTGTAATGTCTCGGGAGAACGGCTTATACTGGGGTTTGATGTATGGAATTTGAGGGATATAGATATGATAGATATGAAGTTATATCGGAATGGAAGACGGAAGAGAGAGCGGAAGAGACGATGGGAAAGAGAACGAGGGATGTAACATGGCGATGAAGCCGGCACGCAAAGGCTGAGGAAGTACGAAATGGTAAGAGATGATACTTTGACACTGTCTGGTACACTTGGATGGATCCGATACGTCACAAGTGTTTGTTTGATACTCTGTGGCTTTTTCCCCTTCCGGAGATCTTGGGAATGATCAGACAGACATGGATTGTTTGCGTGTGGTGTTGTCTTTACATTAGAAGGATGATCGATTTGCTTATTTATTCATCTTTTTCTTGAGAGTTTCACTACTTTGAAATCTTATTATTAAGGATTTGGTGTACAGATAATATCTACCCGGAATATCACAAATATACCATCTACAATAGTCCGACCGAATGATTGCATAGAAATATCATAGAGAAAAACAATCTTCATCCAGCTTTCACATCACATCACACCAAGTTCCCATCCCACGAATTGAATTGAGTAATTCCAATTGGCCAACTCTTATCGAAAAAAAGACATTCTCTTATCGCACCAGTTCAAAAACCCTGGCTCCCTGGCTTCTTGGTATGTATGACTGGCTGGCTGGATCACTTGGTTCTCGTTCTTTGAATTCGAATCTTATTATATTTTATTAGTCTTCTCTCTAATTCCACTAGCTCCACCAAGTTTCTAGGTTTGAACGTGCTGAAGTCTCCATTTCACTCGATTCGGCCCCCTCAACACTTTTTGAAGAAAACCAAATGTGCTAAGATCGGCCCCGTTCAAAACTTATTACTCATATATTCTGCTCTCCATATTTCAATCTATCTCCTCGTAAAACCCTACGCAATACAATCGCAACGAGCTCCTACATACCTCCTATTCAGGATACCTACGATATTGAAATACGGCACTTGACGATTACGAAGATTAGGAGATTTTCTATAAAGGCACCGGAGAATCTTTGTGGAATTAAGAAGGAAGAAGAAATTCAATTGATAGGAAAGAAGTTTGAGAAATTGTCACAAGAATTATAATGGGCTCTGGTAATTATACCCTCTTACAATTGTTCAATCATCTCTTGTATACTGTCTTGTATACTGTCTTGTATATCTGGGAGTGTATACAGAAAGCCGACGACAGGAAAATCATGACGCTCATGCTAACAATCACCCAGAAACTCCCTTCGATTATGCCTTGAGCTCCAACGCCGCATGGGCAGGCTACAAAAGCCATCAAAACCCCAAATTCTTCCCTACCATGGCCCAAGGCCAAACTCCCAGCATCCGTAAGTCCTCCCACCTACGCTTCACAGACCCCGCTCTCTTGACCCCCCTTCCCACGGTTAAACAACAGTCCTGACACCCCCCAGTCTGGCTCGGCTGCTCCGACTCCCGTGTGCCCGAAACCACCGTTCTCGGTCTCCAACCTGGTGATGTCTTCGTCCATCGTAATATCGCCAATATCGTCTCGCCGACCGATATCAATTCCTCGGCCGTCATCGAATATGCCGTTGCGCATCTGAAGGTATCGCATATTGTTGTGTGCGGGCACACTTGCTGCGGTGGTGCTGCTGCTGCGTTGGGAGGTGCAAGGGTAGGTGGAGTTTTGGATACTTGGCTTGCGCCGCTCAAGGCATTGAGTAAATTGCACGAGAAGGAATTAAAGGGAATCAAGGAAGACTCCGCAAGGGCGGTCCGTCTAGCGGAGTTGAATGTTGCGAAAGGAGTGGAGGTGCTTATGGGAAATGTGGTTGTGGAAGAGGCGGTCCGTGAGAGAGGATTGAAGGTTCATGGTGTTGTGTATGATATTGGCTGTGGAAAGATTCGGGATCTGGGAGTAGGAAATTGCAATGATGAGGAGGAGGAGGAAGAAGTTGCCGGAACAGATGGAGCCGCGGAGTCGAAAGGAGCAAAGGAGTTGGTCCAAGGTGCGCATGGAATGCTGGTTTTTGGAAAGGGGGGAGCAACGCTCAGTACCGCGTAGTAGGGATGAAATGTACGGATAGATGAGTTTTGGATATGCACACATACGTGTTATACTGTGCAGAATGAGAGGGAAGGAAAGGGAAGTAAGGACGGGAATGGGAGTTTGAGGCAAGGCGGGTTTTTGTTTAAATCGAGCAAAGATGAAAGGAGAGCTGTTTGGGAATTAGATCGATCAGAAAGTCGAAAACAATGAATGACATTTAATAAATTATCAAGAAAAAATTAATGATATGACATGGTCATCGTAGAAGTTTATGTATTGGATGATTATCCGAGGATCATCATATTTCCCTGTACATAATTGTGGTAGATAAATATAGTAACTACCATTGGTATCAGAGTAATGAAGTATCGGATCAGCATCTGCTTTTCTTTTACCTTTTCCTCGTCGGGTTTTGGAGTCATCCAGGTAAGATGCGTGCTTGAAGAGTTACTGATTGTTAGTATAGCAAAGTCTGCAATGTTTCTTTTTCTTTCTTTTTGGGGACTGGATGGGATTAATAGGATTTGGATTGGAATAGGATAACCTAGCATTCTTTCTTGTATTGAGTCGGAAGTCGGAATACTACCTAGGAATGACATGCCATGCGATGTCATGCTGTGTATAGATTCATTATATCAGTATATCAGTATATCAGTATATCAGTATATCAGTATATCAGTATATCAGTATATCAGTATATCAGTATATCAGTATATCATTATATCATTATGTCACTATACTCCACCGCCAATCCTCCCATATCCTCTCATAGAGTTCACAGAGTTCATAAAGTTTCCAAAGTTCCCAAAATTGATATTCTTTACTACTTACCTCAAGCTTCAGGTTTCAAGCTTGAAGTTTCAAGCTTCAAATGTATTGTATTATATCGCATTGCATCGTATCGCATCTCTTGAGTTTTCCTCGCGTATACTGTGTAGGTAGGTAGGTAGGTAGGTATAAATAGGTATTTATGATCTATGATCTATGACAGGATCGGGTGATTGCAGGGATAGCCGTAGCTGTAATTGTAGGCCTGCGGTTGTAGTGGGAGCTTGCAAATTTGATAGGATACCTACTAGTACGAGGTACCTAGGTATCTAGGTATGGAAAGTTTGTGTGTGATTCTGGTATTGCCGTTTGGTTTGTATGCAGCTGGTGTATTGCAATGTGATGTGTGAACAGTATTAAACCTCAAAATCAGACACCTAGGAACTCAGACGGTTCGCTAATGATATTGCCCTTCCTTCTGTGCCTCCCCCCTTTCCGGGGTCGAAACTTCAAGCACCACTATATTGTACATAATCCCAAGTCTGATTTTTGAGCGGCAAGGGAATCTTTGAGTTTAGTCGCAAGAGGTTGTGCTAAACTAGCTGACTTCTTGATGCTGCAAGAGATATACATACTTGGAAGATTGAAGGATGGAAGAAAGCGGAAGTAAGAGAGTAGACAAAGACACATTGGGAAAGTGGAAATAAACATTCCATTATTGAAGCCTTCAGAAAAGTTTTTCATATAGCGTGCAAGTATGATGTTAAGTATGACATCCCCTTACTCTCCATTATTCTCCTCTTTCAAAATTCATGTGGTATCTATCGTAACGCATTAACATGGTCTCTTGTCGTAAATCCATCAACTTTTTGTAACTCCAATTTTTCCCTATCTCGATTCTCGAATGCATCTTTTATCTCAAAAGCCCTCTACAGAAACACCCACCCCCTTTTCCCTCGCTAACCTAACCAACTCCGCCCCAACCACCAAATCCATAAGACCCATCCCCACACTCTTATATATAACATTTCCATTCCTCAGCCATCTACTCATTGAATCTTCCTTTTCTGTCTGTACCTCCTTTCCTAACATTCCCAATGTACCACTTGAATTAGTAGTATTTGTACTTGTGGATCCTGTTCTGGGTTTGCGAAAGGAGAAAGAAGATTTGCGAGAAGGGCTGCGAGATGATGAGGGGGAGGTGGAATTTTCCGAGTGAAATATGTTGGCCATGCTGCGAGCCAGAGGTGGAGAGGTGGGGGAAAGTGGTGAACCTGGGGTCGGTGTTGCGTCACCGTTGCCAGTTCCGTCTATGTGTAAATTGTGGAGGTCGACTGAGCTACGTGGAGATTCATCTGAATCATCAATGGCAGATGACTGGTTGAGAGGATCGATTCCATGAGATAGCATGACCAATTCGCCTAATTCAACCAAATTTTTGGCCGAAACATTGCCTTGGATTATTTCACCTGCTTCTTGTTTGCATCCGTCTATCGTATCAACTACGATTACTCCGCCTTCTTCGGCATGTCTATGAAAATGATGGCCACTACCATGAACTTTAACTGCTTGCGCCACGATTTCAAGAGGTATTTCGATCATATGAGGTTTATAACTGCCTATGGCGACAATGAGCCGCCCCTTCTTCCTACCTTCTGTATTTGTTAAGATAGAATGAGGGAATAATGGCGAGGTTGATGGAGTCGTGCAAAAAATAACATCCGAAGCTCGAATATATTCTTTCTCTAGACGAGCGAATTCTCCATAGGCAGGGCTAAGAACAGAGAACTTCACATTGGTCCAACCTTCACGTTCCTTCGTAGCAGCAGGTACTTCGAGAAATGCCTTCATAAGATTGCGTACCCGGTCTGTAAAAGCGCGAGATATGATGTTTATTTGTTTTATAGTTGGGCCGCGGAGAATAAGAGCGAGACGGACGTGCCAAAACGCTTGCTTCCCAGCACCAAATACTGTTATAGTTTTGACCTTGGTACGGGGTGTCAATAGAAGAGAGGAAGCTAGAGCTGTGCGAAAAGCAGTGGTTTCTGATGCATTGAGAAAGCCGAATGGCAGCCCTGTTTTATCCATGAGCGTAAGAGAACCTTGAGGGGTACTTGGATTTTTAGTCGATGAAGAGGTGGATATGGAGTCCGAGTCCGACGATTCATTGGAAGAACCTGGCTGAGGAAGAGTAACAACTGTGATTGTTAGAACTTGATGTTAGACATAACCAAAAAATGGGTTTACCTTTCATTCCAATGCCCGCAGATGCAGTAGAAGGCATGAATAGTGTTGTCCTTTTATGCTTGGACTCAAGAACTGTTCTTCTAGGTTGGTGCAAACTGCAGCAGTCATCATCCTGCGTTCCTGTAGAATACTCATGAAGAGCTCTTCTCATCTGATCCTGAAATCTTTCCAGATCCTTTAGGGTGAGGTCTTGAAGAAGATGCTTGATATCCGAGTCCGTTAACACGGTGAGAGACATTTTGGAAGCTGTATATGATCTAGTTCTACCGTCTCGTGTACTTGGAATTGTTGTAGTTTTCCTCGAGCAAATACATGAATGAATCAACGAAAGAGGAGTCTGTTTAGAAGCCAAGACTTGAATTACTTAAGATTCAAGCAAGTTGATTACAATGTATGCAAAGTACAAAGCAAGGGTTCATTCTCACGGAATTACGAAGGTGGGGTGGGATGAGGATGCTTATCAGTGCCCTTTATCTTAGCTTGAGCGGGCTTAGTCGGGTATAAAATCCGAGAAAATCCATATTGACCCCTTCATCAAACAGTCAGCTAGGTGTTCCTTTTTGCTGGAATCGTATTTGGAGTTGGTACCAGACATATCTATCTACTATGTAGTAGTACACATATGCCTTCTTTTTTGCAACTATTCCATTGAAAGCTTTCCAATACTCTCAAAACTTCACAGTACACAAAACTTAATCATGATTCCTAACCCTCTTGACAACAAGCCAGGTGAGCTAGGAAGGGGTAATGAGAATTGCTCAGGTTATAGATCCCTCTCCTATAATTCTCAATATCAATATCAAATACGCCAGCGTCTGGAAAGAGAAGAAAAGAGAAGGGACGAGACAAAGAAAAAGGGGCACCAGGTGTTATGGAAATCAAAGGCCCATATTACATCACCATATGGCAGATCGGATCTGGAAAGCGGCAGCAGCTCAATTGTGGTTCAATGAGGGGTAGCTCCACATGGATTGACAAATAAATCTCATCTGCAGATATCTAGATTTTTAATCCATTGAGTCATTCCAAAAGTTAAGGAAATCTCATCTCTTTCCGTCTCACAATATTTTTCTTCCGGAACTTCATATTCGTGGTCAAAAGCTTTCGCAGAACATCATAGTGGTACAACATGTCGGCCCCAAAAGAACTTAAGATGGAATACACAAGACTCGGCAACTCGGGATTGAAGATATCCAAGGTTATCTTTGGTGCCATGTCTTTTGGATCATCTGAATGGCAAGACTGGGTAGCTATTCCTCAATTTGATTTGTTACCAAGTACTTTGCTAACACAATAAGGTACTTAACGAGGACGAAGCCCTTCCACTATTGAAACACGCCTACGATCTCGGGCTGAATACGTGGGACACTGCAGATACTTACTCCAACGGAAGATCCGAGGAAATTATCGGAAAAGCATTGAAGCAATACTCAATTCCAAGAAACAAGGTTGTTATTCTTAGTAAATGCTATTTCGGTGTTGCAGAAGATGGAACACAACCACACATTTCGACGCTTCGCACAAATGATGGGGAGATGGTCAACCGGGTTGGCTTGAGCAGAAAGCATATTCTCGATGCTGTGGACAAGAGCGTTGCTCGATTAGGAACACATATCGATGTCCTGCAGATTCACAGACTCGATCGCGATACTCCCAGGGAAGAAATCATGAGAGCCTTGAATGATGTTGTGGAAAGTGGCAAAGTTCGGTATATTGGTGCAAGCAGTGTAAGTTGGATGATGCATCATAAGCTTAACAGTGGAGACTTACATATGGTAGATGGCTGCATGGGAATTCCAAACACTACAAAATATCGCAGAGAAGAAAGGCTGGCACAAATTTATCTCCATGCAAAATTATTACAATTTGCTTTACCGTGAAGAAGGTACGTTTCTCACTCGTTCCTATACGCTTTCAAGATACTTATACAATTTGCAATTAGAACGAGAGATGATTCCATACTGCAGAGACGTTGGTGTTGGACTTATTCCATGGAGCCCAATTGCCCGAGGAGCACTTGCTCGTCCTTTCAATGATCGAGGCACAAAACGTGAAAACAGTGATATGATGCTCAAGGCTTTGATCCGTAGCAAAGAGACTGAAATCGATAAAACCGTCATTAATCGTGTTGAGGAGATTGCAAAGAAAAACGGAGTCAGCATGGCAACTATAGCTATTGCTTGGTGTCTTAGCAAGGACAGTGTCAATCCAATTATTGGCTTGAGTAGCAAAGAGAGAATTGAGCAAGCAGTAGAGGCGGTCAAATTCGCCAGTTCTGGGAAATTGACTGCAGAGGACATTGCATATCTTGAGGAAGGCTACGCACCTAAGGTTGTACAAGGTTATTAAAATATATTGAATGGCATCCATGTGGCTTGCAAGGACAGGAATCACAACCGGGTCCATGTACTTTACATTGTCATACTTTTCTTTTGGTCCAACAAAGAGTGCCATTCCTGTCACAAACAGGTGATTCATGCTTTGTCGTTTATCTTTTCTAGATTGGATTTCTTTTCATTGTCCATTTATGTTCCATAGATTGATTCTCCGACTTGATGTATGTCAGAGATCAGAAACGATGAAGGTTACAAAACCATCGCCGTCATGGCCAATCAGAATTTCTCAACTATTAATCACCGTCAGCTATTCTGCTCCCACACCACGTACTAGGAATTATATTCTTACAAAGTAATGGTCAACATGATTATTTAATTTCTCGGAAGACGCCCTTTTTTGTATACAATCCTTGTGTTTCACCACATCATATAGAAGTGACTTGAAGTTCATACAAGGTTCTTATAGTGTCATAGTAAGCGTCCCTCGACTACAATTTATCTACTTTCGGACACAAACTCACGGGTCGGCTCGGGATTCCAGTCTGGGCAAGCTTTCCCCTGATTTCACTAGCTCTTGGCCTCCTAGTGGGGTAAAAAGTGTCATCAGAACTGATAAGAGAGGGGTTGGAAAGTATGACCAATACGGAACTCATCAAAGGAAGAAGCGTTGCTGTACAACCACATCTACCAAATTAATTACATATACTGTATGAGACAACAACATTCGGCCAATATATCGTACATTCACTTGCCAAGAGGTGAAAGCCCACAGAGCTGAATCATCTCAAGGCCTCCAATAAGCTGTTGAGAGTCCTCAGATGTGGATCAGCAGATAACCATCCCCCCACTTTATCTTGATTATATTCTTCTTCTGTTTGATAGGATTCAGACCTTCCCCATACACTGCTTGAGTACAGTTACAAAGCTTTTTGGTTGAGGTTCAAGACAAGAAGTACTTCTAGAAACCCATCATCATGGTTGCCATCTCTACTTTGGGATTTGCAGGTCTCTTGATTGGTCTCATATGGAGATTCATCATCTATCCTGCATTTATCTCACCTTTGGCAAAGATTCCAAATGCACACTGGTCTTCTCCGTTTTCTCCTACCTGGATCCTATTTCAGAGATTTCGATGTCGGGAAAATAGGACAGTTCATGCGCTACACAGACAACTAGGTCCCTTGATTCGATTAGGTCCAAATGAGCTCTCTACTAATGACGTAGAGGGCATTCGAACTGTATATGGAGGTGGGTTTGAAAAGGGGGAGTGGTATTCTTTCTTTGATAACTTTGGGTAATTTTTTTCCTCGCAAGACTTTTTTGGAAAATTCTCTAACCACGTGGTAGTATCCCATGTATGTTTTCAACGCTTCCCTCGAAGAATCATTCCTCTCGAAAGAGAATGATCTCGAATACCTACTCAAAATCTACACTACAATCATCACCCGCCTTGGCTGAACAAGCAAGGATCATTCTCTATGAACGGCTTCTACCTACCATTTCAAACTTGGCTTCGTCTTCAAGTCCTCATGGAGTTGACGTTTACGATTTATTCAATGGCACTACTATGGATTTCGTCTCTTCATACCTATTTGGACTCAAGAATAGTGCAAGCTTTGTTAGAGATGTCTCATATAGAAGGCATTGGATGAGACTTTACCAAGAACGTCATCGTTATACTTTCTATTCACAAGAAGTTCCTCGCCTCACTCGATTCATCAATACTTATATCTATCGCATCGTTCCCACATTTGTGGATTCGGCCAATGATGAATTGGAAGAATGGTGTCAGCATCGCTGTGAAGCTACTGCCAGATTCCTCAAGGAAGGCGGAACATGGGATACGGAACCTGGCAATGAACCGGTAGTGTACAACGCGATGGTATCTGGCATTGAAAAAGAAAGCAAAATGCGCGGTGCGGACTCCGTTCTAAAGGAAGAGACACTCAGGTTTCCAGATCGTAGCATCTATAGTGAAATGATCGACCATCTTGCTGCTGGCCACGAAACTGCAGGCATTACGGTTACATATTTAGCATGGCACTTATCCATCGATCCTATGCTCCAGAAAACTCTAAGAGAAGAACTCTTGACTCTCTCACCCAACATGCTTTTCTCATCCACATCTATATCCTCTAAACCACCAACGATCCCCGATCGTAAAGAACTCGATGCTCTCCCAATCCTCCACGCAGTCCTAATGGAAACTCTTCGTCTCCGCGCTGCTATCCCAGGTGGTCTTCCCCGCGTGACTCCATATCCTAGTTGCGATATTGGCGCCTACAAGAATATTCCTGGTGGCGTTAGAATCGGTGCGCAAGCTCACAGTGTCCATCGGAATGAACAAGTTTTCCCAGAACCGGAAAGATTCGACTACATGCGATGGATGGAAGGAAATGGTATGACTGAGGAGCAGAAACGTGAGAGGGATAGGACGTTTTGGGCTTTTAGTAGTGGAGGAAGAATGTGTATTGGGAGCAATTTTGCTATGCTTGGTTAGTTTTTCTAGCTTTTCTAACTTTGCTTTTTGCTTCGCCAATTATCTTTTCCCTTCTCTTGACAGAAGAAGAAAAAGAGCTAACTATCATTCTAGAAATTAAACTCATAGTAGCAGCCATCTACACCAACTTCCGCACTCTGGTCATAAATGACGATGGCGTCGATCAGATGGATGGATACACCTGCGGGCCGTCTGCCGGTAAACTTCATCTTCGATTCGAGCACGCTCCTGCTCCATCAGTCGTTGAGAATTGATATTTCAAGGACAAATATATACCCATACACGGAAGGTGGATATGAATTTATTTTTAGGCGTTGTATTTTGATGATTCAGTTGAATCGTAGCGGTCTGCCATTTTTGAACTCCCAGTTCTTTTTAACAATATCTATTCGATGATCTTAAATATATACTATGCATTACTGATCATGCTAGTTCGAGTGATACATAATGCAGTGAGAGCGGTGAAACTTCTATCTGCACACAAGATTACCAAAGTTCACCACCATCACTTCTTTTCCGAGCCAAACATCCTCTACATTTGTCAATTCATAATCTCTATATCTATATGGCTTTCTATCTCTTCTCAAAAATCAACATACACTCCTGACCTCTCGGTCTACTAGATATAATCTGATCTTCCATCTCCATATCTGCTTCGTATCCTTCTACTATCTTCGTTCTATATTGCGTATAGATTCTCCGTATGAGATGACGCATTTCTGCTAGTGCTAAACTATGTGGGTATAGTTATTAGTTTTGTATTAAAATATATCGTATAATCTTTAAATCTCCTCTCTGTTTAGAAGAGAAGGAAACTCGAGGAAGAAAGGGAATCGTAGAAAAGAAGAAAACCTAAACATACTCCTTCCCCGTACACGCTCTTCCACCCCTCCCAAAAGCCAAAAATCCCCTCTCCATCTCTCTCACTCTGTCTTCATCCACAAGCCATCGTTCTGGACAGAATGTCTCGGCTTCATCGCCGAAGATCGCGGGATTGCGATGGAGACTCCATGCTTGGATACTTATGGTTGAGTTTGGGGGGATGAGATATTGGTTGATTATTCTGGGCGTGGATGGTGATGTGAGACGGGGCTGGGACATGGGGATCGGGGGGTAGAGACGGAGAGTTTCGTTGATGATGGCGTTGAGGTAGGGGGCTGATGGGTTCTCGGATTTGGGGGTGTGGGGTTGGGAGTTAAGGGAGAGGTGGAGTTTTTCTTGGATGGGGAGGTTGGAGGGGAGGGAGAGGGTGTGTAGGAGGTAGGTGAGCGAGGCGCCGGTGGTGTCGATACCGGCAGCTAGATGGTCTAGTATCTCGGCTGCGATTTGGGTTTCTGATAAGGAGGGGGAAGCGTGTTGGAGGACGTGGAGGAGAGAGTGTGGTTCTTGAGCTGGGTGGAGGCACGAGGAGAAGACGTATGTATTGGTTAGAGGAGTGGAGCGTTGGGGGAAGAGCGAGAGAAAAATGGTGGAGAGGGGTTGGAGATATAGTGTTAGAAGTTGGTCTGTGAGGGTGTAAGATTGGAAGTCCGAGACAGTACACTGGGGAGAATGTTGAGCACAAATGGAGGTTAAGAAACTTACTCTTGAGACTTGAGTGATAAGTCATCTCTTCCATTATCTCCATGCCAGTTTTCTCTTCGATAGATTTGATCCCCATCTTTCCGAGTAGAAAGTGACTGGCACAATCTAGTGCAAAACAATGAGCATATCTCTGTTATCTTGTCAATGGTGATCTTTTACACTAGGACAGAGTATAAAAATTAATAGGGCAAAACAAAACTCACATAAACATCAATGAATCCATTTTCTGAATCCTCAATCTTTCGAAGGAATGCTTGACTTCTTTCTTCAATTCCATCTATGATAGCAGGTTTGATGATCTCGGAATTTCGGTATGGCTTTGCGATATGCTTCTTCTTTTCTTTATGCTTCGAGTTGGTTGAATGTCATTAGTGTCATTATGGTCATGTTTCTCCCTTCTGGCTTTCACTAGAAAGATTTTAGACCTATGAGATTAAATGCGGTGACAGCCATTCTGCACTCCGCCCCCTCCTTTCCAGCTCAACTTTCCAAGACACCCACAACGCAAATGTTCCAACAAGGGCAAGGAAAAGGAAAAACACACCTCCAACCTCGTTTCTGTGGAAAAGGTAGTTCTAACGCCCAATTGTCTAAAAAGTCCATAAAATCTCGTTTTATCCAACTCTCCTCCCTCATTTCCATAAACGCCTTTCACCCCTTCGCTACCGCAAAAAGCAAACTCATTCACACCTATTCGAACGCTATCTCCGTGTTTCTTGTGGAGATTATGGATATATATTCGTCGATTGCCATTCCATTCATGGTATTTTAGGACTAAGTTTGTGAAGTGTGTGTACCATGGGCCTGGGGGAAGATTTGAATTTTGAATGTTGAGAAGGATGGGGAGAGTGGGGAGGAGGATGATGGTTAGGTAGATGAGGGGCGTATAGATGATAACGAGAGCTTGGATGCTTGGTAGGTTTAAATAGGAGGGTAGACTTGGAAATATAGTGGAATTCATAATGGTAACTCGTGGGTTCTGAGCTTCGGATTATGTAGTGTGTGAGGTATTCTTGGGAAGGCCATCAAAGAATTAACCGATAAGGCAGAAACCAGATCTTATGAGTTGGAGATTTGCTTTACTTCATCTAAAACGATGAGCAATCGAGAAGGAGTAGGTGTAAACATTGTAACCAGAACATTGGATTCGCTAAGAGGAAGCCTGTTTGTGACTTCCCTTATCGGAGTGGGGAAGGAAAGGTCACGAACAGGTGGGGTCACCGGGCGCACAGATAAACGAACATCATTCCTAACGTTCAAGCACTCAGGATTATTGAATGAATCCGATTCTCATTCAAACTGAATCAAAATAGTTGGATACGTACCAAAATTTGAGTTGGTAGTACTCATCTGATATTCAGAAAGTATCTGGCCATCGACTATTCAATGATGCTCTTCGTGCAATGCTTTTGAGCTTCTATCATTGTGAAATTAACAAGAGCTATCTGTTCTGCCAGTAGACTTGGTAGAAGAATTTTGTATTATACAATTATCTTCCTGACTGTATGTCCACAGATGGAAGTCCGGTGCAAGATGTTTGTATACTACCAAGACCGAGGAGAAGGCATTTCCACTATCATGATTCATGGCCAGCATTAGTTGCGTAGGTCGCGAAAGATGTTTAGAACGGCAGTTATGCGTGCTGAATACGGACATTCATGATCTGTACCCCCAACTCACATCATATTGTTAGTGCAAAAAATATTACTCTGGGAGTGCGGGTGCAGTTCCGTTGGTTTTTGGAAGAGGGACTATTGCAGATATTCCACCAGCCGAGAGGCGCGGAAAGCACATTGCATTATTCTCGCCGAGTATGCTGGTGAAGATGGATGTGTTGGTTATTTTTGGCCTACTGGTATGAGTAACATTCTTTGTGACCATGAAAAAGTCCTATGAGAATACCTAATACATATCACGAAATATTCATTAATGTTTGCAACCAATTCGTGCCGTATAATTACATTTTAGATAGTCTCCCACTTTATGTTCATTTGATCTTCAGAATGCTCGACACTCATAAGCTGAACATTGAGTGGGACTTTATCCCAAGTCCAAAAGATCTTCTGGTTAGTCCAATTCTGCAACTTCTTCCCGCTAGGGACTTGGATATGAAAGTTCCAAATAAGTCGCGAAAGAATAAGTCGCATCTCCATCCAAGCGAGTGGCTGACCGATACAATTGTGTGCCCCGAGCGAAAATGGATGAAATACGTTTTTGGAATCAGCTTGTTTGCTTATAGAGGTCCGATTTCCAGAATCGCCCAACCATCGCTCGGGGATAAATTCATCTGGGGACGCAAAGTTGTTTGAAGAATGGAAAATAGACCAGCATGCTACTGAAACGGTTGTGCCTCCGGGAACAAAGTGACCTGCGATTGTAGCACCTCCACTCGGTACTTGCCCCTGAGACTATCAGGAAGTGGGGGAGACATCCGTAACGACTCGTTGAGTACCGCCATAAGATATGGCAGCGAACTTGTGGACTCGTTGTTAATTTGCTCTTCCGTGCTAAAGTTTGTGCGAATTTCTGTTTCCAAGGTCTCTAGGCACTTGGGATCCTGAAGTAAAAAGTGAATTGCGGCGGTCAAAGTAGTCGTTAGAGTCTCGCTACCTGCAACAATCAAGGCCATGGAGTTCATCTCTATTTCCCCCGTTGAAAGGGCTATCTCGGTCGAAGACTTGTTGTGATCGATGACATGAGACATAATATCAGGTTGTTTGACGTCATGATGAAGTCGGTCTTGGACCCTGAGATGACCTGTCTCAAGGGCTTGACGTAGATCTCTGAGAGCTGAAGCTGGGGTGATCTTTATGAGAAATGCTTCAAGCAATGGATAGTATTTGATAGAGTTTGCAATAAGAACGGCTTTGAAATGAAGAACTACTTTGATCCACGGATGATATGAGCTCTCTTGAAGGCATTTGAAAGACGAACCCCATCCCAGATCTCCGATGATGTCAAACGTTGTAAAGTTCAACCATTGCACTAAATCAACAGTACCAATATCTGTACGCTGCCCAGCGATAGCTTCATTCAATCGAAGAACCAAAAGATCTATGTACTTTTTAACAGTTGGTTCATGACTCTTTGTGGCTCTGTCTGAGAATGCTGGCTGAAACGCTTTGCGGAATCGAGCATGGTCGATGGCGTTAGCAGTGATAAAATTGTGTGCCTCAACTCCAGGTGGTCTAGAGCCCCATTCTTTTGGGCGGATAAACTGCCTCTGCAGATAAATATCTTTCCATGCTTGAGGGTCTGTGAACGAAAGCTCGTCTGGAGCAACTCATAAAACAGTACCATATTCATCGTGCAATTTCTTGATGTGATAAGGAAGTATCCCAGAAAGTATAGTGTAGATGAATGGAACTCGCGATACGATCCATGTAGGACTCCCACGGAACTTTGATAAGGGGTGGAAAAAGGCGTTGTAAGCCACAATAGCGACAATATACTAGCAAGAAAATCAGTCGACATTCTTGTTTGTGAATTAGATGACAAAATTGTCAATCTTACGCTTGACACCGATATCAAAAATGCATTGCACAGACTTCTGCAAGTTAAATTCTCCATTTTGCTACATAAGACGAGAATGGAGAAAGGGCGAGAATGAAGAAAAGCTTAGCAGAGGAAATGGTGGTAGTTCTCTGGATAGTAAGCGTTTGAAATATGATCAAGCAAGCGAAGTACTTCGTGGCACTCGACACGCTGCGTCTCATACGCGCTTTAATACCTTTTCAACTATCGAGAGTATAGAAAAGTGAACATTGTCCCGCCTGGGCTTTGCTTATGCCGTTGCTAACACGTGGAGTCTGCTTATGCTGACCCCGCCGCCCATGTTCTGTTAGCCGTGTACCAACATTTTAGATCAATCTCATCAATTTTCAATATCGTGCCTGCGTGTCTGCGTGCTTACCATACGTTTCGGAGCCTCGAAGAACTACTCCCGTGCCTTTGAGTTTACTATGGTAAATTAGTAATCTCAAATGGATATGCCAATGACATCAGTATGTTGATGTATCAATAACAGATAGGCAGCTTGTGATTTTAAGGATCGATTACTTCTTCGCTTTTTTGATCTCAGCTAGTCATTTTAAGATCTTACGTTTGTAAAATCAACGGTCCTGAATCAAAAGGTGATTGCCCTAATGGAGATAACATATGTTGTCATATTTACCCATTCCTTACTAGGTTGGTATTATACCAACAGTTACCAACAGCCTCTTTCATATTGTTTCTATATCCGCTCCAATCTTGTCCCCCTTTCCGATTGATACGGGATAAGAAATCTATGGTCCAAATTCGACTTTATAGATAAATCTCGAAAGTACGCCCACCTACTGATACCGTTGTTACTCTTGTAACAACTTGTGAACTAAAGATTTGTACAGAGGGCATCTACACAAATCTCACTCAATCTTATACTATGCATGTCGTCAGATTCTTGCTTATGGTTAAGGGTATCTACCCATGTGGGTAGTGAAGCTCTATGCTATAGTCTAGTTTGATGATGAGGATACAATGAAATATGCAGGGTATGACTAGGTAATACGAAAGTACGGCAGTCTAGATGCTTGAAGGACAAATTTCCAACTGTTCAAGAACGGCAGATATGCTCATTCGTATTCATTCCCACCGATGATGTCCTTGCAATTGATATCTGGCAACTTTCTAAAAAGCATTCATACTTTCAATCCGCTCAATGTGCTAGATTTCATTCCAAAAGCATTCTACATAGCTTTCTTATCTTCCACTCCCAAGAAAAGAGTCAGCTCAGTGAGGTCTGGTCTTTCGACAACAAACACATGCAGACACGCCATCATTCCCCTCAACCAATTTTCACACAAAGCGCTGGCTGCAGTCCTCGGAGTCAAGAGCATACAACCCGCTTGAAGGAGCGTATATTCCATTCGCCGAGGGCCATCGTTCTTGTCCCGGACAACGATTTGCGCAGGCTGAACTTTGCGCGGCTATTACTCGGTTGTTGAGCGAGTTTAGTGTAGAACTGATCTGTGAGCCAGGAAAGAATTATGTGAGCACTATTCAGAAAGTATAAAAGCAATTGGAACATAATACTGTATTTGATATGGGCTTGAAAATGAAACACTCAGTCCCGTTAAAGATTGTTGGGAGAAAAGCATAATTCTCAAGCCCGTCTTTACTTTCAATTTGTGGGGGAAGTTTGTAAGATGATCTCGGGCTAGATGGCCTGTCTACATATGATTATAGACTAGACTTGTAGTATTTACATCGATTTAGGAGATTAACACCAAAATAGATGATTGCTTATTTGGCATGACCCCCAATCGAATCGTATACTGCGCTCGTACAAGAAACTTGAATGCCAATCACTATCAGCGAAGTTTCAGCACCTAGAGACCATATTGATCAGTTCATCCTCACTCAACTTCAATTTCCACAAGCCCCTCTGAAACTCCATCCAGCGCAGGATAAGACTCCAAAAATTTCAACCCCGTACCAGAAAGCACATTTACGAAACAATCTCGCATTCTCTCCGCCGCTCCCAAAAGCGTCATCATATTGAAATCCTGCGTCACTGCCCACGCCGACGCTCCCGATCTCGGAATAATCTGTTCGTATATGAAGAGTTTTGAATAACCTGACTTCATAGCTGTGCGCAATTGAGTAAGAATAACCACACATTTGCCGTCGGTAAAATCATAAAGAACTTAACGGATATGATAGGCTCGAGCTCCTATGTTATGGGAACTTAGTAAATTCCGATATAAAACCCGACTCTTCAGCACGACTTGGAGTTGAAATTGAGAAATTTACCTTTAACAGGCTGTTCAGTGAAAATATCATGAACCACGTACTCAATTCCCTTATTCCTATCCGCACCACAAACCGGCCCTCCAGCTCCGGAAACGTAGCTCTGAGCGCGTTAGTTTTTTGACTATATTTACCTCCCACATCCACCCACAAAGCCGAGATCGAGTCATCGCCCTCAGCCAGAAACCGAGCTATCGGGAAAAGATCCTGCACCGGCGAAGTTCCCTCCGCTCAGGTACTCATCAGCATTGCAAATGCCTGCGCCGTCTCGGGTCTCTCTCCAAAAATCCCAAATAAATCTTTATTTGATAATCAAACGCAGTCTGGACAGCAGTATTTTGCGGGTCTGTCGGATTCTTGTAATTTGTATCCGCCAGGAATCCAGGTAAAGCCAAGTAAGCTGGGCCTAGAAATTCGGCACTGTGCGGAACCGCGAATGAGCTTTCGCGTCTAGTAGAGGTGGGTAGCTCAGAATCACCAAGTCACGACTTCCTCTTTGGAGGTCGAGTCTGCAAATAATGTATAGGAAAGAGACAGCGTATAGTATTTTCCATTCTCTTTAACTACGCCGAAAGCAGCTAAACTGCGGAGTAGACGTGCTTTCAAGTTTCCATATTAGTTTAGGATACAAGTACAATCATCACTGGCAATCATACCAAGCAAAACAATATCTGCTTCAGTAAACTGTGCCAACTCCTCCAATGATTTTTCTCCAGTGGATAGTAGAGGGAATAAATTCAGATCCCATGCGATACGAATGCAAACACTCTCTACAGGCTTGACATACTATAAATTTCAGCGTGTATTTCCCCCAAAAATACTAGAGTAATTAACGAAATAAATATACCTGAGAAAGCAACACTCTGGCAAGAGCATCAGCGGGTGTTTCTAAAAACAAGCGATAAATTTCGAGCTGCAAAACGTAATTTTGTTCTCAGGACATGGTTTTCTAGAAGTGAAGCGGGCGGATTGGATGTGAAGGTTTTTAGTGCGGAGAGGAGGCTTTCGGGGGATAGAGAAGTCATGGTGTGTGGAAATTATGATGAACAATTGAAAATCGTAAGATGAAGAAAGTAGTGAAATAGGTATGGAATAATAATATTTATGTAAGAGTCAATGGAAAAAGATATAGTGCACCATAGGCCAACTCACTGTTGGAAATTATACTAAACCAATGATAAGATTGCTTTCCTATACATTTTGCTCTTTTAGAAGAACATTAATATGTTGAGAAGAGGCACATACACGATACAGCCATGAACAAACATGTTCCACAAAAACTCTATCCGAGAAATAGCCCAACAGGAATGAAAGTAAGTGAGACATCACACTACTAATGTATCCAAGCTGATTCCAACAATACACGAATCAAATAATCTGACTACCGACTCCCGAGGGGTGCAGTGAAGAACAAATGATATGTGTATCTCATCACATATGTATTATCAAAGCAGATACCTGGCAACAAAAATAATAGTAATAATAATGTGACTTTTTATTCCCGTATGTATGTATATATTGACTGGCTGATGAAAAGCTCAAGGCGCAATGCAATATAAAGGCAAAGAAAGAACAACTATAAACAACGAATAACGGGACTAAAAATCCTACCCATTCACTTACAAGATAATCCATGGTAGATTCCTTTCCGACAAGCTCCGTTTAACCTCCCCATTCCCACCCTCCCTCTACCCTATTCACCCCAACTTACCTCCTGACCCCACTCGCCCTTTTCCACCTCCTCTCCACCCCCAAGACCTCCTCCACCTCCCCATCCAAACACTCACACAACCCCCTCCCACACCCTTCCTCAACCTCCTGTCCATCCTTCCCAATCAGCACCGGCAAATTTTCATTCAATTCATTCCTCAAATGTCCTATCTTTCCAAACCTCACATTACAAATGACGAGCCATCGAACACGAAATGCTCCGGCGCTCTCCCAATTAATCGAGTTTTGCCAGGAAGGGACTTTAATTGCGCCGGGGAGGGTTTCCATTCTCGCCTATTGGTTTACCATGATGAGTTTGGGGAATTGGGGAAGAAAAACTGGAGAGGGAATACACACATAACCTTGAAAAGCTCGACTTTTATTGATTGAGAAGATCAGAATAACGTTTTTGCAGGTCTCGAAGGCCTCCTTGAAGATCGGTCCATTTTGTGCTTGGGTGGTCCATATACCCTTTTGGATATTAGCTGAACCGGTCTTGCTTGCTTGATTCTAACCCACTTACGTCTTCTATACATCTAATAACATTTTCATCGTTGAAGGATTTTACTATAAAATATCTTGTATCTGATAGCGTCAGCATGTGAATTTCTCAACTCTCCTCAGAAATATTCTATAACTATTGGCAGACACTCGTCACTCAACTTCACAGCAAACAAGACAGTGATTTTGATAGAATACTTTTTTGTCTAATTGCATGGGTATCAAGAAAGCGCTACTAAAGCAATCTCTATTGACTTGAAATAAGATAAATAGAAGTGTCGGACAAGATGGGTGATTTTCACTGACCACCTTTACCGCCTCGATCAAAACCTCTTGGATCTTTGTAGGGTTTGCCAAGAGCGTTTCGCGATCCAAATCCAGCTTCGCTCCTTGACTCATGCGGCTCCCAATTACCACGGCCTCTTCCCCGACCTCCTCGACCTCGATAATTTGGATCAAAGGCCTTTCCTCTGTAACTTCCATGTACTTCAAAAGATCTTTCGCGTGCAGTCCGTGCAGGGGGTCTGCTCTCAAAGGTCCTTAGACCGGGGGACACTTCACGATCATTACTGCGACTTCGACCACGGTTACGAGACTCTTCAAAATAAGAACGACCTCCACGGTCACCATTGGCGCGGCGAGAGGAATCATAGTCTACTGAACTTTGTCGACGGCGATTTTCATGTTCTCGATCCTCAAGGCGTGCTACTTTTCCATAGTTTGCCTCCCCTTGAGAATCTTGGACTTCACTGTAGTTGCGCTTGTTAGATGTCAAACGATCATGAAGATCTGTAGGCTCCGCTACCGCTGGGGTATTCTGGGGTTGTATTAAGCTGTTCATCAAGTTTCCTACGTTAAAATTTACAAGACTTTGACCGTCTTGTATACCTGCTAAGAGTTTGGCCTTTTGTTCTTCCAATTCCTTCAGAGCTCGTGCAGTCTTCAAGAACTTGTTTCTGTGTACTATATCATGATACTGAGTCATGTCCAGCCATTCTCTCAAATCAGTGTCATGGGGTAAAACTTGTGCCAGTGTTGGTGGTCTAGACTCTCGTGAAGATTTGATGTCTTCCTTCGCAGCCTCGGGGCGGCGATAATCATCATTATTGTCACGAGAAAATCTGCGTGGGTGATGTTTTTTGTCAGTGTCTTGATGCGACTTTTTTTCATATCTATGATCGGAGGCTGGATTTCTCTCTGGTCGATAATCGCCCTCTTCTCTGCGTTCATCTCGAAAACGAGGAGGTTCGGGGTTTGATGGCTGTGCTTGTACTGGACGTCGAGTCAAGGGGCCAGGTTCTTCAGCCTTTACACGAATATAAGGTGATCGAATCGTGCGCTCATCTTCCGGTTTCAGAGACTTATCATTAACGTTAGCCGATTTTATATTGATCTGATTTCCCTTTGGCTCCGTGGGCGGAAGCTTCTTAGGGCTAGGCTCATCTAGTATTTCTCCTTCCGACATCGACCCATTTCTGACATTCCTGACATCGCTCTCTGCTAGAAAACCATTACTAGTTCGATCACTACTAGATTTCTTGATTTTTGTAGGAGTTCCTGAAATTTGAGGGTTCGCAGATAGAATATTTGTATTGATAGGTGTTTTTTTGGCAGTACCATTTCCTGCCACAGGGTTCATTTTTGGTCCTGCTCTTGGTTTGGTTTCAGAATAATCAGAAATGAGATCATTTATCTCCTTTTCCCGGCGTAAGTGTTCGTCGATATTTACCCCTTGAGCAGGACTCTTAGGGGATGGTTGTAATGAGCTCGACGATTCTATCGCAGTTATTTGTTTTGCTGGTGCAAGAACTGGTGGGGTAGCTGAGTTGGCTCGGCCTTCTTTTCCCTTCATCAATCTTGCTCTTAATTCGGCAGTTTTGGCAGCAAGCTGTTCTTTCGTCGGCGTAGGAGTAGGAGGAGCCACACTATTATTAGTTGAGTTCAATTGAGGGGAGTACTGGGCAGGTAGGTAGAGGTTAGCTGTATGCGCTTGCTCCCTAAAGTCCAAAGTAAAAGTTAGGTCGTCTGTCCCAAGCACTTACTGGTGGCCGATTGGGAGATATGAATTGATTTTGTGCGAAAGCTGCCTGATTGTACATAGGAATCTCGGGAGAGAAGCCATTGTAACCATCAATATTCGGTTCATCATATTGTAACATGTTTGGCTGTTGAAAGAAATTGGGGCTTGGTCCACCGCTAGAGAAAGGAGACTGCAGTGGTGTAGTTCCAGATAGATCATCTTGATTGAAATTGTTTGATTGAAATTGTCCATTATTTGGAAAGCCGTTATTTGTTGGCCACATGGCTGTAACAAGAATTTGTCAAGTTGACTGAGTCTTTTGTTGAGTCCAAGGTTCGACGACTTGTTCCAAATTAGATATTTTATTTTTCTAAAAGTAATCCGCACAACGATTTTTTTTCTCGCAAACTATATCGAAAGACTTGTAAGAGTGGATATTCACAATGAATGAATGAATGAATGAGTGAGTGAGTGATTGATTGATTAACTGCGTTGTGGTACGATCGAATTAGATATTTGAGGTACTTGAACTTTGCAAAATCATATTATGACGAAATAGCTTGAAGGGCTTCTGCTTCTTGTTCTTCTTCTTATTCCTTGAACTTTGGTGTATGTGAAGGGTCGTTTTCAGACGTCTTTTATAAAATATAAGAGAAAGATCTGCTGAAAGCCCAGTAAAAAGAAAAGAGTGGAAGAAGAAATGTAATAGTAGTGGTAAGTTGTATTAATGCAATGATATTTTTTGCTTGTCCAAAGGCCGAAGAGGTATTGGAGATTGTAAGGTTGAAATAAAGTACAAGCTTCGTTAAGTGGCCGATGTGATGTGAAGTGTGAAGTGTGAACATTTTTCGAGATATGCAGCTAGGTCCTAAACCGAGCTAGTATGATGCCTTAGGCGGTCAACGACATGAAGATAAACCTTGTGAAAATATATCTAATGATTGTTGCCGCTTTCCGATTGATTGGAATGGGATAAATAATTCTACTTTCATTCAGGTGATGTGATGTGATGTGATGGATGCAACTTTCTAATTGGGGATGATTTACTGATTATTAGTCAATCGTGAAAAAGATGCAGTTTTCCGATTGGATACTATTAAGTACCTGCCTAGGTATATCGTTTTTCCATTTCTTTCGTACCTAGGTATTTGACGGGATGAGAAAGCTCATAAGTAGCCTACCATAGTTAAGTCTCACTCCCTCTATCATTTTCCTCATTTGATATGTTCCAATAAAGTACCAACATCATCCCAGCATTTACAAATCCCCAACTGTTGTTTCCATGTCATGCAGGAGGTAAGAATGATGAGAACAAACCGCTCTGGATGCCGGCATATATTATCATGAACCTTCCAACCATTGTAGCTGTTGGACCCTTTCCTCTCCCAACCGAAGCCGCCATATACCATAAGTATACAGGAGAAGATGATGAGATCCTTGTAATGATCTGAACATGACCGCTTATCAACGTGTATACTGTGAGAATCAACTGTGAGAGCGCTAGATTCCGGATGATCTGGACTTTATCGACTTGTCGGACCCCTTTAACTGGCGGGTTGGCATCTTTCTGCGGGGTGACTGGGGTTTGTTGGAAGTGAGAGTCCCGTAATACCCCATTGCCAGATACTCCTAAGATTACGAGCATAGGCATTGCAAGTAAAAACAGAGGTATATTTGAGATTGTCCAATATTTGAACGGTCCGTTATTCCTAGTGAATGTTAGATACGCTCCGCTTTTCGTCAAATGCATCGACATACCAATAGAAAGCCTGCACAAAAGCATATATACTTGGCAGGGTATTCGAACACCATACTCTTGGACTCACGATATCTGTTGCCCCACAGTACTCTTGATATGCGATATACTGTGGTGTGATAAAACCGATCCCAACACATATGCCTCCCAGACCAGTGATGATGAGGCGACGAATGGTGGGCACATTGAACCCATTACTCAGACTCAAGAGAATCCTGAATGCTTCCTCAAGCAGGAGAAGCCCATTGAGCAATGCATTACTTCTGAAAGTAGTAGCAAGTCCGAATACTACGCCAGAAATAAGAATAAGAAGGTCGTGACCTAAAGTTCTGTTGCTCACTCCAGACCCAAAACTTTTCGTAAAAAGGAATGCTCCCAAAAAGGTCAATAGCGCAGTCGAACTCTCAGCGTATGGAGCAGACAGGAATGTTCCAGCTGGTGATATGATGTACAGAAGAGCAGTAACCAAAGCAAATCTCTCTGATGGGAAGAGTGTTAAGGTCAGGCTGTGCAGGGCAAGAGTCGAAAATAGATGGGAGATGTGAGCAATCAAGATCCCCACCAACCCCTCCAGCCCATCATAGTGGGGTACCCCAAGGTATTCAAGTCCTACCTTGGTCAACGACGCATACAGACGGACAGTTATTTCCGTACTTACCCATAGTGCTGAATTTTATCATGCGGGTGAAGCCCCACCCAAACGCCCATTCTTGCTCATAGACATATCCGCGATTTGACGCGTGTACGAAGTAAATTGCATCCCATCTTACCAACTTGCCGATGAGGTACTGCACTACCGATGGCAACTTCTTTTTTCCGATCGAATGCAGACTCGACAGTAACAAACTGGTAGATGTGTCATAGCCTGGACCTGGACTACAAGCTGCAATGAGCAGAAGCGAGGTCTTCCAGAGTATAAAACATAGTATCAGGGTACGAACTGGTGCTCCAAGCGGATGAAGATATATTGAAGCCATAATGACGAAATGAGGTTTCGGCAGTTGGGTTCAGCCCTTTAGAGAGAAGACTTCACATCATATTCCTCGTGTGTTCTTCAACAGGGGTCGCGATAAGATTAGGAAGCGGTGAAGAGATATCTCGCTAAGCAGCGGTTACCCGAGGGATTTGATGCCAAGAGATTTGAATCTGTAACGGAAAATGAGAATTTCCGCACCTTGCAAGTTTATGGATCTTGTACGATTCAAAATTTCAATGGATATATTAAGGACCCAGGATTTTTAAGGTCTTGTTGTGCGAGGTTCTACCATCGTAAAAGTAAACAGAAACAAGGTAAAGAATATCGATCATAGTCCAAGGCTAATCAGGCTTATTCTTATTAACAGTAGATACCAAGGTCCTCGGTGGCTTGCAGAAGAGGAATAATTGAGCCTCATTGTTCTACGAACGGAGGGATATAATAAGTATCTGGGTGGTAGATACTCATGAGCATACGGAGTATGCCTTTCCTGATGTAGTTTTTGATCAAATTTTGGTTGATTGGAAGTTGATGGTTTTTGAAACTAGCCTATTTTTATCCTGATCTCATTAGATAGATTTCATGATTAGCTTCAGTCAAGGCCCTAATTAACTACCTAGTATCATCTCTTGCCCCAAACTCCTTTCGAAGAATATCATTAGCTAGATCCTGATACAAAGAGAGAAAAAAGCATAGAGGAAGAGGCCTGTCGTGTAGTACCACGCACCAGTTGAAGTATCTACTGATCATCTGGTAATCGAGATCGAGTCATTGAGACCCCTGCGATCAAAAGTAACTAATAAGAATTGCAGCAATACCTGGGTACATTGTGCATTTGGTCCAGTACGTACGAGCGAAATGTGAAAATTCAAGATTTCCGAATCAGGGCTGCATCGGAAAATGCAAATGTTTCCGTAAGTCCGTAAGGATTATACGTCGTAGACCACTTGATGGCAATACAACAAAACGTGTATTTCCAAGGTTGTTATGAGTAAAAGCTATTTAGAATGAGCGTAATGAATGACTTCGCCTAGATACTGCCTAGTAGGTAGGTATAAACTTTCTACATTATTTCCTATCACGACAATCACTCTTTAATCAAGCGTTCGTTTGCTTGTTGTCCGATCTTCCGTTGATATAAATTATTGCCTACCTACTCTGTAGTGGTATTCTCACACACCTCCTACCTAAGAAACAGAAATAACAGATCTCGGATCCAATCCGAGGAAACTGAAAAAATTCCCTGCACCGACCTCTCTTTTCTGCCACGAACCCATCCCTCAATGACAAACTCTTTCTTCTTATCGAGGCCAATCGTGCATGCGTCTATGAAAATTTTATGCAGTCGTGTGGAGAGGGCTCGGAGGGTTAAAAAAACAAACGGATGGTTTGATATAAATCCAGGATTCATTGTACGTTGGGTGGGGCTTTTGCTGAGCCTCGGAGACCAAATTCGCATGGCAGGTAGGGTTACAGGTGTTTATATGCAGCATCGGCTGATCGTTGTAAGGGATGTTCAAGTACCTGATCAAGGATTACCTACTTCAAATTACTGACGTCTATTTGTTGCTTTTCAGAAACATACAAAAGAGGTATTGCCAAACCCGGTCTTTCCGTCTGGAACTCCACTCGAATTTAGTTTATTTGATCCAAGGGATTGAACCTTCTTTTGTTTGTCAACACTCCAAGGTTACCAGATTAGTTCCTAGCCAACTCATACATAGACCTTATTGCTGACGTTCAGCTCTTTCATTCGAATTCTGTCTGCTTCTCTATTCTATCTCCTTCAATTTTTACGCCGCTGTGCGGGACTTGCTGACCATATCGAGCAATGATGACTATGTGAATAGATCTCTAGCGTTGTAAGACCTATCTTGAGCCTCCAGCGAATATCTGACCACAAGCACTCTCAGTATAAAGTCTATTCCACAAGCTCTTACATCTGTGCGAATTTGAAAACAAGCAATATCGTTATCGTCTGATTTCAGCCATTAGACCAATCCACCTTCTTGGCTTCATACATACATTTTTTCTAGCCTTCTCTCTGCCAGCCCTACGAATATACCTCCTTCCATGCATACGGAGAACGTCGAACCTAATAGCGACCCCAAAGCCTCGAAATTTTTCAGATCCTCCAAAAAAGTAACTTCGCAGTCGCGGATACCTTCGCCCACGAGGACGTCCCTTTGCTGGGACGTCCCTTCTCATCAATATGCTTCTACATTCAGCAGCGGGCATGCACAACCATGAGTACTCGCGTTCTACCAGTCCTGCTCGGCCTCGCAGCGATTTCATGCCTAGAAGATCACCTTTGAATCGATCATCTTTTTCGAATCCTGGCCCAGAATTATCTACAACTAATGAAGATTCAATACCGGCTTTATCAACTCGACGCTCAAGAGCATTATCCGAATATATACCTCGCAAGTTAGAACATCAACAGGTGCATACTGTTCGATTCCAAGAGCCTGAACCGGATAGAATGAGCGAAGATGGCAGGTCAATTGCGAACTCGGAAGGAAGTCGGTCGACAATTGGAGGTCGACGGCGCAGGAGATCATCCAAAGCTAGCACAGCATACAGCTTGGCCCACCCAGCTCCGACTTTGACACACAAGCAACGGTTATTGAATATTCGCCCGAAATTGCTAATGCAATTGCAGTTATTGTCAGTCGATAAAAGGCCCAAACCTACATTAGATGTCCTTCCTTCGACCGTTGTTGTCTCCAGATTAGCCAAGAGATTTCCTCGGATGTTCAGAGGAAAAGGTGAATTGGGTGCAAATGACATAATGATTGTAAAGAGCGAAGACTACGATACACCGAATCACTCCATTGACGATACAGATTCTGATGAGGAGGGATTCTCGCATAGAGATCTTGTTGCAGTTATTTGTCAAATGCCCAAGGATGAAGGGGGTTCTCAAGGAAAAGCCGAGATAGTTTTAGGCGATGGTTCTGTGTGGTTAGCATGCCCACTGCCAACAGGTTCTTACGAAATGACGAAGTTTGACGAATCAGGAGCAAAGGTGACCACTATTCGATGGGTGAAAAGAGCATATCATCACAATATTTCCGATTTGCCCAACAACGATGTGAAATTCAATTTCAGTATCATAGATCCAAATTCACGCCGCCACGCAATTATGGCGACTATTACACAAACAAAATTGGACATCCCGGATTATTATACCTCATTATCTCCTCCGTCTGGAACAGAAACCACAACAACACCGGTGAGTGAGGTATCTGGTGAGCTCGAAGATGAGGATGGCGGGATGGACACAATTATCGAGCGAATGCCTCAACTCATGGACGAGACTACCAGGACTTTGATTCAAGTCACGGGAATCTGGGTTTCTTTACGCCAAGGCTGGTCTCCCTATTTCAAATACAATGATGCTATGGCTACCTTCAGCCAAAACAAAGGTTCAAGAGACTCCGTGAACGGGAGAACCAGAACATCTTCAGTGACACCAGATCAAATGCGATCAACGTCTTTCACTGCTCTTACTTCCACTCGCTCAAGCACACCCGAATCTACACTTGGGGCTATTGGTGAAAAGATTCTCAGATGCAATAATGCTAAAGTAAATTCCGTCACAGCGTCTTCGTCACAGGATGCGATTACATCACCAAGGCGAGCAAGAGCCACATCTACTGGTGCCGCATTCATGCAAAGGGCAGCAAGCCGCAAGATAAATACAATTGCCAGCGATAGTGAAGGAGAAAGCATAGCTCAAACTCCTGAGAATAGCCAATGCCAAAATGCCAAGGCAAATATCTCGAATCGTGTTTCTTGTCCTCCTGGGTTAGGCACCGTTGCATCACCTACGCAGACTCCTCATCAAAGAGTGCTGTCTGCTCACATAGTTCCGAGCACTGATACACAGAATGCTGGCAACAAAATCATGGATAGGCAGAGCGAAGATGGCCATGGCAAACCTCCTCCGTTAAAACGGAAGAACAGCCGATGGAAATCGTTCATTAACTGCATTCGGCGCCGACCTTCTTCTCGCTCCCCCCTCTCGTAACATTAACAGGAAATACTTTTGTATCAATACTGGCGTTATTATCATAAAAGCATTGGGTTCGGGCGCATATATATAAATTTTGGAATACGAGGCACATTGGATGTGTGCTTGGCTTGGCGTTGGTAGATATCACTCCGGCATATTCGTTTTTCTTGGGAACACAACATGATACTCCGTCTACTCTTGCTTGTATTTTTAATATATAGTATAGTTCGTAGGCTCGGTCGATTAGGTAGATTTTTTATTAAAAATAATGAAAAGGCAAACTTCTTTTCACGACCTTTGGAATACAATGTTACTGATTATCTCGTGTTTAGTCAGCATGCTTGCTTGCTTTTGAATTCCTTCAAGGCAGTAATGATCACGTAGGCTTGTTACAAGTTACAACCCAGCTAGCAGGTACTATCTAGATATTCAATGTGAACCTTACGTACAGCTAAATGCCTAACAAGAATTCCCTTTCTTGCATAAATAACGTCTGATATTCACTTCCATCGATTCTCGTGAATGGATTGATTGACTGACTGACTGATTGACTGACTGATTGACTTGCTTGATTACTTATAGATTTCTCCCTTTGTTTAGAGTTGATATAAGAATCATTAAAGTTTGGCTCTAGAATCATATTCATATTCTAGAAAGATTTACCAGAAGACCAAATCATTCAGAGCTTCCTTTCGCCCCGTACCGGTAACCTTACCGTTAGTACCTACCTACCAGGTACCCACCGACTTGATCATTCGAGAGCAATTACAAAACACACCAGACACAACTCTTTCACTTCCTACGGCACACTCCAATAATCCCTGTCTACAGCTTCTGGTACCCGCTTCGCGCACGGATTTCGAGGCACAAGGCTGGTGTTCCCTCTCTGTCCAACATCATAATTATCAAGACTTCTATACTGTGAGACACTCTTTCATATTCAATTCTTGCCCCTCTTCATCAATTACAGATTATTTAATGAGAATAGAGCTTTTTTGTGCCCTATTCTTTTCTGGGTCACTTTCAGGAACTTCAACACTGCGGCTTTGGGGTTTATCTAGAAGCTAGTTCAGTCGTGTGTGATAGAGATCGCCTTCCCATCAACGAAGCTACCCAACTGCTTTGTACAGGTACTTGTGCGATGCTCTTCCCTTCAAGGCATTCATGGTTACTGACAACAATTAGTTAATAGATTCTCTCTATCATACCCAATCACTCAATTTTAGCCGTCACTCCCAGATATAACGATTTGCAAGATGGACGAAGGGTTCACAAATGGCAAAAGCCATTCGCAGTACCTACAGAATATGCTCCAAGGAGGTTCGAGCGATACGATTTCGCGTGCAACTTCACCAGGTCTCGGGTTTGGGGCCAACGGAATCGATACCGACAGGGAGAAACGATACAGGCCCAGAACATTTCCCTACTTCAAACTATTACCATATAAAGTCGAGGAGGAGACCGAACGTAATGTGGCGCTGGCAGAAATTATTAAGCAGCTTTATATTGCTCTCAAGGCCGAAGATATTGCACCTGGTGCTGTACACTGGACAAGAGAGCTAAGAGCATGGCTGAGTCTGAAATTCGACATTACTCGTGCGCTGCGTGTGAAGCTTGTAAAGCTCTATTACATGCTGTCGTTGGCCCCAGGCTTGGACTTGAGCAATGGAGAAAGATTTGAGAGCATGTTTAGATTCCTTTTGACTAGGTATGTTGCATCGTCTTCATTATTCTGCACAACTAATGATCAATTAGAAAAAAGCATCACCTCAAACCCGGAGCAGATCTTATTCTTGATTGGAGACCGCTTTGGAGAGAAATCAAAGGTCTCGTTCTTCCCCATGAAATGGCGGCACATCAGGGTAGCCGAAAGCGAAGCCACAAGAACGTTGCGAGCCTTGCAGCTTATGCATCGCAATTTTTTGATCCTGGTGAAAGAAAGGCCATGTTCGAGGAGATTCTACCATATTTTAGTACCTCGGATTGTTCATACGCATTCATTACCCTTGGAGCTCTGAACATGATGATGCCGACTCAGCCATCATTAAATGAATCGGGCTTACTTCAACAACCACAAGATTACCTGCCTACCCTTTTTCATCTTTGGTCACTTGTCAACCGCTCTAAGATTTTTGACGTAACATTTTTAGATATGTTTTCGAGGCTTGCCCGAGATTCTGTAGCTAACGAACATGTCAATTTCTCTGAACATGGTATATTCACAAAGGAACAATCCGATCTTATATTTACGGCAATTTTGAGGTTGACCGAGATACCTGTTGGACAAGCTACCACTCCATATAGTCCAATGGTCGACATGGCTTCCGGCCTTGGGGTATATCTTGAAACAGACAAGAAGCGAACACCCGTTGGATATACAATTGCACGATGGATAGTTATGTCTCTTTCGCCATTATCACTAAACAGCGAAAATTCCATTCTGTCAAATCTTGAGGGGTTGATACAATCCATTGATACATTTTTCCATCCGTCGAACAACGGAAACTGGGCAGATATATTATCACAGACCGTCTTTCATCTCGTTGATTTCTTCCTCTTGCGTTGGAATCGGGAACAGAGTGGCGAAATGGACACACCACCTGCGCGACGCATTACTCCTGAATTAAAGAAGAGATTCGTCCTCATCCTTAAAGACGTAGTTTTCATGGGAATCTTTTCCAAAAGATCAAAGATTCTTAACTATTATTTCGTTGCACTTCAAGGTCTAGCAAATCTTGAACCAAACTTAATCTTGCCAGGAGCAATGCAGAGATTCTACCCTTCCCTTCAAGGTTTGGTTGAGGTCCATCGAACCTCTTCATCTCTATGTAGTCTTCAAATGCTCGCCAGTGTTATGTCAAAACATAAGGGATATCGTTGTCATATTACAGCATTGCTAGCTCTAGCTTTGCCTGGTATCGATGCCAACGATTTGTCCAAAACCCAATATACTTTGAATTTTATACAGGCTGTGGCATTTAGTATACCATTTACGGATCTCACAAAGAATCACGATGGTATCCATGACACATCCCTTGCCATTCAATGGGTACAGGGCGAGATGGAACGACTGGAACGAGATGGCCCAAACGTGGAGATCGATTATGACAGGGAGCTCAGTGATGAGGACGAAGCCAATATCTTGCGGTCTTCCACCGCAGGCTTTGGCGAGTTCGTCTTAGCTCTGCTCGGGAAAGTATTTACCTTATTGGAAAATTTACCTGAACAAAATCGGCTGCGAACCGGAGCTCCGGAAGAGAACGTGGTCAATGTTCTACCTAGCGCTCTCACACCATTGTTTTGTTCTTTGTCACCTGATCTCTTCGACATGGCATTGGAGAAAATGGCAGCTTTCATTAATAGCCATGTTGTCCACCAGGCTAGAGATGCAATGGCATTTATCGTCAATTCAATGTGCAAGGCTAATCCAGAGAGGACAATAAAGCTGCTTTTGCCGATGCTTGTTGTTGGTATCCGAAACGAGATTGACTTCAATGATGCTGCATCTAACAGGAGTGGTGGTTCTGACGTATTGCCTCGCGACCGAGCTTTAGTTTGGCATTTGAGTATGCTTAGCATGATTGTTGTTCATGTCGGAGATGCAGTCATGCCATATAGGAAAGAACTTTTTGATATAGCTCTTTACATGCAGGAAAAATGCTACGGCCTCGCCACAACCCATGTCTCTAATTTTATTCATCACCTTTTGCTCAACCTCACCACAATCTACCCTGTTGATACTGCCCTATATGAACCAGAAGTTTTTGAGAGAGGCCTTAATGTCAGCGATTGGGGTCGCAACACTAAACCATCCGAATTAACGATAAAATGGCATGTGCCTTCCTCCGATGAGATCAATCTTGCCGTTGAAATATTCGAGTCTCAAGTAAAGACCTCAATCGAGAAGCTTGACAATTTAACCAGCGATTCTCCAGCCGTTTCACGAAAGGGTAAGAACAAAGAGTGGTCAGATGAGGTTGAAAGAGCTCTCACACATATTCGGTTGATGATGTCCGGTGTTTCTGTCCTGTTCGATCCCAAAGCAGCATCTGGAAATTTACATGGGGAATTTGATTCAGATAACGACATCGCTATGAATGGAGATAATCCCATGGAAGGTGATGATGATCCTTTAGCAGAAGCTTCCGAAGATGAGGAAACCAGACCTCAATTTCATTATCGTGCGGGATACCTTTTGGAGAAAGACAGCCCAGCGTATGTTCGTATACACAAACTTCGCGAAGATGTTGGCCACTTATATTGCAAGATGCACAACTTCCTGATGTCGTATCAAGAAGATGATGTTGCTTGTTTCACCGCGCTTTACTTGGCATACAAATCATGGATCACAGATGTTGGCAATGAGAAGTCTGCTCATACCTTGGAACGAATGAACAAAATCTACCTCTCAGAGATTCGGTCTTTCAAAGTTACTGGGCTTAGGAAGGTATATCCAAGACCCCTGTTGATTAAGCGCGCTGGAAGCTATCACCTACAGCGTTCCAAACACAACGCATCGGCACGACAGAAGTCGGATCTTGATAAGGAACTTCTTTTGAATCTAGCAACATCAGCCATCTCCCAATATGCCGAAGTTCGAGTCACGGCTCAGCAAGCTATGGAGTCAGCTCTGAAGAGCGTCATTGGCGGTCGACCCCTAGTTGTACCCCAATTACTAAGTGCCTTTAGGACAGCTTTGGAAACAAGTGATTTTGACCGGATCAAGGGGTGTCTTTATACATTATTATTCGGTAGCCTTACGAAAACAATATCTAAAGATTGGCGGTTTGCGCCAGAGCTAATTGATCTATATATTAAGTCTGGATCTGTCGATAAACCCTCCATTCAAAAGGTAGGTAATACTGCCATGTACGGAGGATTGATTGAATTTGGCAGAAGAATGGAGACCCTTGTTGTCCTCGACCAAACTCTTATTCAAGAAATAGAACCACAAGAAGATTGTCACTCCACTATCAAGACCAGGAACGACTTCATTGTTGGGCGACGTGTTAGAG